AGACTTCAGATTTTCTCTTATATCAATCCTACTGCATTTGATGCCATTTAAATGCCTGTCAGCCTTCCAGACAAAACACTTTTCTTGGTCGGCTCAGAAATGTTGTTCCAACATAAAAAAAAGGAAAGAAGATCAATGACAGAAAGAGAACATAGCACAGCGAAGTAGGTTGGCTTAGAAATGTTGTTCCAAAATAAAAAAATAACTAAAATGCCACAGGCAGAGAGTAAAAATACCATTGAGAAATTTGAGCCTGGCAAGGGGTATCCTATCCCTCATGGGGTGTGTGGGTGTGTTTCTGGCCAGCTTATAAATGTGGTGCCAACATTTTAAAAATGGTAATGGCAGAGTAACAATCACTCTTAGAGAGAACTGAAGGTAAAAAAAGGTAAAGGTAAAGGACCCCTGGACGGTTAAGTCCAGTCAAAGGCGACTATGGGGTTGAGGTGCTCATCTTGCTTTCAGGCCGAAGGAGCTGGCGTTTGTCCAGAGAAAGCTTTCCAGCTCATGTGGCCAGCAGGACTAAACCGCTTCTGGCACAACAGAACACCGTAATGGAAACCAGAGTGCATGGAAATGCACCACAGAAACACTGTGCCAGAAGCCAGAGCACACAGAAACGTCCAAGAAGAGAGGAAAGAGCAAGAATCACTCTCAGATAGAACTAAAGATAATTGTTGCTGCTTATTGCAGACATTACCGATGTCTGCTTTGTCTTGTTGCCGGGATGTCAGAGGACAGATATCAGTCTGCAAGCTGAGAAGATCAACTCTGCTTTTGCCTCACCAGCAGACATACCTGAGTCTCCCTCCACAATCAGACAGAAAAGTTAATGAAGACACTTGCAGAAGCCTTAAGATCCTTCTCCTATTCAAGCTGTTAATCTACTCTTCCCTTGGTAAGTCCTTCAGGAATTGTACAGCTTTCAAGCCTCGCAATACATAGAAACATTGTAAGTCTGTTTTGTTCCGAAGGGGTAAATAATTGACAATGATAAAGTTCGTTACTGGTTCCCTGTTGCTTATTTGCATGGAATTGCAAAGCATGGCTCACTGATAAAACCCTCTCTGCACCTGAACCCCTCCCAGCAAAGCTGTGCTCTTAAAGAGATCCTGCATCCCCTTCCTCGCATTGTTGGGAACAACTTTTAGAGTGTGCTGTGACACCTAATCGCTACTGAACATCCCTCTGATTGTGGTCATTTGTATAAATTAAAAAGGGAGCTGTGGACAAGGACACATTGCCTTTGGATGTAGGATTCAAATTATAAGCCAGTTTCTACCAACTAAACATTAGGAAGAACTCTCTGACAATAGGAGCCATTCAAGAGCCATTCCTCTGGAAAGTTGTGGACTCTGCTTCGTTCAAGGTTTTTTTTTTTTTTTTTTTAATGATATTTATTAAGGTTTCAATAAAAAATTAAACAGAAAAACATAAAAGAGAAATACACAATTCAGAAATGCACAATACATAATCCAAAAAAAAAAACCAAACAAAAAACAGAAGACAAAAAGGAAAAAAAAACAGTTAAAAACAATATCACCTTTTCATTTCCATCTTTAAATTTACTTATTTTCTGGACCTCCTCGTACCTCCTTCTTTTGTATTCCAGTTCAAATTGTTTGTCCAGCAATTTCTTTCCCTCTTTTTTAATCCCAATCTTTAATCTTAATATAATATAACATTAAAATTTTACCTCTTAAAAACCAAATTTCCATTTCCTTAAACTTCTTTAATCCTAATCCTTAATCTTAGTCTGTCTATAACTTTGAGTTCTGTAAAGCTGGAAACCACTTATTTTCAATCCAACATCACTCTAACATTCTTTAATTTTGCAATGTTTCTGCAGATAGTCTTTGAATTTCTTCCAATCTTCCTCCACCGACTCTTCTCCCTGGTCATGGATTCTACCAGTCATTTCCGCTAGTTCCAAATAGTCCATCAGTTTCATCTGCCATTCCTCCAGTGTGGGTAGTTCTTGTGTCTTCCAATACTTTGCAATGAGTATTCTTGCTGCTGTTGCTGCATACATAAAGAAAGTTCTATCCTTTTTTATCACCATTTGGCCGACTATGCCCAGGAGAAAGGCCTCTGGTTTCTTGGGGAAGGTATATTTGAATACCTTTTTTAATTCATTATATATCATTTCCCAGAAAGCCTTAATCTTTGGGCACGTCCACCAAAGGTGAAAAAATGTACCTTCAGTTTCTTTACATTTCCAACATTTGTTATCGGGCAAATGATAGATTTTTGCAAGCTTGACTGGGGTTATGTACCACCTGTATATCATTTTCATAATATTCTCTCTTAAGGCATTACATGCCGTAAATTTCATACCTGTGGTCCATAACTGTTCCCAGTCAGCGAACATAATATTATGTCCAACGTCTTGTGCCCATTTAATCATAGCCGATTTTACCGTTTCATCCTGAGTGTTCCATTTCACAGCAAGTTATACATTCTTGACAAATTCTTAGTTTTGGGTTCTAATAGCTCAGTTTCTAATTTTGATTTTTCCACCTGGAAGCCAATTTTCTTGTCCAATTTAAATGCCTCCATTATCTGAAAATAATGAAGCCAGTCTCGCACTTTGTTTTTTAGTCTTTCAAAACTCTGCAATTTCAGTCTATCTCCATCTTGTTCCAAAATTTCCCAATATTTCGGCCATTTGACCTCCATATTGAGCTTTTTCAAGGCTTTCGCTTCCATTGGTGACAGCCACCTTGGGGTTTTATTTTCTAATAAATCCTTATATCTTATCCAAACATTAAACAGTGCTTTCCTGACAATGTGGTTTTTAAATGCTTTATGTGCTTTGACCTTATCATACCATAAATATGCATGCCATCCAAATACATTGTTAAAACCTTCTAGGTCCAAAATGTCAGTGTTTTCAAGAAGTAGCCATTCTTTCAACCAGCAAAAAGCTGCTGATTCATAGTAAAGTTTGAGGTCTGGCAGGGCAAATCCACCTCTTTCCTTTGCATCCGTTAGTATTTTAAATTTTATTCTGGGCTTCTTGCCCTGCCAGACAAATCTAGAAATATCTTTCTGCCACCTCTTGAAACAATCCATTCTGTCCACAATTTGCAAAGTTTGAAACAAAAACAACATTCTAGGCAATACATTCATTTTTATCGCAGCAATACGGCCCAGCAGTGAAAGCTTCAAATTTGACCAAATTTCTAAATCTTTTTCACTTCAGCCCAACATTTTTCATAGTTGTCTTTAAATAAATTCCCATTTTTGCTGTCATGTTAATCCCCAGGTATTTAACTTTCTTAACCACTGTTAAACCTGTCTCATTCTGAAACCTCTCTCTTTCAATCGGTTTTAAATTTTTCTCTAAAACCTTAGTTTTTGACTTGTTCAATTTAAATCCTGCCACTTGACCAAATTCTTGAATCAGTTCTAAAACCCTTTTAGTACTAGATTCTGGCTCCTGTAACGTCAATACTAAGTCATCTGCAAATGCTCTCAGTTTGTACTGTTTGGTTCCGACCTGTATACCTTTAACCAACCAGTCCCTTCTAATCATATTCAGCAAAACCTCCAGGACCGAAATAAAAAGAAGTGGGGAAATTGGGCAACCTTGTCGTGTCCCTTTTTCAATTTTAAGTTCTTCAGTCACAACATTATTTACAATTAATTTAGCCTTTTGTTCTGAATAAATTGCACTTATACCATTCTCAAAACCTTGGCCTACCCCCACACCCTGTAGATTCTTCTTCATAAAGTTCCAAGAAATGTTGTCAAAGGCTTTTTCCGCATCCACAAATATCAAAACTGCTTTAGTGTTTATGTTCACTTCTAATTTTTCCAGAATATCAATTATATTCCTCAAATTGTCAGACAGATGTCTTCCTGGGAGAAAGCCCGCTTGGTCTTTGTGAGTCTCTTCCATCAACACTTTTTTAAATCTCTTGGCCAAAATGTCAGCAAAAAATTTGTAATCCACATTAAGTAATGATATAGGGCGGCAGTTTTTAAGCTGTGTCTTTTCAGACTCTGTTTTCGGTACAAGTGTAATATATGCTTCTTTCCACGACTCTGGTGCTCTTTTCCCCTCCATTATTTTGTTGCAGACCTCTTTCAAAGGTTGAATTAACCATTCTTTCAAAGATCTGTAGTATCTAGAAGTCAAACCATCCGGTCCTGGAGATTTACCCAATTGCATATTTTGAATGGCACCTTCTATTTTCTGTTCAGTTATTTTATAGTTCAAAATTAGTTTATTTTCTTGAGATATTTTTTGTAATCCATTTGTTTTCAAAAATTGATCTAAGTCTGTTTCTTTCAATGGCCCTTGAGTATATAATCGTTTAAAATACCTCTGGAAACAATTTCTAATCTCTGCAGGGATCTGTATATTTCTTCCTTCCACTTCTAAGTTCGTGATTGTATTTAGTTTTTGTCTCTTTTTCATTTGCCATGCCAACAATTTACCACATTTATTGGCCGACTCAAATGTCTTTTGTCTCATTTGTTTAATTTTCCATTCTATTTCCTGATTCATCATTTTCATGTATTGTACTTGATATAACTTTAACTCTCTCAGAATCTCTTGAGATTTTGGGTTTACTCTCAGTCTTTTTTCACTTTCCTTTATTTTGTCCAATATCTTATCCTTCTTCTCATTTTGAATTCTTTTCTTTACTGCGTTCTGTTGTATTAAGAACCCTCTCATAACCGCTTTACTTGCGTCCCAGATTACTCTTTTCTCCACGTTAGTGCTCAAATTTATCTCAAAATAGTCTCTCAAGATTTTTGGGGCCTTCTTAAGTACTTCTTCATCTCTAAATAAGGTGTCATTCATCTTCCATCTGAAGGAGCCAGTTGGTGTTAGTCTCATTTCCATCTTAACAGCATTGTGATCGGAACAAGTTTTTGGGTAGATTTCCACCTTTCTTGTCTTTGGTGCCATTCCTCTAGTTATCCAAATTTGGTCAATTCTTGTCCATGTCATTTTGGCTTCAGAAAAGAAAGTTCCCTCTTTAGCCATGGGGTTTCTCATTCTCCAAATGTCAACTAAGTCCAAGTTGTCTGTCATATCAAAACAAGTTTTCGGTAGTCTGCCATCCTTAGTGACTACCTGTCTTTGTGCCTTGTCCATATATGTAGATACCACTCCATGCATATCTCCCATCAGAATCATGTTATAATCCATATGGTCCATCAGGGTCTCATGCAACTTCTTAAAAAATTCAGATTTCCCATCATTTGGTGCGTAGATTCCTACTATCAAAAATTTTTCTCCTTGTGTTTGAATTTCAATTGCCACAAATCTTCCTTGGTCATCTTTAAAAACAAATTTCGGTGATAATCTGTCCTTTGCATAAATCACAACCCCTCTTTTTTAACTTTGTCCGATGAAATAAACTCCTGACCAAGTCTTTTATTTATCAACAATTTCCTGTGTAATCTTGTTATATGTGTTTCTTGTAAACAAATTAAGTCCAATTGTTCCTTTTTTAATAGATGAAATACTGATTTCCTTTTCTGAGGGGAATTCAAACCACGTCAGTTCCAGGTTAGTAGTTGCAGGGCCATGATGTAATTATTTTGGTTCTCCTCCAACGGCACCTAGTGCCTGTTCCTCTTCCATCGGTGGTATCACTTTTTTCAGACGGTCTTTTAGTTCCAGAGATAGTCCTGGTATTTCTAAAGCTTCTCTTGCAGTTGTTCTTAACTCTCCTGTGACTTTCTTTTGTAGGTCTTCTCCGTGGTCTCTCCAAAATTTATCTTTGCCATCTTCCGATCTTATTTTCCTCTTCTTTCCTTTGTAACTAAAAGATAGGCCTTGAGGAAATTCCCACCTAAAATTAATCCTATTACTTTTCAGCAAAGTAACCAGGTCTTTATAGTTAGATCTGAGATCCAGAAGGTGTTTCGGAATGTCCTTAAATATCTCCACTCTTGTCTGATGTATTTCCAGTGTCTTCTGGAAATGCAAACCCAAGATCTTATCCCTCTCTTCTTTTGTTCGAAGAGTGATCAAACAGTCTCTCACCTTCTTTTCTCCTCTTTTTCCAAGTCTGAAGGCGTTCACTATTTTAAAACTGTCCTTTACCAATTCTGGATTCCAAAAGTCAAAAAATTCCTGCGTAAGAAATTCAGCTAAATTGTCCTTCTCCACTTCAGGTACCGATCTGACCCTTAAATTCACTTGTTTTTCTTTCAACTCAATCATAGACAGGGTTAACTTATGATCTTCCAATTGTTTATGTAACGGTGGTATTTTCTCTTGAACCTCTTTAACCTTTGTAACAGACGCTGTAGCAATTTCTTTAGCCTCCTCGGCAATCTGACGTGTTGAGGCCGATTCCTCTAATAATTTCTGAATAGTCTCTGTATTAGTATTTTGATTAATACTTATTGTATTTTGATCAATCTTGTCTGATGCCTCTGCTACTTGTTTACTTATTTTATCCAAAGATTCATTAACTTTAGCCAAAACTTGAGCAAAGGTGTCATCACTTGCCATACCTTTAGTTTTGGGTTGTGCCGATGGGGCTACTATTGGAACCCCAGAGGGGCCAGAGGTCGAAGCTCTTCTTTGCAGTCCACCTTCTGTTCGCAATACTCTGCCTGACCTTGTTGCTTGTAACGCCTCTAATTTCTCTTTTCCATCTGCCATACCCCTTTAGATAAAACTCAAGGTCAGTCACACAGTTAAGTTCAAAATTGTTTTGAAGTGGAAAATTCCAAAAGAGCCGTGTGGTAAAATCCTCAGGCCAGCTGCAATTGCAATTGTAACTAGTTGTAACAAATCCAAGTTCCACTAGGGGGACACTGTAACAGTCATAAAGTTCTTAAATGCTTTACTTCTTCTTTAAGTCCCCCCAGTTTATCAGGAAGATAACAATCTATCTTAAACAGTTACTTTAAGACCAGGAGATATCTATCAGCTTTGTTCAAGATTTTTAAGCAGATGTTGGGTGGCCTTCTGCCAGGGATTCTTTAGCTGAGATTCCTGCATTGCAGGGAGTTGGACTAGATGAGTCCAGTTCTACGAGTCTATGAATCTATTTTAAGTTCTCGGGAGTTATTGGGCAGGATGCCTGGAGTGAAATCATCAGCATACCGTACTTGTTGTCCTGTGGATACTAGACAACCCTTGTTAAATATAATCCTTTATTAGGCATAGCAAACCACATATTATCAAACAGACACCGTATACAAATTGTGCAAAATACGAGCCCAACATAACAACCCTTATTCCAAGAAGCATTTGGATGAGGATCATCTGGATCCCCTAGAAATTTCTAGCACTCAGGAATATCCCAGAACAATGTTCAAGCAGGACCTGGGACCGTCAAAGAAGAAACAAGGAAGAGGAGGCAGAACAGCCCCTAAGCCCCTGGGAGTGATGGGATCTTAAGAGGCAGAATAAGATCATCAGAATCAGTAGAAGGGACTAATCTGACTCAGCCTCCAGAGGGGTGGGACATTCCTGGAAGGGAATATCAAAAAGGTGTCCCGTCCCCACCTTCTGCATGCCTAGGAGTGCTTGGCTGCAGAGCCGGGCTCCTTTTGAGTAAAGGGCTATTTATGAGGAGGGCCTCAGCGGTGCCTGGATAGGAGATCTGGCAACTCTGCCTTAAGTCCTTAATAGGAGGCAGAGAGAGCTGCTAAAAAGACGCTTCGCTTCCAACCCTGATCTTTCCCTGCACTGCCTCCCTGTGGCCATGCCTCTTAGCTGTGCCTTTGCCTATTTTCTTGCCTGAACTGCTGCCTCGGTGTGGCCAGATCTTGCAGTACAACTTGTCTGTGCCTTTGCCTCAGTTGCTTCGCTTCAACCAGACTATGAGCTACTCTTAAGCTTGCCTGTTCCTCATTATCTGAACTGTGGGCTTGTGGCCTTTGCTGTGGATTCTTGCCAGCCTGAACCTGTGGAAACAGGACATTTGGGCTTCTGCTGAGAGTGCATATACCAACATGGGGTCTCATAACAACAACAACAACAACAACAACAATTGTATCCTCAGGGCAAAATGGTCAGTTTGCATTTTTAGTGCAGAAAGTATGGATCTGATGTGTAGAGATCTTTCCTATTCTAATTAATTCAAGAGGGTTATGGAAGCTTCTCTTTGTCAAAGAAACAAGTAGAAGGTTCCGGATGTTTGGGTTATTCAGAGAAGCTGAGTACAGCTGGTTTGAACTACTGTAGTTCTCTTGTCTCTTTCTGTCAAGGTCTTTCACTTTCTCTTTTCCTTCTGGTGTGATGCTCTGTACATAGTATGCTTAGTGTTAAGGTTTAGACATATTACAAGTTATTGTAAGTTTAAGCTAAGTCTGCTGCAACTGGATTTCTTATTTGTTGTTGTTTAGTTGTTTAGTCGCGCCCGACTCTTCATGACCCCCTGGACCAGAGCACGCCAGGGACTCCTGTCTTCCACTGCCTCCCGCAGTTTGGTCAGACTCATGTTTGTAGCTTCGAGAACGCTGTCTAACCATCTCGTCCTCTGTCGTCCCCTTCTCCTTGTGCCCTCCATCTTTCCCAACATCAGGGTCTTTTCCAGGGAGTCTTCTCTTCTCATGAGGTGGCCAAAGTATTGGAGCCTCAGCTTCACGATCTGTCCTTCCAGTGAGCACTCAGGGCTGATTTCCTTCAGAATGGATAGATCTTCTTGCAGTCCATGGGACTCTCAAGAGTCTCCTCCAGCACCAGAATTCAAAAGCATCCATTCTTCGGCGATCAGCCTTCTTCATGGTCCAGCTCTCACTTCCATACATCACTACTGGGAAAACCATGGCTTTAACTATACGGACCTTTGTTGGCAAGGTGATGTCTCTGCTTTTAAGATGTTGTCTAGGTTTGCCATCGCCTTTCCCCAAGGAGCAGGCGTCTTTTAATTTTGTGACTGCTGTCACCATCTGCAGTGATCATGGAGCCCAAGAAAGTAAAATCTCTCACTGCCTCCATTTCTTCCCCTTCTATTTGCCAGGAGGTGATGGGCCCAGTGGCCATGATCTTCGTTTTGTTGATGTTGAGCTTCAGACCATATTTTGCGCTCTCCTCTTTCACCCTCATTAAGAGGTTCTTTAATTCCTCCTCACTTTCTGCCATCAAGGTTGTGTCATCTGCATATCTGAGGTTGTTGATATTTCTTCCGCCAATCTTAATTCCAGTTTGGGATTCATCCAGCCCAGCCTTTCGCATGATGAATTCTGCATATAAGTTAAATAAGCAGGGAGACAATATACAGCCTTGCCGTACTCCTTTCCCAATTTTGAACCAATCAGTTGTTCCATATCCAGTTCTAACTGTAGCTTCTTGTCCCACATAGAGATTTCTCAGGAGACAGATGAGGTGATCAGGCACTCCCATTTCTTTAAGAACTTGCCATAGTTTGCTGTGGTCGACACAGTCAAAGGCTTTTGCATAGTCAATGAAGCAGAAGTAGATGTCTTTCTGGAACTCTCTAGCTTTCTCCATAATCCAGCGCATGTTTGCAATTTGGTCTCTGGTTCCTCTGCCTCTTCTAAATCCAGCTTGCACTTCTGGGAGTTCTCGGTCCACATACTGCTTAAGCCTTCCTTGTAGAATTTTAAGCATAGCCTTGCTAGCATGTGAAATGAGTGCAATTGTGCGGTAGTTGGAGCATTCTTTGGCATTTCCCTTCTTTGGGATTGGGATGTAGACTGATCTTCTCCAATCCTCTGGCCACTGCTGAGTTTTCCAAATTTGCTGGCATATTGAGTGTAGCACCTTAACAGCATCATCTTTTAAAATTTTAAATAGTTCAGCTGGAATACCATCACTTGCACTGGCCTTGTTATTTGCAGTGCTTTCTAAGGCCCATTTGACTTCACTCTCCAGGATGTCTGGCTCAAGGTCAGCAACCACACTACCTGGGGTATACGAGACATCCATTTCTTTCTGGTATAGTTCCTCTGTGTATTCTTGCCACCTCTTCTTGATGTCTTCTGCTTCTGTTAGGTCCTTTCCACTTTTGTCTTTTATTATGGAAATCTTTGTACGAAATGTTCCTTTCATATCTCCAGTTTTCTTGAACAGATCTCTGGTTTTTCCCATTCTATTGTTTTCCTCTATTTCTTTGCATTGCTCGTTTAAGAAGGCCTTCTTGTCTCTCCTTGCTATTTTTTGGAAATCTGCGTTCAATTTCCTGTATCTTTCACTATCCCCCTCGCATTTTGCTTGCCTTCTCTCCCCTGCTGTTTGTAAGGCCTCGTTGGACAGCCACTTTGCTTTCTTGCATTTCGATTTCATTGGGATGGTTTTAGTTGCTGCCTCCTGTATAATGTTACAAGCCTCCATCCATAGTTCTTCAGGCACTCTGTCCACCAAATCTAAATCCTTAAACCTGTTCCTCACTTCTACTGTGTATTCATAAGGGATTTGACTTAGATTGTATCTTACCGGCCAAGTGTTTTTTCCTACTTTCTTCAGTTTAAGCTTGAATTTTGCCATAGGAAGCTGATTATCTGAGCCACAGTCAGCTCCAGGTCTTGTTTTTGCTGACTGTATAGAGCTTCTCCGTCTTTGGCTGCAGAAAATATAATCAATCTGATTTCGATGCTGCCCATCTGGCGATGTCCATGTGTAGAGTCGTCTCTTGTGTTGTTGGAAAAGAGTGTTTGTGATGACCAGCTTGTTCTCTTGGCAGAACTCTATTAGCCTTTGCCCTGCTTCATTTTGAACTCCAAGGCCAAACTTGCCAGTTGTTCCTTTTATCTCTTGACTCCTACTTTAGCATTCCAATCCCCTATAATGAGAAGAACATCCTTCTTTGGTGTCATTTCTATAAGGTGTTGTAAGTCTTCATAGAATTGGTCAACTTCAGTTTCTTCAGCACCAGTAGTTGGTGCATAAACTTGAATTACTGTGATGTTAAAAGGTCTGCCTTGGATTCGTATCGAGATCATTCTATCATTTTTGAGATTGCATCCCAGTACAGCTTTTGACACTCTTTTGTTGACTATGAGGGCCACTCCATTTCTTTTACGGGATTCTTGCCCACAGTAGTAGATGTGATAGTCATCCGAACTGAATTTGCCCATTCCCGTCCATTTTAGTTCACTGATGCCCAGGATGTCAATATTTATTCTTGCCATCTCACTTTTGACCACATCCAACTTACCCAGGTTCATGGTTCTTACATTCCAGATTCCTATGCAATATTTTTCTTTACAGCATTGGACTTTCCTTTTGCTTCCAGGCATATCCGCAACTGAGCGTCCTTTCGGCTTTGGCCCAGCCGCTTCATCAGCTCTGAATCTACTTGTACTTGTCCTCCGCTCTTCCTCAGTAGCATGCTGGATGCCTTCCAACCTGAGGGGCTCATCTTCCAGCGTCATAACTTTTATATGCCTGTTGTCTTTGTCCATGGAGTTTTCTTGGCAGGGATGCTGGAGTGGCTTGCCGGTTCCTGCTCCAGGTGGATCACGTTTGGTCAAAACTCTCCACTATGACCTGTCCATCTTGGGTGGCCCTGCACGGCATAACTCATAGCTTCTCTGAGTTAATCAAGCCCCTTCGCCACGGCAAGGCAGTGATCCATGAAGGGGATTTCTCATGGACACTGCCAATCCTGAATGTTTTGGATTTGTGACCATTTTGCTCATTTGCCTTCAGTAGCAGTAAAGCTCTGCTGGATGAAATAATAATTGCCTCTGGTCTATTTTTTTGGGAATCCTGCAACATGTTTAAGTTGTTGCTCTGCTAACTATACATTGGAATCTACTCTGGATCAATATTGAGTAGAATTCTATGGAAAAAAACACAGCATAAAAATACAACATAAGAACACTAAATGCATAATAAAAATAAGAACATAAGTAACCTATAACTCCTACTCCGCTTCCCTCACCCATTTCTCTGTCAGGAGCTTGTCCAACACTTGAGTAGGACCCTGGCAGAGACACATGCCCGACTGGCATGTTCTCTCCCTCCTGGTCGATCGTTTGAGAGCTTCAAAAGCTTTCTTCAGCCCGAACATCACAGCCAACAGATATTGGCACACTTAGGGATCCGCAGAGTCTGCGCAGTTCGCGTGACAAACCTCAGCAACTCAGCATTTTGGCTAATCTACTTTATTTACATACATATAAACACACACGGAGCACTGCAACATGGCTCCCTCTCTCTCTAGCATCAGACAGCAAAGAGAAAAAACAAAGGACAATAGTCCCACTTCACGGAACACAGTAACACAAACATCCTGTCTCCATCACTTCCCACTCGGTGGAGTCAAAACATATACCCTCATGTAATAGACAACAATCCCATGACTGCAATCACAGAGCTGGAATTCTAACATTCTCTACCATTGTAGCTCACCCAGCTTTTCCTCTGGCTCAGACAATGGTGGTGGTGAGAGTGAGGACTGATTGGTGCTAACCCATGTCCTTCTTCATCTTTCCCCTCCTCCCCTGCCTCAATAGGCACTTTGAGTCAAGCAGCAGAGAATCCGACCTATCATGTGAATGGGATCCTGGGAGGATCGGTATTCCTTTCTTTAAATGCACCCCCAGCCAAAAAAGTGGTCAAAATTGAATGGGCCTTCCACCCCACATCTGGGAATCCATACCCGCTTGGTGAGTTCAGGGATGGAAAACTGGATCTGTCAAATCTCAGGAGCATGTATGAACAACAGATGGAAACTGGTGATGCCGTCGCATTGAGGATCGAGAACTTGGCAATGGTTGATGAGACCACGTTGAGGATCAAGAACCTGACAATGGAGCATGGTGGGATCTATGAAGCTCGTACCTGGATTAACTCTGCGCTGTTCCAAGAACACCACTTCATCCTCACTGTTTATGGCAAGTAATGATTTCACCATCTTTGTCAGTTTGTAGTGGAGCTGAGCATAGAATGGGAAGATCATGGAATATGATGAGGAACCTTTTTCAGCCTGAGAGCCACTGTGCTGGTCCTGGGGTGGGGTGGGGGTACCGTGTGGCATGGTCTGAGTCTGGTCCTGGGTCGAGGGTCTGGAGGCTGTCCATCAAGGGCGAAGCGGGGTCCAAGGCAAGGAGCTGGGCATGGTCAGGAACTCTGGAAGAGCAGATCAGGGTGCTGGCAGGAACAGGATTCCAATGATGTTGCTCCCGCATCCTGGGACAGGGCTGACTGGCCTTTATCTCCTCTGAGGCCTAGGGCGGTCCTAGCCCACAGGTGACTCGCCTCTCCTGGCCTTAAGGCGAGCACTCCTCCTGAGAGAAGATAGTTCCCTCCGCCTCTCTACCCTGAGCCTCTGCAGCTCCAGAGAGGCTGGAGGGATACTGGACCCAGAGGCAACCTCACCTTCCCCTGACAGGGCTGAGAGAGGCGCACCTGCAGGCAATGGGTCCTCGATCACCTCTGGAGCCAGAGCGGATTTAGCTGGTGTCTGCTGCTGAGGATCCGGCACAGGTGAGGGCCCTTCAGGTTCAAGCCCCAGCCCCGGCTCAGCCGGCTCTGGAGGCGGGAACTCCTGTGCAGGCTGGGAATCCTCAGGTTCAGCCTCTGAATCTGATTCCCAGGCCATCACAGCCACATTCTCACCTAGGCAACATTCCAGGGGGCACATGGCAGTGGGGCACAAAATCAGAGGAAATAAGTGCGTGGTGTTGGAATCTCCGTTCGCCCGAGCTGATAAAGCTCATCTTCCGAAATTGCCCTCCGACTGCCCAGTGGCAAACAGAAACTAACATGTGGAACATTGAGTCCGAATGTTACTGTTCTACAATATGCTAGTTTCTTCACATGTGTGCAACCCCCATCCTCCATCCAGGAAGCAAGGGGCATTATCAAAATTCAATAATACTTTTCACCCAGACAAAAGAACTGAAGGAGGGTGTGACTCAAGGCCAGTGAGGGGAGTATGTCTGGGAAAGATATGTGGCTCTGGGAACTCTGGGAAAGGACTCTGGGAGAGAGTCCTGAGGGCCAGATAGAGATGCTTGGGGGGACATATTTTGCCTCTGGGCCCAAAGGTCCCCACCTCTGCCCTACACAGTTACAGAGAGGCATGTGGGGCACGAACGCCTAATGTAATGATCTCATGCAGGTAAGGAAGCCCCGATAAGAATTCATGAGTCTCTGGCAGTTTTATGGTACATTTATTTACAATTAGCATGCTGAGCATGGCTCCAAGCCTGCTGCTCTTTTCTACAAGTTGGTCACTCTGAGTCTCCGCCCCTATCACAACGCAAAGTGTGCCAAAGTCCAGTCCTTCCTCTCTTGTAATTCTGTTGCATTTTAACATTTGCAGCTCTTCTGGTTCAGGGAGGAGGTAGGTGAACTCCCCCCCCCCACTATAAAACGAAGATCCCTCTAAACGTTGCTTGCCTCCTGGTTGCATAGCAACCCCCTCAATGTCATCTATCTCCTCCCCTCCCTCTGCCTGTGAGTTCTCTGAGTCTGCCGCTCTATCTGAGTCTGGGAATTCTTGATGAAGTGGTGCAGAACTAACTCACTTCTGCTCTGTCTGTGGCTGCAACCCCTCGTCTCCAGAGTCAGGCTCTGGCTCCCTCTGTACTGGCATTCCTTCATCTCCAGAGTCAGACTCTTCCTAGGCATTCTATTCATCCACATGCCTGACACCTAATTACTTTCATTTCTGTTAAAACAGAGCCAGTGCCAAGACCATGGATACAACATAAAGTAGAATCTAAGACTCCAGAAGGCTGCACTGTGTCCTTACAGTGCCAGGCACCTGTAAAGGAGGAGTACACTATCTCCTGGAAAAGAGGGAATTCACCCAGGGTCTCAGCAGGAGGTTTGGATAAGTACTGGCTTTCTGACCATGGAAGGAATCTCCACGTCTCCTGGCGAAAAAACTCTTCTGACTCCACATTCACTTGCCTGGTCAGCAATCCTGTTGATCAAAACCGTGCCTCATTTGACTTGCTCAGAATTTGTGCAAGTGGGGAAGGTAAGAAATGTATCATCCCTTTCATAACCCACTGGTTCTGCTTGGAGTGGTGAATACTCAGGCATTCCCTCAAGTTCAAGAACACTGTCCAACCATCTTGTCCTCTGTCGTCCCCTTCTCCTTGTGCCCTCCATCTTTCCCAACATCAGGGTCTTTTCCAGGGAATCTTCTCTTCTCTTGAGGTGGCCAAAGTCTTGGAGCCTCAGCTTCAGGATCTGTCCTTCCAGTGAGCACTCAGGGCTGATTTCCTTCAGAGTGGAGAGGTTTGATCTTCTTGCAGTCCATGGGACTCTCAAGAGTCTCCTCCAGCACCACAATTCAAAAGCATCCATTCTTCGGCAATCAGCCTTCTTTATGGTCCAGCTCTCACTTCCATACATCACTACTGGGAAAACCATAGCTTTAACTATACGGACCTTTGTTGGCAAGGTGATGTCTCTGCAATGTGATCTTTTCCATGATGCACCTCTCCACATAAAAAAGTGTTCACATAAATATACAGACTATTGAAAAATAATCTTCAAAATAAAATGTGGGAAAGGAACACTGTCACTTTATAGAATAAGAACAGTCCAATGGTAGAAATGGTTTTATCACCTTTCTTTTCCTGAGTACGTGATCTTTTGTACATTACACCAACAACTGGGAACACACTGGCCTGCGAGCGCTCCAGCTGGAGAACAGCCTTGACCAAAGGTGTCATGGGCTTTGAAGACGCTCGAACTCAGGACACAAGGGAGAAACGTGCTAAGAGGGAGGCAGGCTTGGCAAATCCACACCGTGATCAACTCCTGCCCAAGAACCAATGTCCCCACTGTGGAAGGATGTGTGGGTCCAGAATTGGCCTCCACAGTCACTTATGGATTCATTGTTATTTTTTTATTTTTTTTTAAATGATATTTATTAAAATTTCAAAAAAGACAAGAATTACACAAAAACAAAAAATAAAAATACAAGAAAATACAAGATACAGAAAAAAGAATAACAAAACCCTTATTAAGATATAACAAAGAAATGAAAAATAAGAGAAACATACAAAATAAAAACAGTTAAAAACACATTAATTTTCCATAGCATATCTTCCATACACTTATTTCCCGGACCTCCTCGTACCTCCCTTTTTGTATTCCAGTTCAATTTGTTAGTTCAGCAAATCCTTACCATTAAGCTTTTACCCATTTGTGAACCTTTTTCGTATCTCTTAAAGCATTACAGCTGGAAACCACTTAGTTTCTATCCAACATCCTTCTAAGATTCATTAATTTTACAATATTTCTGTAAATAGTCTTTAAAATTTCTTCCAGTCTTCTTTCACCGACTCTTCTCCCTGGTCTCGGATTCTGCCAGTCATTTCTGCCAATTCCATGCACTTATGGATTCATTGTTAAAACCGTGTTTATGGAAAACAATCTTACTTGGCTACGAGTGATCGCCAAAGAAGAAGAAAGAAATATCTTACCTTATTTTATTGTCTGCCACTTTGGCAGTCTTTGGTTTATAAATCTACCAATAAATAATAGAAATAATAACAAGAGTGGAGAATAATATAAAGTAGTCCAGGGCAACAGTAATGGAACAAGACCTTCTTCTTTCTTATGGTATTTACTCAAATGTAATGCACATCTCGGGGGCGTGGGTGGCACTGTGGTGTAAACCACAGAGCCTAGGATTGCCGATCAGAAGGTTGGCGGTTCGAATCCCCGCGACGGGGTGAGCTCTCGTTGTTCAGTCCCAGCTCCTGTTAACCTAGCAGTTCGAAAGCACATCAAAGTGCAAGTAGATAAATAGGTTCCCCTCCGGCAGGAAGGTAAACGGTGTTTCCTGGTTCACCAGAAGCAGCTTAATCACGCTGGCCACATGACTCAGAAAAACTATCTGTGGACAAACATTGGCTCCCTTGGCCTGTAAAGTGAGATGAATGCCGCAACCCCAGAGTCGTCTGCAACTGGACTTAACTGCCAGGGGTCCTTTAACTTTTTAATGCACATCTCTTTTTTGCCAAATTAAGTCACAAAAATTAGGGTGCACATTAGATTTGATAGTACAGTTACATTTGCCAGCAAATACTATTTGGGTTTCAAGGTTTTGAAAATGGAGGTGTGCAATAGTTTTGATGGCTCATTCAATTTGTGTAAATAGAGTATTTGTTCTGCTTCTCTTAGTCACATAGGGGAGGTCCATTTGGTGGCTGTTATTGCAGTTCGTTCCAAGAGCCTCTTATTGTTTGTTGCAGGTGGACAACAAAAGTACTGGGGGTTCCTGCTGCTTCCCATCTGTGCTGTTGGAGCTTCTGCATGCCTGATAATGATATGGAAGAAGAAAAGGTTGGGAAAGGAGAAAGGTAGAACCATCTCTGTTAATCCTCTTAATTACCTGGGATGGAGGTTAACTGCCAAATATGTGTCTGCCTCTCCCTTGCTCCTCTTGAGAGGCAGAGGTTGGCCAGTGCCATGACATGAACAGCAGGTTTCATGTTCTGCTCTGTAGATGCTGCTTCTGCGATGCAAGCTCAAGAGGGCTCTCCTGCGCCCTTCCTCAGAGGAGACCCCCCCAAAGATGGTGATGACCTACTGAGATGAGCATTTACAGTAAGGAAGGCTGGAGGACCGGATGAGATGTTTGGAAGCCACGTAATACTATGGCATTGTTTTTTAACATTTGTTAGTACTACTAGGAGTAGTCAGGGCTTCTTCTTTTTCCCCAGCCAGAACGCTCTGGAACAGAGTTCATTTATCTATCACCTTGAAACACCATTGCAGGGGGTTGGACCAGATGGCCCTCAAGATCCCTTCCAACTCTTCAGTTCTATGATTCTATGAAACAAATCATCTTAGAGGAGTGGTTGGCTACTAGCCATGAAGGCTATGCTCTGCCTCCGTGGTCAAAGGTAATAATGCTTCAGAATAGAAGTGGCTGCAACCTGCAGGAGGGGAAAGTGTGTCAGTTTGATTTCATAATACCAAAAGTATTGATCTGATGAATAGAGATCTTTCCTGTTCTAATTAATTAAGAGGGTTCTGGAAGCTTCTCTGTGTGAAAGAAACAAGCAGAAGGTTCATGATGTTTGGGTTATTCCTTCAGAGAAGCTGAGCACAGCTCACTTAAACTGGTTCTTTTATCTCTTCCTGTCAAGGTCATGCTGATTATAATCATAAGGCCAGACAGAGCCGGGGTTTCACTTCTTTCTTTCTTTCTTTCTTTCTTTCTTTCTTTCTTTCTTTCTTTCTTTTTGATGTGGTATTCTGTGTATATAGTGTTAAGTTTTAGACTTACTATAAGTTATTCTAAGTTTAAGTTAAGTCTGCTGCAACTGGATTTCTTATGGACAGTGCCAATTCTGAACGTATATGAATTTGTGACCATTCTGCTCATTTGCCTTCGGTAGCAGTAAAGCTCTGCTGGATGAAATATTCATTGTTTCCAGCATTTGGAAATGTAAAGAAAAAGAAGGATCTTTTTACCCCAATGGTGGGAATGTAAGAAAGTAAAAAACTTGTGGGAAATGATATATAATGAGATGAAAAAGATGTTGAAATATACATTTATTAAAAAAACCAGTAGCATTTTTACCTGGCATTGTAGGGGATGATATTAAAAGACAAGATCGTAAATTGTTTTTATATGCAACAACGACAGCAAGAATATCATTGAAACAAAAATGGAAACAAGAAGAATTACCGATGAAAGAAGAGCGGCAAATGAAATTAATGGATTATGAAGAATTAGATAAACTAACAGGAAGGATTCAAAACCTGCAGGAGATTCTTAGAGGACTGGAGTAAATATCTGAACTATCTGAAAAACAATTGTAATAAAGAGATTACGCTAGTAGGACTGCAAGACGTTTTGTAAGGAGGATTATGCAAAATATTGCAAGGAAGACTATGAAGAGAATATTACCGTAGTTAAGGACAATTAAAAGTAACAGAGAAATTAAGAAATGCAGATTAAGTGATAAAGAATGGAAAATCTTCAGAGGTAGTTGACGGAAGTCTAAAACATTATATAAGATAAAAATGTATGTTAAATGACTGTTGGAAATGATGTTAAAAAATTTAATTAAAATGTGTGTGTGTATTAATTGTCTCTGGTCTATTTTTGGAAATCCTGCAATGTGCTCAAGTTTTCACTCTGCTAACTATACGCTGGAATCTGTTCTGGATCAATATTGAATAGACTTCCATGACAGAGTGCTCAAGTGCAAATTCCTATGTATAATACATCAAATTATCTGCCTTCATGTACAGTACACAGTAGATATTCTATATTTTGAAAGTAGGCTAGGGTCAGTTATTTAGTGATAGCAAATCTGTGTATTAGTATTAGGTAGAAGGAATAAGAATGCTCTCCCTTTAAGAAAAGATACTGCCTTTCCCCCTTTTTTAGACATCAAGGCAGGTTGGGATATATTCTAGTTTCTATTGCCTCTGACCAGAGGGGAAGAAACCTCCCTTCCCCCTTTGCAATCTAGTTTCAGTCTAATACTTGAATACGCAGGAAGAGGGGCAAACTCATTTGCTCTCACAGAACTCCATAGAGAACTTCATAAAATACTTCTAACCATCTTCATTCAGAGCCAAAGAACAGCCTATTGGAATGTGGGTAATATTTCTACATGTGCCTTGATTATCCTCAATAAGTTTATGTATGAGAGCTTTGTGGAGTTTTGTTGAATACTATCCAGACTGAGAGAGAAGTTTCAGGACTGAACAGTGGGCAATATTCTTGACAGAACCCCATCAAAACAGCAAAACAGCAGCCTCCTATAATGATCTGAAGGCATTCGCTTTAAAAAAACAACAGCCCAATTTTTGCTTACAGTTTTCTTTGGCAGTAACCATTTATTCCCCATAACAAAAAGAAGAGGGAAAGTGGTGCTCAGAGTGGAGCAACTAAATTCTTAGAAGGAGCCCTTATCTCTGATCAGCCTCACACTGTTTTTGATCAAGACTGCTGACCTCTGTTTGGCAGCTGTATCTCAAAACATCATCTTCTAATAAAAGCAGAGCAAAATTTTAAGCTAATTTCTGATCATCTTATTTATTTATCTTGCTGGTTGCTTGTCACCCAAAGGTCTTCAAGAGACCTTCACATTAAAGAAAAATATATGTACATACATAAAACCATGGAGGGAAGGGGTAATGTGATATGTTCATATTTTGTATAACATACAACTTAAACAAAATCAAAAAGAACACACCAGTCACATAAAGAGTAACAAACAAGATTAGCAATACTCAGACAATTAACAAAGCAATTCTCCCACCCACTAATAAGTAGATGAACATACCTCATCCTTCAGTCCAAACACCATTCCATTGGAACTAACACCCCCCCCCACACACACCCTTAACCTCCCTACCCAGAATTATGGAGTCTGGCCAGCTGATCTCAATCCAGGGCCCTCCTCCAGGGATGATCTGGCATCTCTCCTCTCCCTACATAGGTGAGCCCAGGGCCAGATTTAGGTTTGATGAGGCCCTAAGCTACTGAAGGTAATGGGGCCCTTTATATGTCCGGCTGTCCTTAAAAAGGTAAAGGGACCCCTGACCGTTAGGTCCAGTGGTGGCCGACTCTGGGGTTGCGGCGCTCATCTCGCTTTATTGGCTGAGAGAGCTGGTGTACAGCTTCCAGGTCATGTGGCCAGCATGACTAAGCTGCTTCTGGCGAACCAGAGCAGCACATGGAAATGCCGTTTACCTTCCCGCCAGAGTGGTACCTATTTATCTACTTGCACTTGGACATGCTTTCGAACTACTAGGTTGGCAGGAGCAGAAACCGAGCAACGGAAGCTCACCCAATTGCAGGGATTCGAACCACCGACCTTCTGATCGGCAAGCCCTAGGCTCTGTGGTTTAACCCAGTGCGCCACCTGCGTCCCTCCAGCTGTCCCTAGTCAACAACAAATTGCCGCTTTTTCTGTTGAATATATGCTATATAGTAATTTATGGACCTATAAAGCCATTTGCACATAACAAAATATGTATTTTATCAAAGTAATTGTTGAACTGAAATAGAATTAAGAAGTATATTAATAGTGAAATACATTTCAGAAGAAGTATATTAATAGTGAAATAATTAAGCTCTAACTTAAAATGGTTTTTTATTCATAACAAACTACAAGCACTCTTTAATATTAGGCACAACAGCTTGACCTACATTCAACTGCGCTGCGCTGCAGTCTGCGTGCTACACGTTGCCCTGCAACCAGTCCATGCAGAATGTGGGCACACTATATATAGAAATGAGCTAACCAGGGATATTTTAGGGAGCAGGCTAGCCCATTACTTACACCATAGGAGCCTACACAACACAAAACACTGCTGCTGTATGTAGGTTTTATTTTATTTGTTTTTTAGCCTATATTTTGGAAATGTACATCCAGGGTTTTTCCTTTAAATTAATGCAACAACTTAAACATGTTGCAGGATTCCCAAAAATAGACCAGAGGCAATTACTATTTCATCCAGCAGAGCTTTACTGCTACTGAAGGCAAATGAGCAAAATGGTCACAAATCCAAAACAATTGCGAAGCAACTGAGGCAAAGGCACAGACAAGTTGTACTGCAAGATCTGGCCACACCGAGGCAGCAGTTCGGGCAAGAAAATAGGCAAAGGCACGGCTAAGAGGCATGGCCACAGGGAGGCAGTGCAGGAAAAGATCAGGGTTGGAAGGGAAGCGTCTTTTCAGCAGCTCTCTCTGCCTCCTCTTAAGGATTTTAAGGCAGAGTTGCCAGAACTCCCATCCAGGCACTGTTGAGGTTCTCCTCATAAATAGCTCTTTACTCAAAAGGAGACCTGCTCTGCAGCCAAGCACTCCAAGGCATGCAGAAGGTGGGGACGGGACACCTTTTTGATATTCCCTTCCAGGAATGTCCCACCCCTCTGGAGGCTGAGTCAGATTAGTCCCTTCTACTGATTCTGATGATCTTATTCTGCCTCTTAAGATCCCATCACTCCCAGGGCTTAGGGGCTGTTCTGCCTCCTCTTCCCTGTTTCTTCTTTGACGGTCCCAGGTCCTGCTTGAACATTGTTCTGGGATATTCCTGAGTGCTAGAAATTTCTAGGGGATCCAGATGATCCTCATCCAAATGCTTCTTGGAATAAGGGTTGTTATGTTGGGCTCGTATTTTGCACAATTTGTATACGGTGTCTGTTTGATAATATGTGGTTTGCTATGCCTAATAAAGGATTATATTTAACAAGGGTTGTCTAGTATCCACAGGACACCAAATACTGTATGCTGATGATTTCACTCCAGGCATCCTGCCCAATAACTCCCAAGAACTTAAAATAGATTCATAGACTCGTAGAACTGGACTCATCTAGTCCAACTCCCTTCAATGCAGGAATCTCAGCTAAAGAATCCCTGGCAGAAGGCCACCCAACATCTGCTTAAAAATCTTGAACGAAGCAGAGTCCACAACTTTCTAGAGGAGTCCATTCCACTGTTGAATGTCTCTTACTGTCAGAGAATTCTTCCTAATGTTTAGCTGGTACAAACTGGCTTGTATTTTGAAGCCTACATCAAAAGGCAATGTGTCCTTTTCCACAGTGTCAGGGTTGAACCAGAGGTCTCAAGTTCCCCAGAGGGAGGGGAAGGTTGAGGAGCAGAAGACAGGGAAGAGATGCCTGAGGAAGGGGGAGGCAATGAGGAGAGAGCAGTTGGAATAAGCTCAGAAAGTTCACAGGCATTGCAAGGGGTAAGCTCCGGCTCAGAAGAATGTGATGGCCTGGGACTTGGGCTCGGACTTGGAACCAGAGAAGCCTCAGTCTGCACTGGATCCTTTGCCTCAGGCGGCATCTGAACCAAGTCAGGGGCCTGATCCTGAAGAGTCCCATTCTGCACAGGCTCCCCTGCAACAAACACCAGCTGGGCCCAGTTAGAGGCCTGAGCCTGCCCTGGCTCCAGATGCGGAGATGACCTCGTTGCCTTCAGCTGGGCCATCACTTACAGCTGCTCCACTACCGGTTGGGTCAAGAGAGGCTGAGGCGGCCCCTGGGTCTAGTAACCCACTGATGTCTCCCGAGCTGCAGAAACTAAGGTCTGAGAGACCTGAGTTCTTGCAGGAGGAGTGCTCACCTTCAGGCGAGACAGGGAGGTGAGTCACCAGGGGATCAGGACCAACCATTACCCTGACAAAGATAAAAGGCTGTCGGACCACGCCCCAGGTCGCGGGAGCAATATTGCTGTTTGCCAGAACCTGCCTGAGACCCTGTGCCTGACCTTGACTGGTTTCCTGCCTTGTCCCCTGCCTTGGCCCTGTCAGACTGACTCCTCACAGAATCCTTGGTGTGATGGCCTGGGATTCCGATTCAGAGGCTGAACCGGAGGAATCTCAGCCTGCACAGGAGTCCCCGCCTCCAGGGCCGGCTGAACTGGGTCAGGGCCTTGATTCTGAAGCGCCTGCACCTGTGCCGGATCCTCAGGAGCAGGCACCAGGTGAATCCACTCTGGCTCCGGAGGTGGTTGAGGACTCAGTGCCTACAGGTGAGTCTCCCCCTGGGCCCAGTAACCCTTCGGCCTCTCCTGAACTGCAGAGGCTCAGGGCAGAGAGGCGAAGGGAACTGGTTTCTCCCAGGAGGAGTGCTCGCCTTAAGGCCAGGAGAGGCGGGTCTCCTGGGGGCCGGGACCGCCCCTGGCCTCAGAGAAGATAAAGGCCAGTCAGCCCAGTCCCAGGTTGCGGGAGCAACGTCGTCGATGAGCTGTTTCGGCCAGCATCCAGTCCTGTTCCCCCAGTGTTCCTCTCCCCACCCGGCTTCCAGCTTCGGACCTCACCTCGCTCCTTGAGAACTGTTTCCATACCAGTGACCGAGGACCGGACTTTGACTACGCCAACGGCAACCTTCCCCCCGGGACCAGCACACTTGGATTCGGGACCGCACCTGAACTGTAGTTCTCGGGTTACCCCCAGGCCCAGCACAAAGAAGGGGGTGCAAGATTTACGACTGCCTTAGAGAGGCTTGTACCGTTTTTTTTGCTCTATAAGATGCACTAGACCATAAGACGCACCTAGTTTTTGGAGGAGGAAGACAAGAGATAATAAAAAATAATATTCTGAATCTCAGAAGCCAGAACAGCAAGAGGGATCGCTGTGCAGCCTGCATTCGCTCCATAAGACACACACACATTTCCCTTTACTTTTTGGGAGGGAAAAAGTGAGTCGTATAGAGCAAAAAATGTGGGATGTAAACACAGGAGCAGTCAATGACAACATTCCTAGAGTGTACATGTTAGAACATGGGGAGGGATGTCTGTCCAGCAAGCAGGTAAACTTCCTGGGAACGGACTTCCTCCGCATGTGACCAGAGGTGGGTGTGGCCTCACCTGTGCAGGTAATGACAAAAGCACAGGGCAGGCAGCCACTCTCTCTCTCTCTGCCATTTTCCTTCGACGAGGAAGCATCTAAAGATGGTCTCTTGGCTCTCAGCCAAGAGAGGAGGAAAGGACTATCTTGCTATAAGATAGATTCTGAATATATGTAACCTTTTTAAGCTGTCTGCCTTCTGGGATCATATTGTGAACAGAACGTGAATAAACTCTTTTATACTTTTATAAAGACTGTGTCGTGTCTTGTATTTTAAGAGGGAACAAAAAGGGGAAATTACCAGAGTAATTATTATAGAGGTTCTAGCGAACCTGTGCACACGTTACCGTTGCGAACTTAAAGGGGAATGTTTATAAACTCTGCTGATATTTTGGGAACTTGTTAGCACAAGTTGGATAAGGATATAATCCCACAATATATCCTCTCCTGCACCCCAGAACATTCCCACAAAAAATACGGTAATTAAACGTTGGAATGAGCACAAGGGTGGGAGACTTCACCATTTTATGAGCTGTTTGAGGGGCAAACACAGGTCTCAACTTAAATCTGAGCTCAGTGACTCTGATGGGTGAATCGTCTACTAATTGCTACTTGTAAATCTGTAAATAAAGATAATAAAAACACCAAAGAGACTCTCGTGGCTTCTGTGTGAGAAGAGACGCCCGCAGCTCTGACACACAACTCCCTTTTTAATTTGTACAAATGACCACAATCAGAGGGATGTTCAGTAGCGATTAGGCGTCACAGCACACTCTAAAAGTTGTTCCCAACAATGCAAGGAAGGGGATGCAGGATCTCTTTAAGAGCACAGCTTTGCTGGGAGGGGTTCAGGTGCAGAGAGGGTTTTATCAGTGAGCCATGCTTTGCAATTCCATGCAAATAAGCAACAGGGAACCAGTAACGAACTTTATCATTGTCAATTATTTACCCCTTCAGAACAAAACAGACTTACAACGTTTCTGTGGCTTGAAAGCTGTACAAGTATTGAAGGAATTAACCAAAGGAAAAGTAGATTAACAGCTTGAATACGAGAAGGATCTTAAGGCTTCTGCAAGTGTCTTCATTAACTTTTCTGTCTGATTGTGGAGGGAGACTCAGGACTTACCAAATGAAGTACAGATCCATGGAGTGAAGAGAAGGATGGCCAGGAGGCTTCTGCTCGGGACTTCCACAATCATTTTGGCCAGGAGCGAAGAGAGCTTTGTTTTCAGCCCAATGCCTTTCCTAAAAGGGATCGCCCACACTTCCTCTTGTCCTGCGCCTAGAAAGTCCAGGTCTCAGCGGTTTCCCACTTGCGCGCTCCTTTTCCCAGGTAATTCCCACTATATACCTCTAAATCAGAACAAATTGCGATCCCCAGGAACCCCGATTGTTGCTTGCCCCCATTGAGAGTGCTCAGGCGCAGTCTTTCTTCTCATCTAGAAGATGAGACACTGGTAAGGTCCAAAAGAATCTTCTGATGCTACTTCTTGCCGTAAGAAATTGTGCCATTTGCATGCCCGGAGTTATCAGTGGCACCATTTCAGCCTGAGCCAGGCTTTTAAAACCGCGACGCCACATCACAACTTGACTCAGACTTTTATTTTTCATAGCACAGGGGATTTTTAAAATATTCCGTATGTGGGGCTGGCCCGTGATGCTTGCCCCTAGAAATAAATCCATGCCCCCTCCCGCCGCAAATTCCTGTCCCCCACCGCTCAGCGCTAGAAGATGCTAGAAGATGCTCTCTGTCGCCGTCTCCTGCTCCTCCTCCGCTGCGCCCAAGACATATTAAAAGCGGGGTAATTTGAGACAGGACGAAAGCGGGGGGCGAGGAGGCGAGGCTGCTGCTGCTGCTGGACCGGGATACCGGCGCTGGGCTAAATCCGAGACCCTCCGAAAAATCCTCCCTTCCCCCTCAGCGCATTTTCCCCTCCCAGGCAGGACTTGGAGGAGCCTCTTCAGGATTTATGGTGGGTGGGGCAGAACCTCAGTCAAGTATTTGTATTGATTTACTTATTTGGGAGGCAGCTGCCCCCCTTGGCTACACCCACGCCCGCTTTCCAGAGGGTGTTTTTATTTTCCTTCTCCATTCCTGCTCTTTCTTTACAGATTCTGGTCTCTCTCCCTCTTTTCCTCCCTCTCTTCTTTGCTTATTTCCCCCCTTCCTTTCCTCTGCAATTCCTCGCCGGTCTCTCTCGTCTTCGTTTCCATGTCATCTATCTTTCCGTCTTTCCTTCTTTCCTCTCTCCTCTATCTGCTCCCCCTCTTTCCCCCTTTCGTCACCCTTTTCTCTCCCGCCTGTCGCATTCTAGCGCCTCCCTTTTCCCTTTTATACACGAGCACAGCTGCCTGAATGAATTTTTAGTGTCACTATGCAAGTCCCACGACAACGTTTCACTCTCCGCCACGGACATTTGTGCGTGAACGCGTCTGCTGACATTTCTTGAACGCGTCTGCTGCATTTGGTATTCTGCGTTCAGTCTTGTCTGCTGGATTCCATTGTTTCCTTGCCTGGAAGTCACCCAGAGAAAATACTTCTATAGCTAATAAAGGAATCCAGTAAGTTACGTCTCTCTCGTCTCGCGACCTCTGCGTGTTCCTTCAGTTGCTTCCAATTTTGTTTAATTTCACTTGTCTGGTCAGCAATCCTGTTGATCAAAACCGTGCCTCATTTGACTTGCTCAAAATTTGTGCAAGTGGGGAAGGTAAGAAATGTATCATCCCTTTCATAACCCACTGCTTCTGCTTGGAGTGGTGAATACTCAGGCAGTCCCTCAAGACAGGGATTGTATAAGCAAACACTCCTCCTTCCTTGCAAGCTTTTAGCAGGTTTGGGCCAACACAGCTCTGCTTGCAGACTATGCTTGACCCTATGAGTTGCTGCTCCTGAGCTTAAGAGTCTCGTGCTCTACCAACTAAGCTATCCTGCTTCTTTGATTTCTTCTTTGATTCCTAGGCTGTGCCCTGGGACCCACAAAAATGAAATCAGCAATGATATCTGAAGAGCCATGGCATTCTTAGAGCATCTACTCCTGCAATGGGACTCCCAGAATCCCCAGCAGGACTCAGGTGCTTTGCTTGCTATTCCTGCTGCAGTGAAGGCAAGCAAAAGCACCATGTAAGTTTATGTCTCCAAATTATAAATGATGGGTTTGGACGCAGGTTTAGTCAGGCTTAGAGTGGAGTCTCTGAGGACAAATGCATTTTGGTTAGCTTCCCAAACCCATAAGATAACCGAAATACACCTATCCTTCAGGATTTTTACTTCTCCATAATGCACCTCTCCACATAAAAATAGTGTTCACATAAATATACAGACAATTGAAAAATAACCTTCAAGATAAAATGTGGGAAAGGGACACTGTCACTTTATGGAGTAAGAATAGTCCAATGGTAGAAATGGTTTTATCTCCTTTCTTTTCCTGAGTATGTGATCTTTTGTGCATTATATCTTATAAACACCAACAACTGGGAAACACTGGCCTGCGAGCGCTCCAGTTGGAGAACAGCCTTTACCAAAGGTGTTATGGGCTTTGAAGACACTCAAACTCAGGACGCAAGGGAGAAACGTGCTAAGAGGAAGGCAGGCTTGGCAAATCCACACCAGGATCAGCTCCTGCCCGGAAACCAATGTCCCCACTGTGGAAGGATGTGTGGATCCAGAATTGGCCTCCACAGTCACTTATGGACTCATTGTGAAAACCGTGTTTATGGAAGATAATCTTATTTGGCTATGAATGATTGCCAAAGAAGAAGAAAGAAATATCTTATTTTATTTTATTGTCTGCCACTTTGTCAGTCTTTGGTTTATAAATCTACCAATGGATAATATAAATAATAAGAGTGAAGCATAATATAAAGCAATCCAGGAGATCCAACTTAGGGCAACACTAATGGAACTAGACCATCTTCTTTCTTACGGTATTTACTCAAATGTAATGCATATCTCGGGGGCACGGGTGGCACTGTGGTGTAAACCACAGTGCCTAGGACTTCCCGATCAGAAGATCGGCAGTTTGAATCCCCACGACAGGGTGAGGTCCCGTTGCTCGGTTCCTGCTCCTGCCAACCTAGCAGTTCAAAAGCACGTCAAAGTGCAAGTAGATAAATAGGTACCACTCCGGCGGGAAGGTAAACAGTGTTTCCGTGCACTGCTCTGGTTTCATCAGAAACAGCTTAGTCATGCTGGCCAAATGACTCAGAAAAACGTTGGCTCCCTCGGCCTGTATAGTGAGATGAGCGTCGCAACCCCAGAGTCGTCTGTGACTGAACTTAACTGTCAGGGATCCTTTACCCTTTTAAGGCACATCTCTTTTTTTGCCAAATTACGTCACGAAAATTAGGGTGCACATTAGATTTGATGGTGCACTGATATTCACCAGCAAATACTTTTTGGGTTTCAAGGTTTTGAAAATTGAGGGGCGCAATAGTTTTGATGGCTCATTTGATTCGTGTAAATACGGTATTTGTTCTGCTTCTCTTACTCCCATAGAGGAGATCCCTTTGGTGGCTGTTACTGCAGTGCGTTCCAACAGCCTCTTATTGCTTGTTGCAGGTGGACAACAAAAGTACTGGGGTTCCTGCCGCTTCTCGTCTGTGCTGTTGGAGCTTCTGCATGTTTGATAATGATATGGAAGAAGAAAAGGTTGGGAAAGGAGAAAGGTAGAACCATCTCTGTTAATCCCCTTAATTACCTGGGATTGAGGCTAACTACCAAATGTGTGCCTGCCTCTCCCTTACTCCTCTTGAGAGCATGTTTCCAAGCACAATTCAAAGTGTTGGTGCTGACCTTGAAAGCTGTAAACGGCCTTGGCCCAGTAGACCTGAAGGAGCATCTACACCCCCATCGTTCTGCCCGGACACTGAAGTCCAGCACCGAAGGCCTTCTGGAGGTTCCCTCCCTGTGAGAAGCCAAGTTACAGGGAACCAGGCAGAGGGAATCCAGTGCTTCCTCTTCTGCCAGCCCCTCTCGCTCCTCCTCATCCAACTCAGGAGCTGTCTCTGTGACAGAAGAGGACATGTGAGCCCAACCGCTAGACATCTCTCCACAGCTACACAAATTGAGCTCAGATTACGGAAAGGGCCATAGCTCAGTGGAAGAGCCTCTGTCTTGCAAGCAGAAGGTCTCCGGTTCATTTCCCAGCACATCTCCAGATAGCGTTGGGAGAGACTTCTGCCTGAAATCCTGGACAGCCACTGCCAGTCAGTGTAGACAATACTGAGCTACATGGACCAATGGTCTGATTCAGTATGTGGCAGCTTCCTATGTTCCCAAGTGTTGGGTGTTTGTGTCATTTTTATTCTCAGCAAATGCCACATCATTTAAAAACAAACAAGCAAACAATCTTCTTCCTTATTTGCATTTAGTCCCTAGGTCTCCGGGAAAATAATGCAGAGAGAAGCCCCCAGAAAGAACGGCTTGTCACCACTATTTACGACCAGATCTGAAGGACCCTGGACAATTCTTCTGAAGAAGTCACATAGGCCTGGTAAGGTCCATGATATTTTGGATGGGCTTAAAAAATACAGTGGTACCTCGGGTTAAGTACCTAATTCATTTCGGAGGTCTGTTCTTAACCTGAGGCACCACTTTAGCTAATGGGGCCTCCTGCTGCTGCCACTCTGCCGGAGCACGATTTCTGTTCTCATCCTGAAGCAAAGTTCTTAACCCGAGGTACTACTTCTGGGTTAGCAGACTCTGTAAACTGAAGCGTATGTAACCTGAGGTACCACTGTATATCAAATGGTGGTGATTTTTTTTTGCACAAATATATGCACCAAATATGTTTGTGTGTGATTCTAGCCATGCACCAGCCTCTCCTTCAAGACCTTGAACAAAGGAAAGCTCCAGCAGCTCTAGATAGTGTTCCCATTGTCAAACTGGTCCTACGATCGATACATTTCTCCTCATGTCCAACTGAGATCTACCCTTCAGTCTAGGGTAGATCCTTTAATCTAGTAGAGGGGAAGAAGTCTGTCCTCTCTTCTATGGGAGAGCCCCAATATGCCATCTTATTTATAGATATAATTCTGTTTCCCAGCAGGATCCAGCAAGAGGGATTTTGTCAAGAAACATCACCTTTGCAGGGGCCAAAAACCAAATGATGTGCCAAACCCTCTGAGCACCACTTGGGACTTGCCAAGGCTACGTTTTGTTTTTGTTTTTTGGCACAGAAGAGAAGAGAATATTTCACGGGCGAAATTCCCTTTCTTTCCATTTATTGTGAAACCTTATTTTCTGCTACAAGCCCTCACTCCAAAGTTACTAGAAGTCCTCGCTCTGAAATGGCTCGAAGCCCTCACTCCAAAGTGGCTTGAGAATATCTTTCTGAAGCTGAACCCTGGAAGGGAGAATGATCCAAGGCTTTCTAAACTATGGAGCAAACTATTCTCCAAAAGATCAGTCCATACAATGGAGTTTTCCGCCATCCTCAAAAGAAAGCATAGAGGGATGTGGAGTCTTGAGATATCCACCCAGGGAAAAATTGGGCTGATTGGCAGAGACTGAAATAATGCCCACCACTCTTCTCCTAAATTGGAAGCCATTGTGGGCAGCAGCAACATGAAACCAGAACCATTCTAGCATGCAATTACATGGCTAAAAGGAAGACTCTGCTTTTGAGATGGACAAGACGGCAATAAATAAATATTCAGACTTACCTCCCATAAATGTTTTAGTAAGCCCATCCATGGCTGTTTTTAAGAAAGAGAGAGACCGTCTATGAATGGATGCGACATCATGCTCAGGATAGCATCTGACATCCAACTGCTAGACCTGAATCTCTCCTTAGGTGTCACAATAGACTTCCCTTTGGGCTGCTGTGCGTAAGAGGGCAGTGGACTCTTGACTATGCTAGCAATCCTGACCTTGTGCTCATGATGTATCAAAGTAAATATGAAAGCAAAACTAGCACTCCTACATTCCAGTTTTAAACAAAACTAAGAGGAAGGTGATGCTGCCACTGATTGATCATCCTGAATGATGCAATTCATGAACTGGGACTGGAATGAAGATGGGTTTGTGCTTATGGGAAAGGGATGGATGCAACAGGGTTTGTTTCCACATAAATATGGTGGAGGAAAGGGTCCTAGCTCAGGGACAGAACACCTGTTTTGCATGCAGAATGCCCCAGGTTAAACCCACAATAGCATCTCCAAGTAGACCTGGGAATGTCCCCTCCCTGAAACCCAGGAGAGCTGCTTCCAGCCAGTGTAGACAGTCCTCAGCTAGAAGGACCAATGGTCTGAGTCAGCAGCATGCAGCACTTGGGCAAACCCATGTCTCAGTGGTAGAACACCTGCTTCACATGTAGAAGGTCCCAGCTTCAACACCTGAATGCACCTCCAGGTATGGCTGGGGGAAAAGGCAGCGACCCATGTTCCTAAACCAAGGCTCCATTTCTCCCCAACCTATTGTCTGCACATTGGCCTTCAGCTTTTCAGATCTCTCATATCAAGAGCCTTTCTTGGACCTGTCTGCGGCTGAACTCTAGAATGCTCAAAGCCTCTAAGTTCCAGATTCCACCCTCTGCTGTTTGAAGTACTTCAGAGCGAGGGGGGGAATTAATGTGTCCTGCAACAATATGTTGCAGTTCTAGATTCCAATCAGAATGTTACACTTACACACACACACCACCTCCTCACCCTGTTCTCCATTTTCCTTTTGGCATGTTCACTCTATAACCCTCATTTGGTTGATTCTTTTTTGGGGGGAGAAGGTGTCCCATTAAGTCTTTTGCTTTCAGGTTTTTGTACGTCTGCAAACTTTGGGGTTCCTCCAGGCCTGGAAATGCCTCCCTCCTCATGTAGCTCACAGAGATCCTCTTTTGGCCACCGTCCAGTCAACACTTGGCCCCTGTGCTTGTTATTACAGTACAAGATTGGAAGCTGTTCAAAACCTGTGCTGGAAACCTCCGGCTTTGATACCAGACACCATACTCACACTGCAATGGTGGGAGTGATCTTCAATGAGTTCTGGGTATAGAATTAGGTCTGTGGCTGCTGAAGTGTAGAAAGCCAAGTATCTGGACCTCCCAGCCCAGCTCAAGGTGCTGTAGGACCACAGAAACCAACCGTGCATTAATTAGCTGGTCATTGTATCATATCTGGTCCCTGCTCTAGATCTCACAAGACTTTACAGTGTGTATGTTGGGCACCATGCTATGTACTGTGCTATTTGTCTCAATAACATTTGGTAAAATAACCCTTTGAAGAATGTTGTCATTGCCTGATGGTAAAGGTGTACGAAGATTGTGGTTAATAACATCCATGAGGTTTTGTATATTTTTATTTCAGTCTGCCCAAAGTCGGCACACACACAGGCCATGCAATTTCTTGAGCCAAATTAAAGAGGCAGCAGGTTGTTGTTTCAGCACTGGGGATGGGACAGCAATTGCTGCATGAGAAAAACAGCCCTATCCAGAAATAGCAAGTAGCCCATGGCAGTCCACCCTCTCAGACCAAGTGGGCTTCAAGAGAACTTCGACACAGAACCCAGTGAAGGTGGTGAATGTCCTGTTTGAGTGCCTGGAGGTGGTTGTAAGATGGATGGTAGCTAATATATTGAGGTTGAATTCTAACAAGACAGAAGAACTGGGGGTTTGGGGGGGGGGACAGGGGACAGGCAGGTGTGAGGGACTCCCTGGTCCTGAATGGGGTAACTAAGCCCCTGAAGGACCAGGTCTGCAGCCTGGAAGTCATTTTGGACTCACAGCTCTCAATGGAGGTGCAGGTCAATTCTGTGTCCAGGGCAGCTGTCGACCAGCTCCATCTGATACGCAGGCTGAGAGCTTACTTGCCCGCAGACTGTCTCACCAGAGTGGTGCATGCTCTAGTTATCTCCCGCTTGGACTACTGCAATGCGCTTTATGTGGGGCTACCTTTGATGGTGACCCAGAAACTACAACTAACCCAGAATGCGGCAGCTACACTGGTGACTGGGAGCGGCCATCGAGACCACATAACACCGGTCCTGAAAGACCTACATTGGCTCCCAGTACGTTTCCGAGCACAATTCAAAGCGTTGGTGCTGACCTTTAAAGCCCTAAATGGATTCAACCCAGTGTACCTGAAGGAGTGCCTCCATGCCCATCGTTCTGCCTGGACACTGAGGTCTACCTCCAAGGGCCTTCTGGCGGTTCCCTCACTGCGAGAAGCCAAGTTACAGGGAACCAGGCAGAGGGCCTTCTCGGTGCTGGAGCCCTCGCATCAGATGTCTAGGAAATAAACAACTACCTGACTTTTAGAAGACATCTGAAGGAAGCCCTGTTTAGGGAAGTTTTTAATGTTTGAAGTTTCATTGTGTTTTTAATATTCTGTTGGGAGCCACCCAGAGTGGCTGGGAAAAGCCAGCCAGATGAGCGGGGTATAAATAATAAAATTATTATTGTTGTTATTGTTATTATTATTAGATTTCCACATTGTTAAGGTGGTCACAATATCATTACTATAATTGAATACACAGTTAACAGGTTTAATATATATATTTCTTAAACAGATAGATAGGTGCATGGCATGGAAATGCAGGAGAACCCAGAATCATGGTGTGTGTATGAGATTCTGACCCCTGAAATCCTGCCAGATAAGATCTGAGTGCACAGAACAGGAGTCAAAGAGACTCCAAAATAATTGCCACCACCTCTCACCCCTCCTGCACAGTCACAATCTGGACTATCCTTCTCCTAGTCCATCCTGGAGGGGGTGGAGGGAAGAGGCAGAAAGTCACAGACCTGAGGTCCTCCTTTCTTATTGGGGTGTGTGTGTGTGTGTGTGTGTGTGTGTGTGTCTGTGTGTGTGTTTTTTGGATGTGGATCTTAAAAATCCAGATGTTCTTTTAAAAAATCTCCATCTTGCCAATCGAGAAACAGGAAGCTGAGTTTGCTCTTACCCACTAGGCAGGGTTTTCTGCACAGTCAAGGTCTACCTATGATTGCCCCCAACCTCTGCTGCACCTCCCCACCCCACTGATCCCCCTGCTCAAACCCCCAGTCACACCCTCGACCTGCACACACTGGAGACAATGAGGGGCACAAACCCCAATTCACCACCACCAGCAGCACCATTAAGTCTTTATAATAATAATATTTTTTTATTTATACCCCGCCCTTCCCTGTTCAGGAAATCAGGCTCATGGTGGCTAACAACAAATTTAAAACACTTAATTGAGTGCTTTGCCACTCTTGCCCAGCCCTCCACTCCCTCCTTCCTGCAACTGGTGGGTTGGGGGCAGGGCTGGATTTAGGGCAACACGACTGATTCCCCCACACTGGGCACTGAGCTGAGAGGGCTGCTGTCAAGGGCTGCTGGCAATGGGTATGTGGAAGATAAACAACATTTCCATGTGCTCTGGTGTCCTGTTGCACCAGAAGCAGTTTAGTCCTGCTTGGTACGAGACCCGAAAAGCTGTCTGTGGACAAACACCAGCTCCCTTGGCCTGAGTGCTGTAACCCCATAGTCGCCTTTGGCTGGACTTAACATTCCACTGGTCTTTAACATATGTGGAACCTCCATATGCTAGAAGATCAGAGAGTGGAAGAGGGGCTGTTGCCTCCGTGCCCTCTCTTTGGCATGCCATTTTCACTAGTGTATGCTTTCTTACACACAGTTTCTCCTAATACATACATTTTTGTACACATGTAGTGATTGGAGAAGTGCCTCACAAAAACCCAAAATACAAAGGGTAGCTGCATTTCACAGGTAAAGGTAAGGACCCCTGACAGTTAAGTCCAGTCATGGCTGACTCTGGGGTTGCGGCGCTCATCTCGCTTTATTGGCCGAGGGAGCCAGCGTACAGCTTCTGGGTCATGTGGCCAGCATGACTAAGCCGCTTCTGGTGAAACCAGAGCAGCGCATGGAAATGCTGTTTACCTTCCTGCTGGAGCGGTACCTTTTTATCTACTTGCACTTTGACGTGCTTTCGAACTGCTAGGTTGGCAGGAGCAGGGACCGAGCAATGGGAGCTCACCCCATCATTGCGGGGATTCGAACCGCCAACCCTCCGATCAGCAAGCTCAAGAGGCTCAGTGGTTTAGACCACAGTGCCACCCGCATCCCACATTTTACAGGTAAAGGTAAAGGGACCCCTGACCATTAGGTCCAGTCGTGGCCAACTCTGGGGTTGCGGCGCTCATCTCGCTTTACTGGCTGAGGGAGCCGGCGTACAGCTTCCGGGTCATGTGGCCAGCATGACTAAGCCGCTTCTGGCAAACCAGAGCAGCGCACGGAAACACCGTTTACCTTCCCACCGGAGCGGTACCTATTTATCTACTTGCACTTTGATGTGCTTTATGAACTGCTAGGTTGGCAGGAGCAGGGACTGAGCAACGGAAGCTCACCCCATTGCGGGGATTCGAACTGCCCTTGCTGTTAAAGACTGGTAGTCATTGAAGAAGTAAACAATAAACATCTCAGAGAAAAAGTTTGTTGATCTTAACAAAATAACTAAAGTGTATCTCCTTTTTTTAAATTCTGTTTTGTGGTTAGTCTGTTTTAAGAAAATTCTCTAGCTCCCATATGAGGTTTCCAGAGGCCTGTAAAGTCCTTTGAAAGGTCTCTATCGCTTGGAGGGAAAGGAACAGAGGCCAACCAGAGTACAAGAGCAAAGCGGCTAGTAAGACTGATCTTTATTATTTGAAGAGGGGAAAGTATTGTAACAGGGTCCCCACTCAGCATGCAGGAGGGAGAAGAATCCAGAACAAAGGAAAATCAGAATGTTATACTATCTCCACGTGGTCTGCCTGACAGGAGCGTCAGTCATACACCAAAAATACATCATTAAAAGGAGGTACATCGGATAGAGTGACAGGTAAGTTCATAGGTCACAGGTAAGTCATTGATGCCTCCTCGGGTGTTAATACAGGGAGGCAAAAGGAGAGGCAGGTATGGATGGTCTTCTGTCTGTGTCAGTTTCAGGGAATTCTATTCCCCACCCCCACCCTGTGGGAGCATGAAGCAAGGAAAAACAGAGAGAGTCTTTAAATAAAATGAGTTTATTCAATAAATTTAAATAAAAATGAGTTTATTCAAACATCAATGTGAGAGACAAAGAAATACAGTCAGTCCCTCGTAATGGCATTGCTCCAAATGAGCTCCTCCCGCCTCCATTCCTAGCAACAGCATTTCCCCTTACAGTGGCTTCCAGAGGCCTATTGTCTCTGAGTCCTTTGTTCTTGCACCCTCAATGAACGCTGAGTTCTGGGAGAAGGTGGGTCAGAAATATTCTCCAGCTGCTCTCTCCTGGCTCTCCTCCCAGCTCCTACCTTCTGTTTGCCTGTCTCTGAGCTGTGACCTTCCTCAACCACCTACTGTAATTCATTACAGTGGTACCTAGGGTTAAGAATTTAATTCGTTCCGGAGGTCCATTCTTAACCTGAAACTGTTCTTAACCTGAAGCACCACTTTAGCTAATGGGGCCTCCCGCTGATGCTGCAACGCTGCAGCACGATTTCTGTTCTCGTCCTGAAGCAAAGTTCGTAACCCGAGGTGCTATTTCTGGGTTAGCAGAGTCTGTAATCTGAAGCATCTGTAACCTGAAGTGTCTGTAACCTGAAGCGTCTGTAACCCAAGGTACCACTGTATTGCCTTCCTCTCCTCTGGAAGCTTCGGGAGAAGTTCGGGGGTCGCGACCTCCACCATTCCTCCTCCTCCTCAATCTTGTTCCCTTCAGTCCAGTCCCTGGCTGTCACCTCAAGCACCTTCCTGCCAGTTCTCGCCTTACTTATCCTAATATAAATGGATAAACAGGTAAGGTAAAGGTAAACATGCTAGCAATTGCCTGCCATTTTCTTTCACAGGAATCCGCAGGGGACACATACTTCAGGAATGTGAGAAAGTAAGGGCTGAAAAGAGTCTGAGGCCTGGGTCTAGGGTCAACCATGTGCAGGTTTTTAGTATCACACCATTTCTTGTCTAAGTAATAAACCTTATTGCCTACATATCTCAGCTTTCTTGGGCTTATTTACACCAAGTAAATAACATGTGAAATACAATATAGTCGAGGGGAACACCATTTGACAGTCATTTGTGAATGAGTCCTTAGTGGTCAATGAATGAGTGAGGTGGTTTGACATTTGTGAATTGGTTGATATTCACTGTCGATGCAGTAGATGCCAATGTATAGCTGTCAGAATTTCACTGCAGTTTGGGGAAGCAAATCTGTCTTATACGTTAAGTATCAATTTATTACACGCATTTTTCATTCAGACTTCAGATTTTCTCTTATATCAATCCTACTGCATTTGATGCCATTTAAATGCCTGTCAGCCTTCCAGACAAAACACTTTTCTTGGTCGGCTCAGAAATTTTGTTCCAACATAAAAAAAAGGAAAGAAGATCAATGACAGAAAGAGAACATAGCACAGCGAAGTAGGTTGGCTTAGAAATGTTGTTCCAAAATAAAAAAATAACTAAAATGCCACAGGCAGAGAGTAAAAATACCATTGAGAAATTTGAGCCTGGCAAGGGCTATCCTATCCCTCATGGGGTATGTGGGTGTTTCTGGCCAGCTTATAAATGTGGTGCCAACATTTTAAAAATGGTAATGGCAGAGTAACAATCACTCTTAGAGAGAACTGAAGGTAAAAAAAGGTAAAGGTAAAGGACCCTGGACGGTTAAGTCCAGTCAAAGGCGACTATGGGGTTGAGGTGCTCATCTTGCTTTCAGGCCGAAGGAGCTGGCGTTTGTCCAGAGAAAGCTTTCCAGCTCATGTGGCCAGCAGGACTAAACCGCTTCTGGCACAACAGAACACCGTAATGGAAACCAGAGTGCATGGAAATGCACCACAAAAACACTGTGCCAGAAGCCAGAGCACACAGAAACGTCCAAGAAGAGAGGAAAGAGCAAGAATCACTCTCAGACAGTACTAAAGATAATTGTAGCTGCTTATTGCAGACATTACCTATGTCTGCTTTGTCTTGTTGCAGGGAAGTCAGAGGACAAATATCAGTCTGCAAGCTGAGAAGATCAACTCTGCTTTTGCCTCACCAGCAGACATACCTGAGTCTCCCTCCACAATCAGACAGAAAAGTTAATGAAGACAGTTGCAGAAGCCTTAAGATCCTTCTCCTATTCAAGCTGTTAATCTACTCTTCCCTTGGTAAGTCCTTCAGGAATCGTACAGCTTTCAAGCCTCGCAATACATAGAAACATTGTAAGTCTGTTTTGTTCCGAAGGGGTAAATAATTGACAATGATAAAGTTCGTTACTGGTTCCCTGTTGCTTATTTGCATGGAATTGCAAAGCATGGCTCACTGATAAAACCCTCTCTGCACCTGAACCCCTCCCAGCAAAGCTGTGCTCTTGAAGAGATCCTGCATCCCCTTCCTTGCATTGTTGGGAACAACTTCTAGAGTGTGCTGTGACACCTAATCGCTACTGAACATCCCTCTGATTGTGGTCATTTGTATAAATTAAAAAGGGAGCTGTGGACAAGGACACATTGCCTTTGGATGTAGGATTCAAATTATAAGCCAGTTTCTACCAACTAAACATTAGGAAGAACTCTCTGACAATAAGAGTCATTCAAGAGCCATTCCTCTGGAAAGTTGTGGACTCTGCTTCGTTCAAGATTTTTAAGCAGATGTTGGGTAGCCTTCTGCCAGGGATTCTTTAGCTGAGATTCCTGCATTGCAGGGAGTTGGACTAGATGAGTCCAGTTATATGAGTCTATGAATCTATTTTAAGTTCTCAGGATTTATTGGGCAGGATGCCTGGAGTGAAATCATCAGCATACCGTTTTTGGTGTCCTGTGGATACTAGACAACCCTTGTTAAATATAATCCTTTATTAGGCATAGCAAACCACATATTATCAAACAGACACCGTATACAAATTGTGCAAAATACGAGCCCAACATAACAACCCTTATTCCAAGAAGCATTTGGATGAGGATCATCTGGATCCCCTAGAAATTTCTAGCACTCAGGAATATCCCAGAACAATGTTCAAGCAGGACCTGGGACCGTCAAAGAAGAAACAAGGAAGAGGAGGCAGAACAGCCCCTAAGCCCCTGGGAGTGATGGGATCTTAAGAGGCAGAATAAGATCATCAGAATCAGTAGAAGGGACTAATCTGACTCAGCCTCCAGAGGGGTGGGACATTCCTGGAAGGGAATATCAAAAAGGTGTCCCGTCCCCACCTTCTGCATGCCTAGGAGTGCTTGGCTGCAGAGCCGGGCTCCTTTTGAGTAAAGGGCTATTTATGAGGAGGGCCTCAGCGGTGCCTGGAGAGGAGTTCTGGCAACTCTGCCTTAAATCCTTAATAGGAGGCAGAGAGAGCTGCTAAAAAGACGCTTCCCTTCCAACCCTGATCTTTTCCTGCACTGCCTCCCTGTGGCCATGCCTCTTAGCTGTGCCTTTGCCTATGTTCTTGCCTGAACTGCTGCCTCGGTGTGGCCAGATCTTGCAGTACAACTTGTCTGTGCCTTTGCCTCAGTTGCTTCGCTTCAACCAGACTGTGGGCTACTCTTAACCTTGCCCGTTCCTTCTTATCTGAACTGTGGGCTTGTGGCCTTTGCTGTGGATTCTTGCCAGCCTGAACCTGTGGAAACAGGACATTTGGGCTTCTGCTGAGAGTGCATATACCAGCATGGGGTCTCATAACAACAACAACAACAACAACAATTGCATCCTCAGGGCAAAATGGTCAGTTTGCATTTTTAGTGCAGAAAGTATGGATCTGATGTGTAGAGATCTTTCCTATTCTAATTAATTCAAGAGGGTTATGGAAGCTTCTCTTTGTCAAAGAAACAAGTAGAAGGTTCCGGATGTTTGGGTTATTCAGAGAAGCTGAGTACAGCTGGTTTGAACTACTGTAGTTCTCTTGTCTCTTTCTGTCAAGGTCTTTCACTTTCTCTTTTCCTTCTGGTGTGATGCTCTGTACATAGTATGCTTAGTGTTAAGGTTTAGACTTATTATATGTTATTGTAAGTTTAAGTTAAGTCTGCTGCAATTGGATTTCTTCTGGGCAGTGCCAATCCTGAATGTTTTGGATTTGTGACCATTTTGCTCATTTGCCTTCAGTAGCAGTAAAGCTCTGCTGGATGAAATAATAATTGCCTCTGGTCTATTTTTTTGGGAATCCTGTTTAAGTTGTTGCTCTGCTAACTATACATTGGAATTTACTCTGGATCAATATTGAGTAGAATTCCATGGAAAAAACACAGCATAAAAATACAAGTTAAGAATACAAAATGCATAATAAAAACAAGAACAAAAGAAACCAATAACTCCTACTCCGCCTCCCCCACCCTTTTCTCTGTCAGGAGCTTGTCCCTACACTTGAGTAGGACCCTGGCAGAGACACATGCCCGACTGGCATGTTCTCTCCCTCCTGGTCGATCGTTTGAGAGCTTCAAAAGCTTTCTTCAGCCCGAACATCACAGCCAACAGATATTGGCACACTTAGGGATCTGCAGAGTCTGCACAGTTCGCGTGACAGGCCTCAGCAACTCAGCATTTTGGCTAATCTACTTTATTTACATACTTATAAACACACACGGAGCACTGCAACATGGCTCCCTCTCTCTCTAGCATCAAACAGCAGAGAGAAAAAGAACAAAGGACAATAGTCCCACTTCACGGAACACAGTAACACAAACATCCTGTCTCCGTCACTTCCCACTCTGTGGAGTCAAAACATATACCCTCATGTAACAGACAACAATCCCATGACTGCAATCACAGAGCAGGAATTCTAACATTCTCTACCATTGTAGCTCTTCCTCTGGCTCAGACAATGGTGGTGATGAGAGTGAGGAGTGATTGGTGCTAACCCATGTCCTTGTTCATTTTCCCCTCCTCCCCTGCCCCAATAGGCACTTTGAGTCAAGCAGCAGAGAATCCGACCTATCATGTGAATGGGATCCTGGGAGGATCAGTATTCCTTTCTTTAAATGCACCCCCAGCCAAAAAAATTGTCAAAATTGAATGGGCCTTCCACCCCACATCTGGGGATCCATACCTGCTTGGTGAGTTCAGGGATGGAAAACTGGATCAGTCAAATTTCAGGAGCATGTATGAACAACAGATGGAAACTGGTGATGCCGTCGCATTGAGGATCGAGAACTTGGCAATGGTTAATGAGACCACGTTGAGGATCAAGAACCTGACAATGGAGCATGGTGGGATCTATGAAGCTCGTACCTGGTTTAATGCTGCACAGTTCCAAGAACACTACTTCATCCTCACTGTTTATGGCAAGTAATGATTTCACCATCTTTGTCAGTTTGTAGTGGAGCTGAGCATAGAATGGGAAGATCACGAAATATGATGAGGAACCTTTTTCAGCCTGAGAGCCACTGTGCTGGTCCTGGGGTGGGGGGGGGTACCGTGTGGCATGGTCTGAGTCTGGTCCTGGGTCGAGGGTCCGGAGGCTGTCCGTCAAGGGCGAAGCGGGGTCCAAGGCAAGGAGCCGGGCATGGTCAGGAACTCTGGAAGAGCAGATCAGGGTGCTGGCAGGAACAGGATTCCAATGATGTTGCTCCCGCATCCTGGGAATGGGCTGACTGGCCTTATATCTCCTCTGAGGCCTAGGGCGGTCCTGGCTCACAGGTGACTCGCCTCTCCTGGCCTTAAGGCGAGCACTCCTCCTGAGAGAACATAGTTCCCTCCGCCTCTCTACCCTGAGCCTCTGCAGCTCCGGAGAGGCTGGAGGGTTACTGGACCCAGAGGCAGCCTCACCTTCCCTTGACAGGGCTGAGAGAGACGCACCTGCAGGCAATGGGTCCTCGATCACCTCTGGAGCCAGAGCGGATTCAGCTGGTGTCTGCTCCTGAGGATCCGGCACAGGTGAGGGCCCTTCAGGTTCAAGCCCCAGCCCCGGTTCAGCAGGCTCTGGAGGCGGGAACTCCTGTGCAGGCTGGGAATCCTCAGGTTCAGCCTCTGAATCCTATTCCCACATTCTCACCTAGGCAACATTCCAGGGGCCACATGGCAGTGGGGCACAAAATCAGAGGAAATAAGTGTGTGGTGTTGGAATCTCCGTTCGCCCAAGCTGATAAAGCTCATCTTCCGAAATTGCCCTCTGACTGCACAGTGGCAAACAGAAACTAACATGTGGAACATTGAGTCTCAACGTAACTGTTCTACAATATGCTAGTTTCTTCACATGTGTGCAACCCCCATCCTCCATCCAGGAAGCAAGGAGCATCATCAAGATTCAATAATACATTTCAGCCAGACCAAAAAGGGTGTGAATCAAGGCCATGAGGGGAGTATGTCTGGGAAAGATATGCAGCTCTGGGATAGGACTCTGGGAGAGAGTCCTGAGGGCCAGATAGAGATGCTTGGGGGGACATATTTGGCCTCTGGGCCCAAAGGTCCCCACCCCTGCCCTACACAGGTACAGAGAGGCATGTGGGGCACGAACTCCTAATGTAATGATCTCAGGCAGGCAAGGAAGCCCCGATAAGAATTCATGAGTCTCTGGCAGTTTTATGGTACGTTTATTTACAATTAACATGCTAAGCATGGCTCTGAGCCTCCCGCTCTTTGCTACAAGTTGGTCACTCTGAGTCTCTGCCCCTATTGCAACACGAATGGTGCCAAAGTCCAGTCCTTCCTCTCTTGTAATTCTGTTGCATTTTAACATTTCCAGTTCTTCTGGTTCGGGGAGGAGGTGGGTGAACTCCCCCCCCCCACACACACACAATAAAACAAAGATCCCTCTAAATGTTGCCTGCCTCCTGGTTGCATAGCAACCCCCTCAATGTCATCTATCTCCTCCCCTCCCTCTGCCTGTGAGTTCTCTGAGTTTGCCACTCTATCTGAGTCTGGGAATTCTTGATGAAGCGGTGCAGACCTAACTCACTCCTGCTCTGTCTGTGGCTGCAACCCCTCGTCTCCAGAGTCAGGCTCTGGCTCCCTCTGTACTGGCATTCCTTCATTTCCAGAGTCAGACTCTTGCTAGGCATTCGATTCAGCCACATCCCTGACACCTAATCACTTTCATTTCTGTTAAAACAGAGCCAGTGCCAAGACCATGGATACGCCATAAAGTAGAATCCAAGACTCCAGAAGGCTGCACTGTGACCTTACAGTGCCTGGCACCTGTAAAGGAGGAATACTCTATCTCCTGGAAAAGAGGGAATCCCCCCAGGGTCTTAGTAGGAGGTTTGGATAAGCACTGGCTTTCTGACAATGGAAGGAATCTCCATGTCTCCTGGCGAAAAAGCTCTTCTGACTCCACATTCACTTGTCTGGTCAGCAATCCTGTTGATCGAAACCGTGCCTCATTTGACTTGCTCAAAATTTGTGCAAGTGGGGAAGGTAAGAAATGTATCATCCCTTTCATAACCCACTGCTTCTGCTTGGAGTGGTGAATACTCAGGCAGTCCCTCAAGACAGGGATTGTATAAGCAAACACTCCTCCTTCCTTGCAAGCTTTTAGCAGGTTTGGGCCAACACAGCTCTGCTTGCAGACTATGCTTGACCCTATGAGTTGCTGCTCCTGAGCTTAAGAGTCTCGTGCTCTACCAACTAAGCTATCCTGCTTCTTTGATTTCTTCTTTGATTCCTAGGCTGTGCCCTGGGACCCACAAAAATGAAATCAGCAATGATATCTGAAGAGCCATGGCATTCTTAGAGCATCTACTCCCTGCAATGGGACTCCCAGAATCCCCAGCAGGACTCAGGTGCTTTGCTTGCTATTCCTGCTGCAGTGAAGGCAAGCAAAAGCACCATGTAAGTTTATGTCTCCAAATTATAAATGATGGGTTTGGACCCAGGTTTAGTCAGGCTTAGAGTGGAGTCTCTGAGGAAAACTGCATTTTGGTTTGCTTCCCAAACCCATAAGATAACCGAAATACACCTATCCTTCAGGATTTTTACTTCTCCATAATGCACCTCTCCACATAAAAATAGTGTTCACATAAATATACAGACAATTGAAAAATAACCTTCAAAATAAAATGTGGGAAAGGGACACTGTCACTTTATGGAGTAAGAATAGTCCAATGGTAGAAATGGTTTTATCTCCTTTCTTTTCCTGAGTATGTGATCTTTTGTGCATTATATCTTATAAACACCAACAACTGGGAACACACTGGCCTGCGAGCGCTCCAGTTGGAGAACAGCCTTTACCAAAGGTGTTATGGGCTTTGAAGACACTCAAACTAAGGACGCAAGGGAGAAACGTGCTAAGAGGAAGGCAGGCTTGGCAAATCCACACCAGGATCAGCTCCTGCCTGGAAACCAATGTCTCCACTGTGGAAGGATGTGTGGATCCAGAATTGGCCTCCACAGTCACTTATGGACTCATTGTGAAAACCGTGTTTATGGAAGATAATCTTATTTGGCTACGAATGATTGCCAAAGAAGAAGAAAGAAATATCTTATCTTATTTTATTTTATTGTCTGCCACTTTGTCAGTCTTTGGTTTATAAATCTACCAATAGATAATATAAATAATAAGAAGAGTGAAGAATAATATAAAGCAATCCAGGAGATCCAACTTAGGGCAACACTAATGGAACTAGACCTTCTTCTTTCTTACGGTATTTACTCAAATGTAATGCATATCTCGGGGGCACGGGTGGCACTGTGGTGTAAACCACAGTGCCTAGGACTTCCGGATCAGAAGATCGGCAGTTTGAATCCCCACGACGGGGTGAGGTCCCGTTGCTCGGTTCCTGCTCCTGCCAACCTAGCAGTTCAAAAGCACGTCAAAGTGCAAGTAGATAAATAGGTACCACTCCGGCGGGAAGGTAAACAGTGTTTCCGTGCACTGCTCTGGTTTCATCAGAAGCAGCTTAGTCATGCTGGCCACATGACTCAGAAAAACTGTCTGTGGACAAACGTTGGCTCCCTCGGCCTGTATAGTGAGATGAGCGTCGCAATCCCAGAGTCGTCTGTGACTGAACTTAACTGTCAGGGAACCTTTACCTTTTTAAGGCACATCTCTTTTTTTGCCAAATTACATCACGAAAATTAGGGTGCACATTAGATTTGATGGTGCACTGATATTCGCCAGCAGAAACCCTTTTTGGGTTTCAAGGTTTTGAAAATTGAGGGGCGCAATAGTTTTGATGGCTCATTTGATTCGTGTAAATACGGTATTTGTTCTGCTTCTCTTACTCCCATAGAGGAGATCCCTTTGGTGGCTGTTACTGCAGTGCGTTCCAACAGCCTCTTATTGCTTGTTGCAGGTGGACAACAAAAGTACTGGGGGTTCCTGCCGCTTCTCGTCTGTGCTGTTGGAGCTTCTGCATGTTTGATAATGATATGGAAGAAGAAAAGGTTGGGAAAGGAGAAAGGTAGAACCATCTCTGTTAATCCCCTTAATTACCTGGGATTGAGGCTAACTACCAAATGTGTGTCTGCCTCTCCCTTACTCCTCTTGAGAGTATGTTTCCAAGCACAATTCAAAGTGTTGGTGCTGACCTTGAAAGCTGTAAACGGCCTCGGCCCAGTAGACCTGAAGGAGCATCTACACCCCCATCGTTCAGCCCGGACACTGAGGTCCAGCACCGAAGGCCTTCTGGAGGTTCCCTCCCTGTGAGAAGCCAAGTTACAGGGAACCAGGCAGAGGGCCTTCTTGGTGGTGGCAGCTGCCCTGTGGAACACCCTCCCACCAGATGTCAAAGAGAAAAACAACTACCAGATTTGTAGGAGACATCTGAAGGCAGCCCTGTTTAGGGAAGCTTTTAATGTTTGATGCACTACTGTTTTTTAATAGATGCTGCTTCTGCGATGCAAGCTCAAGAGGGCTCTCCTGCGCCCTTCCTCAGAGGAGACCCCCCCCCCAAAGGTGGTAATGACCAACTGAGATGAGCATGCACGGTAAGGAAGGCTGGAGGACCAGATAAGATGTTTGGAAGTCATGTAATACTATGGCATTATTTTTTAACATTTGCTAGTACTACTAGGAGTAGTCAGTGTCAGTATATGGAAACATCACCGCTGCAGACACCCAGATTGTTGACATCACATGATGTGCCTATCTGTGGGAAAGAAGAATTTCCCAGGACGTTCACAGGCTGGATAAGTCTTTGTGAAGAGTGTAATTTGAAACCTTCTGTGTGCGCATGTTCAGGAAGTTTGTCTGACCTGCTAGAATAACTGAACTGAAAGGACGTGTTTTTCTCTAGTGCTGTAATGTCAGAAATAAACATCATGTAAATAGATTTCTGACTTATTTTCTTTTCCCTGCGGAAGCAGGAGGGAGGGGTTGTGCATTTTACCCATGCTTGGGAAAATGTCGCCTATCAAAATCTCCCTGGTCTGTCCGAGATATCAGCCAGAGGAGGTTACCGGTAAGCAAGCTCCGAGGACAGTGAGAGGGGCCAGCCTCTATGGAGGGGGCTTGCAAACCAACAGTCAGGGCTTCTTTTTTTCCAGCCAGAACGCTCTGGAACAGAGTTCATTTATCCACTCACCTTGAAACACCATTGCAGGGGGTTGGACCAGATGACGCTCAAGATCACTTCCAACTCTTCAATTCTATGATTCAAATAATCTGAGAGGAGTGGTTGGCTGCTAGCCGTGATGGCTATGCTCTGCTTCCGTGGTCAAAGGTAATAATGCTTCAGAATACAAACTGCAGGAGGGGAAAGTGTATCGGTTTGATTTCATAGTACCAAAAGCATTGATCTGATGAGTAGAGATCTTTCCTGTTCTAATTAATTAAGAGGGTTCTGGAAGCTTCTCTGTGTGAAAGAAACAACCAGGAGGTTCATGATGTTTGGGTTATTCCTTCAGAGAAGCTGAGCACAGCTCGCTTAAAATGGTTCTATTATCTCTTTCTGTCAAGGTCATGCTGATGATAATAATAAGGCCAGACAGTGCCTGGGTTTCACTTCTTTTCTATCTTTTCTATCTTTATTTCTGATGTGGTATTATGTATATAGTGTTAATAATAATAATAATAATAATAATAATAATAATAATAATTTATTTATACCCCGCGCATCTGGCTGGGTCCGCCCAGCCACTCTGGGTAGCTTCCAACAAAACACTACAATACAATAACTGTAAGTTAGACTTACAGTAAGTTATTGTAAGTTTAAGTTAAGTCTACTGCAACTGGATTTCTTATGGACAGTGTCAATCCTGAATGTTTTGGATTTGTGACCATTCTGCTCATTTGCCTTTGGTAGCAGTAAAGCTCTGCTGGATGAAATATTAATTGTTTCCAGCATTTGGAAATGTAAAGAAAAAAAAGGATCTTTTTACCACATGTGATGGGAATGTAAGAAAGTAAAAAACTTCTGGGAAATGATATAATGAGATGAAAAAGATGTTGAAATATACATTTCATATACATTTCTGTACATATATACATTTCTGTACATTTATTAAAAAAACCAGTAGCATTTTTACTTGGCATTGTAGGGGATGATATTAATAGACAAGATTGTAAATTGTTTTTATATGCAACAACGGCAGCAAGAATATTATTGGCACAAAAATGGAAACAAGAAGAATTACCGACGAAAGAAGAGTGGCAAATCAAATTAATGGACTATGCAGAATTAGATAAACTGACAGGAAGGATTCGAAACCTGCAGGACCAGAGATTCTTAGAGGACTGGAGTAAATATTTGAACTACCTGAAAAGCAATTGTAATAAAGAGATTCCACTAGTAGGACTGCGAGAAGTTTTGTAAGGAGGATTATGCGAAATATTGCAAGGAAGACTATGACGAGAATATTAGTTAAGGACAATTAAAAGTAATAGAGAAATTAATAAATGCAGATTAAGTGATAAAGAATGGAAAATTTTCAGAGGTAGTTGATGGAAGTCTAAAATATTGTATAAGATAAGATAAGAATGTATGTCAAATGACTGTTGGAAATGATACGTTAAAAAAATGTGTGTCTGTGTGTATTAATTGTCTCTGGTCTATTTTTTGCAAATCCTTCAATGTGTTTAAGTTTTCACTCTGCTAACTATACGCTGGAATCTGTTCTGGATCAATATTGAATAGAATTCCATGACAGAGTGCTCAAGAGCAAATTCCTATGTATAATACATCAAATTATCTGCCTTCATGTACAGTAGATATTCTCTATATCTTGAAAGTAGGCTAGGATTTGATGGGTGTTCTGCCCCACCAGGGTCAGTTATTTAGTGACAGCAAATCCGTGTATTAGCATTAGGTAGAAGGAATAAAAATGCTCTCCCTTTAAGAAAAGATACTGCCTTTCCCCCCTCTTTAGACATCAAGGCAGGTTGGGAAATATTCTAGTTTCTATTGGCTCTGACCAGAGGGGAAGAAACTTCCCTTCCCTCTTTGCAATCTAGTTTCAGTCTAGTTCTGGCATACACAAACTCATTTGTTCTTACAGAACTCCACAGAGAACTTCATAAAATATTTCTAACCATCTTCATTCACAGCCAAAGAACAGCCTATTGGAATGTGAGGAATATTTCTACATGTGCTTTGATTATCCTCAATAAATCTACATGAGAGAGCTTTGTGGAGTTTTGTTGAATACTATCCAGATTGAGAGAGAAGTTTCAGGACCGAACAGTGGGTAATATTCTTGACTTAACCGCATGCAAAACAGCAGCCTTCTATATTGATCTGAAGGCATACGCTTTAAAAAAGCAACAGCCCAATTTTTGCTTACAGTTTCCTTCGGTAGTAACCATTTTATTTTCTTTGATTAGCTATACCCCATAACTAAAAGAAGAGGAAAAGGGGTGCTCAGAGTTGAGCCACTAAATTCTTAGAAGGAGCCCTTATCTCTGATCAGCCTCACACTGTTTTTGATCAAGGCTGCTGATTACTGTTTTGTGGCTGTATCTCAAAACATCATGTTCTAATAAAAGCAGAGCAAAATTTTAAGCTAATTTCTGATCATCTTATTTATTTATTTCTCTTGCTGGTTGCTTGTCACCCAAAGGTCTCCAAGAGACCTTCACATTAAAGAAAAATATATGCACATACATAAAACCATGGAGAAGAGAGAGACGTAACTTCTTGGATTCCTTTATTAGCAATAGAAGTATTTTCTCTGGGCGGCTTCCAGGCAAGGAGACAATGGAATCCAGCAGGCAAGACTGAACGCAGAATGACTAATGCAGCAGACGCGTTCAAGAAAATTCCGCCGAGCGCACAAATGTCAGTGGCGGAGAGTGAAACGCTGTCGTGGGACTTGCATAGTGACACTAAAAAATTCATTCAGGCAGCTGCGCGCGTGTATAAAAGGGAAAAGGGAGGCGCTAGAATGCGACAGGCGGGAGAGAAAAGAGGGACGAAAAGGGTTAAGCAAAACAGAAGGGGGAAGAGGGGAAGCAGAGAGGAAAGAAGGAAAGACAGAAAGATGAAATGCAAACGAAGACGAGAGAGACCGGCGAGGAATTGCAGAGGAAAGAAAGGGGGGCGGGGGAGCAAAATCCAGAGGAAGGTCGGATCGGGAAGAGATGGAGAGAGACCAGGATCTGGAAAGCAAGAGCGGGAATGGAGAAGGAAAATAAAAACACCGTCTGGAAAGCGGGCGTGGGTGTAGCCAAGGAGGGCAGCTGCCCCCCAAATAAGTAAATCAATACAAATACTAAACTGAGGTTCTGCCCCACCCACCATAAATCCTGAAGAGGCTTCTCCAAGTCCTGCCCGGGAGGGGAAAATGCGCTGAGGGGGAAGGGAGGATTTTTCGGAGGGTCTCGGATTTAGCCCAGCGCTGGTATTCCAGTCCAGCAGCAGCAGCCTCGCCTCCTCTTCGCCGCCCCCGCCCGCTTTCCTCCTGTCTCAAATTACCTCGCTTCTAATATGTCCTGTGTACGCTGGAGAGGGCGCATCGGACGAGGCTCAGGTGACGCGGGGCTGATAGTGTTTGGTCAGTGGCAGTGCGTGACTCAAGTTGTGATGTGGCTTCGCGGTTTTAAAAGCCTGGCTCAGGCTGAAATGGTGCCACTGATAACTCTGCGCATGCAAATGGCACAATTTCTTAGGACAAGAAGTAGCATCAGAAGACTCTTTTGGACCTTACCAGGCTCTCATCTTCTTGAGGAGTAGAAAGACTGTGCCTGAGCACTCAGTCGGGGCAAGCAACAATCGGGGTTCCTGGGGATCGCAGTTTGTTCTGATTTAGAGCTATAGAGTGGGAATTACCTGGGAAAGGAGCGCGCAAGTGGGAAACCGCTGAGACCCCGACTTTCTAGGCGCAGGACAAGAGGAAGTGTGGGCGAGCCCTTGTACGAAAGGCATTGGGCTGAAAACAAAGCCCTCTTCGCTCCTGGCCAAAATGATTGTGGAAGTCGCCAGCAGAAGCCTCCTGGTCATCCTTCTCTTCACTCCTTGGATCTGTACTTCATTTGGTAAGTCCTTGGGAGAGGGAGGGAACTCATTGCAAATGCTGGGGGGAGAATGCCGTCTTTTGTGAAGGGGAAATAATTGGCCAAGGGGAGGCTGGTGCCATTTCCCACTTTCTTCTCTGCCCAGAAGTTCAAAATGCTGCTTAGACGTCCTGGCCTCTGCCCAAGACCACCATGAGACGCACAGCAAGCCAAGAAACTGTTGAATGGTTTTGTTAAATATTAAGGTTCCTTATTGTTTCACAAGATATGTATCTCTGGCCATCCTTCTCTTCACTCCATGGATCTGTACTTCATTTGGTAAGTCCTGAGTCTCCCTCCACAATCAGACAGAAAAGTTAATGAAGACAATTGCAGAAGCCTTAAGATCCTTCTCCTATTCAAGCTGTTAATCTACTCTTCCTTTGGTTAATTCCTTCAGTACTTGTACAGCTTTCAAGCCACAGAAACGTTGTAAGTCTGTTTTGTTCTGAAGGGGTAAATAATTGACAATGATAAAGTTCGTTACTGGTTCCCTGCTGCTTATTTGCATGGAATTGCAAAGCATGGCTCACTGATAAAACCCTCTCCGCACTTGAACCCTTCCCAGCAAAGCTGTGCTCTTAAAGAGATCCTGCATCCCCTTCCTTGCATTGTTGGGAACAACTTCTAGAGTGTGCTGTGACACCCCTCTGAACATCCCTCTGATTGTGGTCATTTGTACAAATTAAAAAGGGAGTTGTGTGTCAGAGCTGCGGGCGTCTCTTCTCACACAGAAGCCACGAGAGTCTCTTTGGTGTTTTTATTATCTTTATTTACAGATTTACAAGTAGCAATTAGTAGACGATACTGTGGGAATGTTCTGGGGTGCAGGAGAGGATATATTGACTAATTATATCCTTATCCAACTTGTGCTAACAAGTTCCCAAAATATCAGCAGAGTTTATAAACATTCCCCTTTAAGTTCGCAACGGTAACGTGTGCACAGGTTCGCTAGAACCTCTATAATAATTACTCTGGTAATTTCCCCTTTGTTCCCTCTTAAAATACAAGACATGACACAGTCTTTATAAAAGTATAAAAGAGTTTACTCACGTTCTGTTCACAATATGATCCCAGAAGGCAGACAGCTTAAAAGGTTACATACATTCAGAATCTATCTTGTAGCAAGATAGTCCTTATCTCCTCTCTTGGCTGGGAGCCAAGAGAGCATCCTTAGATGTTTCCTTATCGAAGGAAAATGGCAGAGAGAGAGAGTGGCTGCCTGCCCTGTGCTTTTGTCATTACCTGCACAGGCGAGGCCACACCCACCTCTGGTCACATGCGGAGGAAGTCCGTCCCCAGGAAGTTTACCTGCTTGCTGGACAGACATCCCTCCCCATGTTCTAACATGTACACTCTAGGAATGTTGTCATTGACTGCTCCTGTGTTTACATCCCACAGATTCACCCATCAGTGTCACTGAGCTCAGATTTAAGTTGAGACCTGTGTTTGCCCCTCCAACAGCTCATAAAATGGTGAAGTCTCCCGCCCTTGTGCTCATTCCAACGTTTAATTACCGTATTTTTTGCTCTATACGACTCACTTTTTCCCTCCCAAAAAGTAAAGGGAAATGTGTGTGTGTCTTATGGAGCGAATGCAGGCTGCACAGCTATCCCAGAAGCCAGAACAGTAAGAGGGATCGCTGCGCAGCGATCCCTCTTGCTGTTCTGGCTTCTGAGATTCAGAATATTATTTTTTATTATCTCTTGTCTTCCTCCTCCAAAAACTAGGTGCGTCTTATGGTCTAGTGCATCTTATAGAGCAAAAAATACGGTACACGCCTCTCTAAGGCAGTCATAAATCTTGCACCCCCTTCTTTGTGCTGGGCCTGGGGGTAACCCGAGAACTACAGTTCAGGTGCGGTCCCAAATCCAAGTGTGCTGGTCCCGGGGGGAAGGTTACCGTTGGCGTAGTCAAAGTCACTGGGTCACTGGTATGGAAACAGTTCTCAAGGAGCGAGGTGAGGTCCGAAGCAGGAAGCCGGGCGGGGACAGGAACACTGGCGGAACAGGACTGGATGCTGGCCGAAACAGCTCATCGACAACGTTGCTCCCGCAACCTGGGACCGGGCTGACTGGCCTTTATCTTCTCTGAGGCCAGGGGCGGTCCTGGCCCCCAGGAGACCTGCCTCTCCTGGCCTTAAGGCGAGCACTCCTCCTGGGAGAAACCAGTTCCCTTCGCCTCTCTGCCCTGAGCCTCTGCAGTTCAGGAGAGGCTGAAGGGTTACTGGGCCCAGGGGGAGACTCACCTGTAGGCACTGAGTCCTCAACCACCTCCGGAGCCAGAGTGGATTCACCTGGTGCCTGCTCCTGAGGATCCGGCACAGGTGCAGGCGCTTCAGAATCAGTTCAGCTGGCCCTGGAGGCGGGGACTCCTGTGCAGGCGGGGACTCCTCCGGTCCAGCCTCTGAATCGGAATCCCAGGCCATCACACCAAGGATTCTGTGAGGAGTCAGTCTGACAGGGACAAGGCAGGGGACAAGGCAGGAAACCAGGCAAGGTCAGGCACAGGGTCTCAGGCAGGTTCTGGCAAACAGCAATATTGCTCCCGCAACCTGGGGCGTGGTCCGACAGCCTTTTATCTTTGTCAGGGTAATGGTTGGTCCTGATCCCCTGGTGACTCACCTCCCTGTCTCGCCTGAAGGCGAGCACTCCTCCTGCAAGAACTCAGGTCTCTCCTTCTCTCAGACCTTAGTTTCTGCAGCTCGGGAGACATCGGTGGGTTACTAGACCCAGGGGCCGCCTCAGCCTCTCTTGACCCAACCGGTAGTGGAGCAGCTGTAAGTGATGGCCCAGCTGAAGGCAAGGAGGTCATCTCCGCATCTGGAGCCAGGGCAGGCTCAGGCCTCTAACTGGGCCCAGCTGGTGTTTGCTGCAGGGGAGCCTGTGCAGAATGGGACTCTTCAGGATCAGGCCCCTGACTTGGTTCAGATGCCGCCTGAGGCAAAGGATCCAGTGCGGACTGAGGCTTCTCTGGTTCCAAGTCCGAGCCCAAGTCCCAGGCCATCACATTCTTCTGAGCCGGAGCTTACCCCTTGCAATGCCTGTGAACTTTCTGAGCTTATTCCAACTGCTCTCTCCTCATTGCCTCCCCCTCACTCAGGCATCTCTTCCCTGTCTTCTGCTCCTCAACCTTCCCCTCCCTCTGGGGAACATGAGACCTCTGGTTCAACCCTGACACTGTGGAAAAGGACACATTGCCTTTTGATGTAGGCTTCAAAATACAAGCCAGTTTGTACCAGCTAAACATTAGGAAGAATTCTCTGACAGTAAGAGCCATTCAACAGTGGAATGGACTCCTCTAGAAAGTTGTGGACTCTGCTTAAAGATTTTTAAGCACATGTTGGGTGGCCTTCTGCCAGGGATTCTTTAGCTGAGATTCTTTAGCCAGGGATTCTTTAGCTGGGGTTGGACTAGATGAGCCCAATTCTATGAGTTCTTGGGAGTCCTTGGGCAGGATGCCTGGAATGAGCTCCTCAGCATCAGCATATTTGGTGTCCTGTGGATACTAGACAACCCTTTTAAAATATAATTCTTTATTAGGCATAGCAAACCACACATTATCAAACAGACACCGTATACAAATTGTGCAAAATACAGTGGTACCTCGGGTTAATTTATTCCGGAGGTCCGTTCTTAACCTGAAACTGTTCTGAACCTGAAGCACCACTTTAGCTAATGGGGCCTCCCGCTGCTGTCACACTACCGGAGCACAATTTCTGTTCTCATCCTGAAGCAAAGTTCTTAACCCAAGGTATTATTTCTGGGTTAGCGGAGTCTGGAACCTGAAGCGTATGTAACCTGAAGCATATGTAACCTGAGCTACCACTGTACAAGCTCAACATAACAACCCTTATTCCAAGAAGCATTTGGATGAGGATGTTCTGGAGCCCCCAGAAATTTCTAGCACTCAGGAATATCCCAGAACAATGTTCAAGCAGGACCTGGGACCGTCAAAGAAGAAACGAGGAAGAGGAGGCAGAACAGCCCCTAAGCCCCTGGGAGTGATGGGATCTTAAGAGGCAGAATAAGATCATCACAACTAGTAGAAGGGACTAATCTGACTCAGCCTCCAGAGGGGTGGGACATTCCTGGAAGGGAATATCAAAAAGGTGTCCCGTCCCCACCTTCTGCATGCCTAGGAGTGCTTGGCTGCAGAGTAGGGCTCCTTTTGAGTAAAGGGCTATTTATGAGGAGGGCCTCAGCGGTGCCTGGAGAGGAGTTCTGGCAACTCTGCCTTAAATCCTCAAGAGGAGGCAGAGAGAGCTGCTGAAAAGACGCTTCCCTTCCAACCCTGATCTTTTCCTGCACTGCCTCCCTGTGGCCATGCCTCTTAGCCGTGCCTTTGCCTATGTTCTTGCCCGAACTGCTGCCTCGGTGTGGTCAGATCTTGCAGTACAACTTGTCTGTGCCTTTGCCTCAGTTGCTTCGCAATTGTTTTGGATTTGTGACCAGTTTGCTCATTTGCCTTCAGTAGCAGTAAAGCTCTGCTGGATGAAAAAATAATTGCCTCTAGTCTATTTTTGGTAATCCTGCAACATGTTTAAGTTGTTGCTCTGCTAACTATGCATTGGAAGCTACTCTGGATCAATATTGAGTAGAATTCCATGACAAAAACACAGCATAAAAATACAAGATAAGAACACAAAATGCATAATAAAAACAAGAACAAAAGAAACCAATAGCTCCTACTCCGCCACCCCCCACCCCATTTCTCTACTACTGTAGCTCACTCAGCTCTTCCTCTGGCTCAGACAATGGCGGTGATGAGAGTGAGGAGTGATTGGTGCTAATCCATGTCCTTGTTCATCTTTCCCCTCCTCCCCTGCCCCAATAGGCACTTTGAGTCAAGCAGCAGAGAATCCGACCTATCACGTGAATGGGATCCTGGGTGGATCAGTATTCCTTTCTTTAAATGCACCCCCAGCTATAAAAGTGGTCAAAATTCAATGGGCCTTCCACCCCACATCTGGGTATTCATACCCGCTTGGTGAGTTCAGGGATGGAAAACTGGATCTGTCAAATCTCAGGAGCATGTATGAACAACAGATGGAAACTGGGGATGCCGTCGCATTGAGGATCGAGAACTTGGCAATGGTTGATGAGACCACGTTGAGGATCAAGAACCTGACAATGGAGCATGGTGGGATCTATGAAGCTCGTACCTGGATTAACTCTGCGCTGTTCCAAGAACACCACTTCATCCTCACTGTTTATGGCAAGTAATGATTTCACCATCTTTGTCAGTTTCTAGTGGAGCCGAGCATAGAATGGGAAGATCATGAAATATGATGGGGAACCTTTTTCAGCCTGAGGGCTACATTCTCACCTAGACAACATTCCAGGGGCCACATGCCAGTGGGGCACAAAATCAGAGGAAATAAGTGTGTGGAACATTGAGTCTAAACGTTACTGTTCTACAATATGCTAGTTTCTTCACATGTGTGCAGCCCCCATCCTCCATCCAGGAAGCAAGGGGCATTATCAAAATTCAATAATACTTTTCAGCCAGACAAAAGAACTCAAGAAGGGTGTAAATCAAGGCCATGAGGGGAGTATGTCTGGGAAAGATATGTGGCTCTGGGATCTCTGGGAAAGGACTCTGGGAGAGAGTCCTGAGGGCCAGATAGAGATACTTGGGGGGACATATTTGGCCTCTGGGCCCAAAGGTCCCCACGCCTGCCCTACACAGTTACAGAGAGCCATGTGGGGCACGAACTCCTAATGTAATGATCTCAGGCAGGCAAGGAAGCCCCGATAAGAATTCATGAGTCTCTGGCAGTTTTATGGTACGTTTATTTACAATTAACATGCTAAGCATGGCTCTGAGCCTCCCGCTCTTTGCTACAAGTTGGTCACTCTGAGTCTCCGCCCCTATTGCAACACGAATGGTGCCAAAGTCCAGTCCTTCCTAGAATCATAGAATCATAGAATCATAGAGTTGGAAGAGACCACAAGGGCCATCGAGTCCAACCCCCTGCCAAGCAGGAAACACCATCAGAGCACTCCTGACATATGGTTGTCAAGCCTCTGCTTAAAGACCTCCAAAGAAGGAGACTCCACCACACTCCTTGGCAGCAAATTCCACTGTCGAACAGCTCTTACTGTCAGGAAATGTAATTTCTCTTGTAATTCTGTTGCATTTTAACATTTCCAGTTCTTCTGGTTCGGGGAGGAGGTGGGTGAACTCCCCCCCACACACACACAATAAAACAAAGATCCCTCTAAACGTTGCTTGCCTCCTGGTTGCATAGCAACCCCCTCAATGTCATCTATCTCCTCCCCTCTGCCTGTGAGTTCTCTGAGTTTGCCGCTCTATCTGAGTCTGGGAATTCTTGATGAAGCGGTGCAGAACTAACTCACTCCTGCTCTGTCTGTGGCTGCAACCCCTCGTCTCCAGAGTCAGGCTCTGGCTCCCTCTGTACTGGCATTCCTTCATCTCCAGAGTCAGACTCTTGCTAGGCATTCGATTCAGCCACATCCCTGACACCTAATCACTTTCATTTCTGTTAAAACAGAGCCAGTGCCAAGACCATGGATACACCATAAAGTAGAATCCAAGACTCCAGAAGGCTGCACTGTGACCTTACAGTGCCAAGCACCTGTAAAGGAGGAGTACACTATCTCCTGGAAAAGAGGGAATCCCCCCAGGGTCTTAGTAGGAGGTTTGGTTAAGCACTGGCTTTCTGACAATGGAAGGAATCTCCACGTCTCCTGGCGAAAAAGCTCTTCTGACTCCACATTCACTTGTCTGGTCAGTAATCCTGTTGATCGAAACCGTGCCTCATTTGACTTGCTCAGAATTTGTGCAAGTGGGGAAGGTAAGAAATGTATCATCCCTTTCATAACCCACTGCTTCTGCTTGGAGTGGTGAATACTCAGGCAGTCCCTCAAGACAGGGATTGTATAAGCAAACACTCCTCCTTCCTTGCAAGCTTTTAGCAGGTTTGGGCCAACACAGCTCTGCTTGCAGACTATGCTTGACCCTATGAGTTGCTGCTCCTGAGCTGAAGAGTCTCGTGCTCTACCAACTAAGCTATCCTGCTTCTTTGATTTCTTCTTTGATTCCTAGGCTGTGCCCTGGGACCCACAAAAATGAAATCAGCAATGATATCTGAAGAGCCATGGCATTCTTAGAGCATCTACTCCCTGCAATGGGACTCCCAGAATCCCCAGCAGGACTCAGGTGCTTTGCTTGCTATTCCTGCTGCAGTGAAGGCAAGCAAAAGCACCATGTAAGTTTATGTCTCCAAATTATAAATGATGGGTTTGGACCCAGGTTTAGTCAGGCTTAGAGTGGAGTCTCTGAGGACAAATGCATTTTGGTTTGCTTCCCAAACCCATAAGATAATCGAAATACACCTATCCTTCAGGATTTTTACTTCTCCATAATGCACCTCTCCACATAAAAATAGTGTTCACATAAATATACAGTCAATTGAAAAATAACCTTCAAAATAAGATGTGGGAAAGCGACACTGTCACTTTATGGAGTAAGAATAGTCCAATGGTAGAAATGGTTTTATCTCCTTTCTTTTCCTGAGTATGTGATCTTTTGTGCATTATATCTTATAAACACCAACAACTGGGAAACACTGGCCTGCGAGCGGTCCAGTTGGAGAACAGCCTTGACCAAAGGTGTTATGGGCTTTGAAGACACTCAAACTAAGGACGCAAGGGAGAAACGTGCTAAGAGGAAGGCACACTTGGCAAATCCACACCAGGATCAGCTCCTGCCCGGAAACCAATGTCTCCACTGTGGAAGGATGTGTGGATCCAGAATTGGCCTCCACAGTCACTTATGGACTCATTGTGAAAACCGTGTTTATGGAAGATAATCTTATTTGGCTATGAATGATTGCCAAAGAAGAAGAAAGAAATAGCTTACCTTATTTTATTGTCTGCCACTTTGGCAGTCTTTGGTTTATAAATCTACCAATAAATAATAGAAATAATAACAAGAGTGGAGAATAATATAAAGTAGTCCAGGAGAGGCAACTTAGGGCAACAGTAATGGAACAAGACCTTCTTCTTTCTTATGGTATTTACTCAAATGTAATGCACATCTCGGGGGCATGGGTGGCACTGTGGTGTAAACCACAGAGCCTAGGCTTGCTGATCAGAAGGTCGGCAGTTCGAATCCCCGCGACAGGGTGAGCTCCCGTTGTTCAGTCCCAGCTCCTGTTAACCTAACAGTTCAAAAGCACATCAAAGTGCAAGTAGATAAATAGGTACCGCTCCAGCAGGAAGGTAAACGGTGTTTCCTGGTTCACCAGAAGCAGCTTAATCACGCTGGCCACATGACTCAGAAAAACTGTCTGTGGACAAACATTGGCTCCCTTGGCCTGTAAAGTGAGATGAATGCCGCAACCCCAGAGTCGTCTGCAACTGGACTTAACTGCCAGGGGTCCTTTAACTTTTTAATGCACATCTCTTTTTTTGCCAAATTAAGTCACAAAAATTAGGGTGCACATTAGATTTGATAGTACATTTACATTTGCCAGCAAATACTATTTGGGTTTCAAGGTTTTGAAAATGGAGGTGTGCAATAGTTTTGATGGCTCATTCAATTTGTGTAAATAGAGTATTTGTTCTGCTTCTCTTAGTCACATAGAGGAGGTCCCTTTGGTGGCTGTTACTGCAGTTCGTTCCAAGAGCCTCTTATTGCTTGTTGCAGGTGGACAACAAAAGTACTGGGGGATCCTGCCGCTTCCCGTCTGTGCTGTTGGAGCTTCTGCATGCCTGATAATGATATGGAAGAAGAAAATGTTGGGAAAGGAGAAAGGTAGAACCATCTCTGTTAATCTCTTAATTACCTGGGATTGAGGTTAACTGCCAAATATGTGTCTGCCTCTCCCTTGCTCCTCTTGAGAGGCAGAGGTTGGCCAGTGCCATGAGATGAACAGCAGGTCTCATGTTCTGCTCTGTAGATGCTGCTTCTGCGATGCAAGCTCAAGAGGGCTCTCCTGCGCCCTTCCTCAGAGGAGACCCCCCCAAAGATGGTGATGACCTACTGAGATGAGCATTTACAGTAAGGAAGGCTGGAGGACCAGATGAGATGTTTGGAAGTCACGTAATACTATGGCATTGTTTTTTAACATTTGTTAGTACTACTAGGAGTAGTCAGGGCTTCTTCTTTTTTCCCAGCCAGAACGCTCTGGAACAGAGTTCATTTATCTATCACCTTGAAACACCATTGCAGGGGGTTGGACCAGATGACCCTCAAGATCCCTTCCAACTCTTCAGTTCTATGATTCTATGAAACAAATCATCTTAGAGGAGTGGTTGGCTACTAGCCATGAAGGCTATGCTCTTCATCCGTGGTCAAAGGTAATAATGCTTCAGAATACAAGTTGATGCAACCTGCAGGAGGGGAAAGTGTATCAGTTTGATTTCATAATACCAAAAGTATTGATCTGATGAGTAGAGATCTTTCCTGTTCTAATTAATTAAGAGGGTTCTGGAAGCTTCTCTGTGTGAAAGAAGCAAGCAGAAGGTTCATGATGTTTGGGTTATTCCTTCAGAGAAGCTGAGCACAGCTCACTTAAACGGGTTCTTTTATCTCTTCCTGTCAAGGTCATGCTGATTATAATAATAAGGCCAGACAGAGCCGGGGTTTCACTTCTTTCTTTCTTTCTTTCTTTCTTTCTTTCTTTCTTTCTTTCTTTCTGATGTGGTATTCTGTGTATATAGTGTTAAGGTTTAGACTTACTATACGTTATTCTAAGTTTAAGTTAAGTCTGCTGCAACTGGATTTCTTATGGACAGTGCCAATTCTGAACGTATATGAATTTGTGACCATTCTGCTCATTTGCCTTCGGTAGCAGTAAAGCTCTGCTGGATGAAATATTCATTGTTTCCAGCATTTGGAAATGTAAAGAAAAAGAAGGATCTTTTTACCCCAATGGTGGGAATGTAAGAAAGTAAAAAACTTCTGGGAAATGATATATAATGAGATGAAAAAGATGTTGAAATATACATTTATTTAAAAAACCAGTAGCATTTTTACCTGGCATTGTAGGGGATGATATTAATAGACAAGATTGTAAATTGTTTTTATATGCAACAACGATAGCAAGAATATCATTGAAACAAAAATGGAAACAAGAAGATTTACCGATGAAAGAAGAGCGGCAAATGAAATTAATGGACTATGAAGAATTAGATAAACTAACAGGAAGGATTCCAAACCTGCAGGAGATTCTTAGAGGACTGGAGTAAATATTTGAACTATCTGAAAAGCAATTGTAATAAAGAGATTACGCTAGTAGGACTGCAAGACGTTTTGTAAGGAGGATTATGCAAAATATTGCAAGGAAGACTATGAAGAGAATATTAGTTAAGGACAATTAAAAGTAAGAGAGAAATTAAGAAATGCAGATTAAGTGATAAAGAATGGGAAATCTTCAGAGGTAGTTGACGGAAGTCTAAAACATTGTATAAGATAAAAGTGTATGTTAAATGACTGTTGGAAATGATATGTTAAAAAATTTAATTAAAATGTGTGTGTGTATTAATTGTCTCTGGTCTATTTTTGGAAATCCTGCAATGTGCTCAAGTTTTCACTCTGCTAACTATACGCTGGAATCTGTTCTGGATCAATATTGAATAGAATTCCATGACAGAGTGCTCAAGTGCAAATTCCTATGTATAATGCATCAAATTATCTGCCTTCATGTACAGTAGACAGTAGATATTCTATATTTTGAAAGTAGGCTAGGGTCAGTTATTTAGTGATAGTAAATCTGTGTATTAGCATTAGGTAGAAGGAATAAGAATGCTCTCCCTTTAAGAAAAGATACTGCCTTTCCCCCTTTTTTAGACGTCGAGGCAGGTTGGGATATATTCTAGTTTCTATTGCCTCTGACCAGAGGGGAAGCAGCCTCCCTTCCCCCTTTGCAATCTAGTTTCAGTCTAGTTCTTGCATATGCAGGAAGAGGGGCAAACTCATTTGTTCTTACAGAACTCCATAGAGAACTTCATAAAATACTTCTAACCATCTTCATTCAGAGCCAAAGAACAGCCTATTGGAATGTGAGTAATATTTCTACATGTGCCTTGATTATCCTCAATAAGTTTACGTATGAGAGCTTTGTGGAGTTTTGTTGAATACTATCCAGACTGAGAGATAAGTTTCAGGACTGAACAGAACCCCATGCAAAACAGCAAGACAGCAGCCTTCTATATTGATCTGAAGGCATACACTTTAAAAAAGCAACAGCTTACAGTTTTATTCGGTAGTAACCATTTTATTTTATTTTTTTAGCTATACCCCATAACAAAAAGAAGAGGGATAGTGGTGCTCAGAGTTGAGCCACTAAATTCTTAGAAGGAGCCCTTATCTGTGATCAGCCTCACACTGTTTTTGATCAAGGCTGCTGATTGCTGTTTTGCAGCTGTGTCTCAAAACATCATGTTCTAATAAAAGCAGAGCAAAATTTTAAGCTAATTTCTGATCATCTTATTTATTTATTTATCTTGCTGGTTGCTTGTCACCCAAAGGTCTCCAAGAGACCTTCACATTAAAGAAAAATATATGCACATACATAAAACCATGGAGAAGAGAGAGACGTAACTTACTGGATTTCTTTATTAGCAACAGAAGTATTTTCTCTGGGTGACTTCCAGGCAAGGAGACAATGGAATCCAGCAGGCAAGACTGAACGAACAAATGTCCGTGGCGGAGAGTGAAACGTTGTCGTGGGACTTGCATAGTGACACTAAATATTCATTCAAGCAGCTGCGCTCGTGTATAAAAGGAAAAAGGGAGGCGCTAGAATGCGACAGGCGGGAGAGAAAAGGGTGACGAAAAGGGAAAAGAGGGGAAGCAGATAGAGGAGAGAGGAAAGAAGGAAAGACAGAAAGAAAGATGACATGGAAACGAAGACGAGAGAGACCGGCGAGGAAATGCAGAGGAAAGAAAGGAAAAAATAAGCAAAGAAGAGAGGGAGAGAGACCAGGATCTGGAAAGAAAGAGCAGGAATGGAGAAGGAAAATAAAAACACCCCCTGTAAAGCGGGCGTGGGTGTAGCCAAGAGGGGCTAAGTAAATCAATACAAATGCTTAACTGAGGTTCTGCCCCACCCACCATAAATCCTGAAGAGGCTCCTCCAAGTCCTGCCTGGGAGGGGAAAATGCGCTGAGGGGGAAGGGAGGTTTTTTTCGGCGGGTCTCGGATTTAGCCCAGCGCCGGTATCCCGGTCCAGCAGCAGCTCCTAGTCGCCCGCTTCCGTCCTGTCTCAAATTTCCCCGCTTTTAATATGTCTTGGGCGCAGCGGACGAGGAGCAGGAGACGGCGGCAGAGAGCATCTTCTAGAGCTGAGTACTGGGTTGTGAGTGGTCAGCGGCGGTGGGGGGCAGGAAGTTGCGGCGGGAGGGGGCATGGGTTTATTTATAGGGGCAAAGAGTCCCGGGCCAGCCCTGCATGCGGGATATTTTAAAAATCCCCTGTACTATGCTAAATGCAGAAACGTCTGACTCAAGTTGGGATGCGGCGATCCGGTTTTAAAAGCCTGGCTCAGGCTGAAATGGTGCCACTGATAACTCCGCGCATGCAAATGGCACAATTTCTTATGACAAGAAGTAGCACCAGAAGACTCTTCTGGACCTTACAGGGTCTCATCTTCTAGAGGAGAAGAAAGGCTGCGCACTCAATCGGGGCAAGCAACAATCGGGGTTCCTGGGGATCGCAGTTCTGATTTAGAGCTATAGAGTGGGAATTACCTGGAAAAGGAGCGCGCAAGTGGGAAACCGCTGAGACCCCGACTTTCTAGAGCAGGACAAGAGGAAGTTTGGGCGATCCCTTGTACGAAAGGCATTGGGCTGAAAACAAAGCTCTCTTCCCTCCTGGCCAAAATGATTGTGGAAGTCCCGAGCAGAAGCCTCCTGGTCATCCTTCTCTTCACTCCATGGATCTGTACTTCATTTGGTAAGTCCTTGGGAGCGGGAGGGAACTCATTGCAAATGTCCGGGGGGAGAATGCAGGCTTTTGTGAAGGGGAAATAATTGATCAAGGGGAGGTTGGTGCCATTTCCCACTTCATTTCTCTGCCCAGAAGTTCAAAATGCTGCTTAGACGTCCTGGCCTCTGCCCAAGACCACCATGAGACGCACAGCAAGCCAAGAAACTGTTGAATGGTTTCTTTAAATATTAAGGTTCCTTATTATTTCACAAGATATGTATCTCTTTAAAGGCCAGAGCAAATATCATGACTTAGTTTTACAACTGTGAATCAGTATAGCAGGTGCTGTTAAGTTGTGTTAATTAAGCTGTGTCGGCAATTGGGTATAGTATATAAAGAATAGTGTGTACCTCTCTCAGTGCCCTGGTGAATGGGTCATACTTATAGATGTAAGGTAATTTAATGTAGGAGGAGTTTTTGTAATTAAAGGCAAGCAAAAGTTATTTTTGCTTTTCTTCGCTGTTTCCTGAACCTGTGGTCTCCCCAGCACGCTTTCTGCAGTGCAACTAATCTGCTAAATACGCAAGAGAAACCAGCCGATAGATAGATCCCACTGTCGTGGCTGTTTTTAAACTCATCTGCTTGGAAAGAGGAGAATCCAGCCTTATGTTTCCCACAAGGAAAAGCAAGAATCAGCAAGGATCCGTCTGGTTCTGGTGCAAGGAATGAGATTCAGGACTTTGGGATTTCTAGCGAGAGTTCTGAGCCTGCATGGGAGTCCCGAAGAATTTCCCCCACTCACCTGCTAAGCTATTATGCAGAGGTGGAGAACCTTCCAGCTACTGACAGAAATCCCTGTCTCTTGCTGGAGTCCCTGGCCTGAAGGTGGGCAGTCCTCTTAGACAGTGTTGAGCATAAGCTTTCCTCTTGGTGAACCACCTTCTCATTGGAAGCACCACCAAGTAGGCATCTCCTTCTATGTCCTCCCGCTTTCTGGAATAGCTCCTCTGTGCCCTGCTCATTCCCCCTGGGCAGGAAAGAAGCAGCCTCTGGGTCTCCTGCCTCCTCAGGATATGTGGGGAGCAAGGAAGGGGTGGCTCTGCTCCATAATCTCACCCCCCCCACTTCCTCCCATTCAAAGTCCTCTTCCTCAAATGCTTCAAGCTTCTAGTCTGAATCGGAGTTCTCAGAAGGTATAGGGGCACTTGCTCAAAAAAGGCTTCACCCCCCATTCCCTGGGAACCTACCCCCCCCATAAGCTGCATTGTACCCCACAGGTCATTACTATATTGCAGGGGTCAGCAAACGTTTTCAGCAGGGGGCCGGTCCACTGTCCCTCAGACCTTGTGGGGGCCAGGACTTTATTGGATGCTGATTCCCGGACCGTCCGCAGGCCGGATTGAGAAGGCGATTGGGCCAGATCCGGCCCCCAGGGCTTAGTTTGCCAACCCATGCTATAGTATATGTGTGGGGTGTGTGTCTGTATATCTGCCTGCAAAGGGCCCTCTTCCATCCCTAACCCTCCCAAAAATAGGATTTAGAGTAAGGTTACCAGATCTTTTTCAATGAATCTGGGGACACTTTTCAACTTCAATGGATTTTGTCAGGGAATGGATTTGTAAATCCAGGGACTGCCCCCAGGAAATGGGAATGTCTGGTAACCTTAATTTAGAGCAGCTTCCCAATGTATCCAAGATATGTCTTCCCAGAGCCTAATTGCAGCACAGATCTAGCTATCTCTTCCCAGTCCTCTCACTGCCCTGCCACCAGGAATAGAAGGGTTAATTCAAGGCTAATCACATCAGAGGGGTCTAAACCACTACCACCAAAATTGAACTTAAAGCATGTCTTCTGTTTTAAACTTGGTAGTTTTGATTCCAGGGTAACTGCAATGTGGAAGGGGTGATCCTAAACCCAGTTGCCGCAGAGTAAGCCCATTAGATTCACTAGGGCTTGCTTCTGAGTAGACATGCAAGGTAGCTCTCGGTCTTTTTTATCTTCCAAATTGGCTCAAAGCTATTTCAGTATTTCCTCACCTGTTTTTCTCCTCTCTCACCCACCCCAAATAGGAAATTTAAGTCATGGAATGGAGAATCCAATATATCAGGTGAACGGAATCATGGGAGAATCAGTCTTGTTTGCTGTAAATGTATCCTCAGCAGTAACAGTGGAGAAAATGGAATGGGACTTTTACCCGCAAAGCGGTGGACTGGGCTTTTGGCTGGGGGAATTCAGCCACGGTAAGCTGGAGCACCCAAGTCCCACTGACCGGTTTGGACAACGGCTAGACATGGTGGACGAGACAACACTGAAGGTCAAAGACCTGGAGTTGGATGACAGTGGGATCTACAATGCTCGCATCTGGTTTATGAAATCACGGTTTCAAGAACAGAGTTTCAGCCTCACGGTCTATGGTAAGTAACTACTTTCCCTGTCCTGAATGCAGAGGAGGGCTACACAGATGATAAAGGGGAAAGTTGAGGGAGGTGGGTGTCTTTAGCCTGAAGAAGTGTCTCCACCCCCATCGTTCTGCCTGGACACTGAGGTCCAGCACCGAGGGCCTTCTGGTGGTTCCCTCGCTGTGAGAAGCCAAGTTACAGGGAACCAGGCAGAGGGCCTTCTCAGTAGTGGGGCCTGCCCTGTTGAGTGCCCTCCCATCAGATGTCAAGGAAATAAACAGCTATCTGTCTTTTAGAAGGCAGCCCTGTTTATGTGGGAATGTTCAGGGATGCAGGAGAGGATATATTGTCTGATTATATCCTTATCCAACTTGTGTTAACAAGTTTCCAATATCAGCAGAGTAAAACATTCCCCTTTATTTTAAGTTTGCAATGGTAGCGTTTGCTCAGGCTCGCTTAAGCCTCTATAATAATCACTCTGGTAATTTCCCCTTATTCCTTCTTAAAATAGAAAAGACAACACAGTCTTTTACAAAATTATAAAAAGAGTTTACTCACATTCTGTTCACAATCAGATCCCAGAAGGTAGACTTAAGCTTAATGAAGTAACATTCACTTGGAATCTATCTTATAAAAAGACAGTCCCTTTGTTCTCTCTTGGCTGGGAGCCAAGAGGGCATCTTTCGCTCAGTAGATGTTGTGTCTTCGATGCATGTGGTGAAAGAGAGAGAGATGGCTGCCCTGTCCTGTGCTTTTGTCATTACCTGCACAGGTGAGGCAACACCCACCTCTAGTCACATGTGGAGGAAGTCGGTCCCAGCCCAGAGGGAAACAGGAAGTTTACCTGCTGGCTGGGCAAACATCCCTCCCCATGTCTAAACATGTACACTCTAGGAATGTTGTACTTGACTGCTCTTGTGTTTCACATCCCACAGTTTAGGGAAGCTTTTAATATTTGACGAACTATTGTATTTTAATATTTTGTTGGAAGCTGCCCAGAGTGGCTGGGGAAACCCAGCCAGATGGGCGGGGGGAGAAGGAGAAGAAGGAGAAGAAGGAGAAGAAGGAGAAGAAGGAGGAGAAGAAGGAGGAGAAGAAGGAGAAGAAGGAGAAGAAGGAGAAGAAGGAGAAGAAGGAGAAGAAGAAGAAGAAGAAGAAGAAGAAGAAGAAGAAGAAGAAGAAGAAGAAGAGGCTGAGAGTCATGGGTGTACCCAAGGTGGTGGGGGCAAGGAGGCAGCTGCCCCACATATAAAGTAAAACAATAGAAATACTTAATTAACTGATCTATCATGTTGATTCTGCCCCCCTAACAAAAGCCCCCCCCCCCAATAAAAATCCTGGCTGGCTGAGAGGTGATATGACAGCTATCTTCAAATATTTGAAGGGCTTTCACATGGAATCTGGAACAAGCTTGTTCTCTGCTGCTCAAGATGAATGAATGAATTTAAATGAATAAGAAAGGAGATTTCTACTAAATCTTAGGAAGAACCTTCTGGCTGTAAGAGCTGCTTGGCGGTGGAATAGACTGCCTCAGAAGCTGGTGGACTCTTCCTTGGAGGTATTTAAGCAGAGGTTAGATGGTCATCTTCTAGGGATTATTTAGCTGTGGTGCCTGCATTGCAAGCAGCTGGACTACATGACTCTTGTATTTTATTATAATGGAATAGGATTGACACCGTTTGGCTGGTTTCTGACAGGCATAAGGTGCAAACATCACATCTTTCCCATTTCTCTTCAAATAGAGCCCGTGCCAGAACTTCAGATTCTCCCCAGAGACGTCTCCAACAGCTCAGGCATATGCGATGTGACCCTGCAATGTCAGGTGTCTGGAAAGGGGGAATTTGACATCTCCTGGAAAAGAGGGGAACCTCTCAGAGACTTAGGAGATGGCTTGGACTGGTACCAGATCTCTGACAATGGCACCAGTCTCCATTTGTTGTGGTGGCCGAACGCCAGCGACTCCACTTTCACCTGCCTGATCAGAAATCCCATTGGAGAGAAGGACGTCTCCTTCAGTTTGCTCAGCATCTGCCCAACTGATGATGAAGGTCAGTAATTTATGGCACCTTCCTCCAAACGATGCATTGGACCCCTTTACCCCATCACCCCAATATCACTGCTTCGGGTTGTGGATATATTGGGGCAGGGAAAAGGCAACAGTGGAGGGTCCATTCATATCTCTGAGGAGTGGGACTCCCAGCCACAAGAATTCAGAAATCTGAGAAGAGGATGTGTTTTTAGAATTAAGCGGTGCTCAGTGGTAGAGGGACGCGGGTGGTGCTGTGGGTTAAACCACAGAGCCTAGGACTTGCCGATCAGAAGGTCAGCGGTTCGAATCCCCACGACGGGATGAGCTCCCGTTGCTCGGTCTCTGCTCCTGCCGACCTTAGCAGTTCGAAAGCACCTCAAAGTGCAAGTAGATAAATAGGTACCGCTCCGGCGGGAAGGTTTAACGGCATTTCCCTGCACTGCTCGGGTTCACCAGAAGCGGCTTAGTCCTGCTGGCCACATGACCTGGAAGCTGTACGCCGGCTCCCTCGGCCAATAAAGCGAGATGAGCGCCGCAACCCCAGAGTCGGCCAAGACTGGACTTAATGGTCAGGGGTCCCTTTACCTTTACCTTTACAGTCCCTGCTTCTTTGTTTGCAAGAAGGTCTCAGGTCCAATCCCTTTGACATCTTCAGGCAGGGCTGGGAATAATAATAATAATAATAATAATAATAATATCTATTATTTGTATCTCACCCATCTGGCTGCGTTTCCCCAGCCACTCTGGGTGGCTTTCAACAAAAGATTTAAAATACATTAAAACATCAGTCATTAAAAACTTCCCTAAACAAGGCTGCCTTCAGATGTCTTCTAAACATCAGGTAGTTGTTTCTTTCTTTGACATCTGATGGGAGGGTGTTCCACAGGGTGGGCGCCACTACCAACAAGGTCCTCTGCCTGGTTCCCTGTAACTTTGCTTCTTGCAGTGAGAGAACCACCAGAAGGCCCTCGGAGCTGAACCTCAGTGTCTGGGCTGGACGATGGAGGTGGAGACGCTCCTTCAGGTATACTGGGCCGAGGCCGTTTAGGGCTTTAAAGGTCAGCACCAACACTTTGAATTGTGCTTGGAAATGTACCGGGAGTGAATGTAGGTCTTTCAAGACCGGTGTTATGTGGTCTCGGCTGCCGTTTCCAGTCACCAGTCTGGCTGCTACATTCTGGATTAGTTGTATTTTCTGGGTCACCTTCAAAGGTAGCCCCACGGAGAGCGCATTGGAGTAGTCCAAGCGGGAGATAACTAGACCATGCGTCACTCTGGCAAGACAGTCTGCAGGCAGGTAGGGTCTCATCCTGCGCTCCAGATGGAGCTGGTAGACAGCTGCCCTGGACACAGAATTGACCTGTGCCTCCACGGACAGCTGTGAGTCCAAAATGACTCCCAGGCTGCGCACCTGGTCCTTCAGGGGGTACAGTTGTCCCATTCAGGACCAGGGAGTCCCCCACACCCACCTGCCCCCTGTCCCCCCAAAACAGTACTTCTGTCTTGTCCCCTACCCTAAACCTGGGGAGTCTCTACCAGTCAGTGTAGGCCATATTAAGCTAGATAGACCCAATGGTCTGAGTCAGTACAGGGCAGCTTCCTATGACGGGTATCTTCAAGACTCTGGTTTACGGGCTATTCCTACCATGGAGATGAATGCATATCCCAGATTAAAGGATGATCTCCCGATCATATAGTTTGAATCTGCACTTTAGTCACCCTTAGAGTAAACCCATGACACCAATGAGCTTTTAGGTGGCCATGACTAAGATTTATTTTCTAAGCCTGACTCACTCTCAATCCAACCCTATCGATTCAACCCTGTTGAGGCATTAGCAGGGGCAGTCTGAGTGGAGTCCCCCAGATGTTGCTGGACTCCCAAGGTCCCATCATCCCTGACCTGCTGGCTGCTGAGGATGATGGGAGTTGGAGTCCAACAGCACTGGGAGGGCCACAGGTCGCCTTCCCCTCCCCTGATGCCTCTTCGGAGCATAGCTGTCAACTTACAGATTTGAAAATAAGGGGCCAGCAGCCAAAATAAGGGATTTCCCCAGCACAGGTATGTTCAACTTCTGAGCCCCTCCAAGCCAAAGGCAGAAAGCCCAGCCAGCAGCCAAACAAAGCCTCAAGCGGTGGTTCCCACAGCGCAGCAACCCGGCAAAGGGGATGCAGCAAGGAAAACCACCGTCACCTCTCCGCTGGGAAGTGAGCAAAGGCGAGTCCCCAGGCAACGCGGCCGATTTGATTGGCACAAGGCATGCAAGCTCCACCCCCCTGTCGTTCTCAGACTCCTTATTGGGTGAGCAACGCAGCCAAGCAACACAGTTGGAGCCTCCCTCCTCCCTGGCTGGCAGGGAGGGAGGGAGAGGAGCTGCTTCCTTTGAAACCCGGGAAATTCAAGGGACATCATCAATAAGGGACAGCAGCGGGACACAGCGCTGGGATAAGGGACTTTCCTGCCAAATAAGGGACGGTTGACAGCTATGCTTTGGAGTCACCCCCTCCCCCGCTTTAATCTCATTGCTTCCTGATATCCACAGAAGAGGGCAGAGGATGAAACCCAGCTCCAAGTGCCAGATTAAAATTCTGTGCCAGAGTAACCCAGGGAAACCTCAAATTAAGTCAATAAAAATGGAACGTGTTGGCATAGAGCCAGTGTGGTGTAGTGGTTAGAGTGTTGGATCTGAGAGACCCGGGTTCAAATCCCTACATGGCCATGAAGCTCACTGTGTGACCTTGAGCCAGTCACTAAGCCACCTCACAGTTTGCTATTTATTTATTTGCATCCCCCCTTTTCCTTTTTTTAAAAATTGGTTTTCACATATTATATTACAATACAAATGTACCAAAGCCAACACCATTTCCTCCCCATCCCCCCATACATTTACATTCCTATTTCCTCAATCCATCATATTTTTCTTTTCTCCCTCCTCCCACTTCCCTCCGCCCCCACTCGATTTCCTACAGGTTATTTACAATAATCTTTGCATTCTACAACCTTCTCAAATCATCTGTTTTTTCTTCCATCCAGTATTCACATTTTCATCTAGGCATATTAGCATAGCCTTTTTTGACCAATATTTTGCCATATATTCATCAAAACATTTCCACTCCTTCTTTAGTTTTTGATTTGACTGATTACTTATTATAGCATTTAATTTTGCCAAAATTAAATATTCATTTAGTTTACAAATCCATTCCTCCTTTGTGGGTATAATTTGTGACTTCCACCTAGCAGCAATCACTATTCTAGCAGCTGTACTTGCATATAGAAAAATTCTCCCCCCGTGGTATCTCTTCATCTATCAATCCAAGGAGATATGTCTCTGGTTTCTTTGTTATTGATATTTTCAACATCTTCTTTAGTTCTTTGTGTAAGGTAAAGGTAAAGGGATCCCTGACCATTAGGTCCAGTCGTGACCGACTCTGGGGTTGCGGCGCTCATCTTGCTTTATTGGTTTAACCCACAGCGCCACCCGCATGCCATTGTTTGTGTACTACTATCCACAATTTCTTAATTTCCTCACACCTCCACCACATATGTATTGGTGTTCCTATTTCTCCACCACATCTCCTACAGAGGTTGGATTTCAATTTGTATATCTTTGCCAACTTAACCTTACAGTTTGCTATCGTGCTATATCTCAACGGACTCTTACAGGTAATCAGCAGATACTCCGGTGGATGATCTGCCTTCCCATCAGCTTTATTTTAACTCTGGCATGTTCTGTAATGATATGGAAGAGGAAATACATATTTAAAAAGAGGTAGGAACATCTCTATTAATCTGTGACTATGGAATTTCCTCCCTGTTCGTATAAGTCATAGAAGTCTTTTGACGCATGTGTTACTCTTATTTCTTCACACGGTGATCTTAGTCGCTGTTTATTTGAATTTTTATACTGAATGATATATTGTTTTTTAAAATGTCATATACTACATGGATAATTTTAAGTTGAGTAGTATATGCATCTGCCTAATAAGCAAACAACATGTTTCATCTTACACTCTGCAGAGATTGCCTCCACAATTCCAGAGAACCAGCACTCTCCTGGATCACAACAGACAATGAGGAACGTCCCCAAAGTTGGGCATGAGCAGGTGAGATGAGTGTGGAACTGAATGAAAGGAAGGTGACTTGAAATAGCAAGGGGAGAATTTCATCTGTTTGGGAGCCACTTAATGCTTATAAAATTATTAACACATTTTTTAAAAAAATAAAATAAAAAGGAGGTTACAAAATGGTGAGAGTATTAAGCCACAACCTCACGTCAACCCATTGATAAGGGTTGAACTCTCATTTTATTTATTGCATTTATCGTATTTCTAGCCCAACTTTTTTGCCAAAGAGCTCAAGGTGAAGTACGTGGCTCTCCCTCTTGTCACTCAACCTGTGAAGCGGATTATATATTATTATAGAATTTATATACTGCCCGATAACCAGAGGTCTCAGGCTGGTTCACAGAAAAGATCATGAAATAGAAAATCAAAATAAGAACGATAACCCAATAACACCCCCCTCAAGGCACTGAGAGGCTATGACTGGCCCCCAAGGACACAGTCAGTGAGGTTCATGGTCAAGTGGGAGGATTTGAACTCTGACCTCCCAAGTCCTAGTCTGACACTAAAACCACTTTACCACACTGGTTCTCTTAGAGAAGCCATAATTTAAGAAATCTCATGTTAAGGGTAATGGCTTATGATCAAAGCAATACAGTATTTACTTATTTAACCATCCATGTAGACCAGCAGTTCTCAACCTGTGAGTCCCCAGATGTTGTTGGACTACAATTCCCATCATCCCTGAGCTCTTGCCTTGCTAGCTAGGAGTGATGGGAGTTGTAGTTCAACAACATCTGGGAATCCACAGGTTGAGAAAGGCTGAACTAGACTTAGGTTACCAGATTTTTTTCAATGAATCCTGGGACACTTTTCAACTTCCATGGATTTTGTATGGGGACTGATTTGTCAATCCGGGGACTGTCCCTGGGAAACAGGGACGTCTGGTAACCTTAATCTAGACCCTTTTAAAAACAAACCTTCTTTAAACTTTGAGTTCCTTGTTAGTCTGTTACGGGCTACTCTGTTACCTGAGACAGATCAGCAAATGACATCCCCCAAATTCAGTGCTTTTCGTCAGACATGAGGCAGAAATTCCCACAAGCATTTCTTCATGTTCTGGCAGTAAAAGAAATGCAAAAATAAATAACCATGTGCATAGCGGTGGGGAGGGGGCAGTTGCTCCCCTCTAAATCAAGTAACTAAATAAAAAAACAATTAACTAAAAGTAGAAATAATCAGAATATTTGAAACTGAAATGCTCACTGAGGTCACTTGAATGTTGTTGTGGAGCAATTGGAAACCCAACTGAGCGATAGACGGAACTAGACAGAGGAGGATGACAGACAGGTTCATGCCCTGATAATGCACAGAATGACAAAGGAATTTTGTTTTTGTTTTCCTACAGTGGACATTGCCTCTGAGTATGTGCAGAGTGTTTTTGAAACCTTTCTCTGCTCTCACTCCTGCTTCCTGTCCACAACAGCACCCCCTTTCCAGAACACCGGAACCACACGGCATACAGAGAAAGGAAGGCCTTTTGTATGAAGAATTGAAGGGGGGGGGGAGAATGCAAAGGGGAGGCTGTTGCTATGATGTTTGTTTGCCTGAGCAGGTTACACCAAGTCAGCCTATTAAGAGGATTGTGGAGGAACACTGAGGCACTTGAGCTCTCGTAACAGGGGTTTTACAATGGCTGCACTGGTTGCAACTGGTTGCCTGCAGACGGTCTCGCCACAGTGGTGCATGATCTAGTTATCTCCCGCTTGGACTACTGCAATGCACTCTATGTGGGGCTACCTTTGAAGGTGACCCAGAAACTGCAATTAATCCAGAATGTGGCAGCTAGACTGCTGACTGGGAGCGGCTGCCAAGACCACATAACACCGGTCTTGAAAGACCTACATTGGCTCCCAGTATGTTTCTGAGCACCATTCAAAGTGCTGGTGCTGACATTTAAAGCCCTAAACGGCCATGGTTCAGTAGACCTGAAGGAGCATCTCCACCCCCTTTGTTCTGCCCAGACACTGAGGTCCAGCTCCAAGGGCCTTCTGGTGGTTCCCTCATTGCAAGAAGTGAGGTTACAGTGAACCAGACAGAGGGTCTTCTCCGTAGTGGTGCCCGCCCTGTGGAATGCCTTCCTTTCAGATGTGAAGGAAATAAGCAGCTATCCTATTTTTAAAAGTCATCTGAAGGCAGCCCTGTTTAAGGAAGCTTTTAATATTTAATGCTGTATTGTTTTTAATGCTCGATTGGAAGCCACCCAGAGTGGCTGGGGAAATTATTATTATTATTATTATCATTATTACAACTTTGTCTCTGGGCACAATACATTATATTCAGTTAGTGTTGAAACTGACGGAGGCAATATAAAAGACTGTTAGAAAGAGGTTGGAAAAAGAAAATTAGGTCGTTCTGGTAGATATGATATAAAGGATTAAGTAAAAATGAGTTGATGAATTTTATGAAACAGAGGAGGTTTAATCATATTATTTAAATTTTAAAATACGTAAATGAAAATAAGGTTAGAAGGATTTGCTGGAAATACGATTTGAACTAGAATACAAAATTGGGAGGTGTGAGGAGGTCATGGAAATAAGTAAAGGGAAAAGGCTATGTAAAGGTTAAATCTGTTTTTGTTTTATTTTAACTTAATGCATTTTTATATTTTTTGTTAATGTCTTCTTTTTTATTCGATTTTATTGTTCACTTTATCTTTTTATTTTTCGCTTTGTTAAAGTTCTCTTTGTATTTTGTATGGTTTTTCTTTCTGTTTTTTGTAATTTTAAATTTGGAATAAATATTATTAAAAAAAAAAAAGAAACTGACGGAGGCCCCAAATTTCTGAAAGAGTGGCTCCTTCCCTACAGACCCTCCCAGGTGTTAAGGTCAGCAGAGGGCGCCCTCTTGACAGAAGGGATGTCCAATAATTCCAATGGAGACAGAGACAGAAAAAGAAATTGTTGGCTTCCACTTCTTTGTCCCATGTCTGGAATGGAGAGCAATCCAGTGAATATAATCAGGACAAATGATTTGCAATTGATTACGGTTTTTTCCTCATTTGCATTGCGTTCCTCCTGCATTGAAAAGATTGGGGTGGGAAAACGTAACGACTTAATGCAATTATGAATGTTATGCAAGCAACAGTGAGACAGTAGATGAATGGCAGTGGAACGGAAACAGTGGTGCAGGCGATAAAGACGAGGCAGAAAGGAAAAGGATGTCTTCCTGCATTCCTACTTGGCAGTTCTACTGTCAGAACCTCAGTGGGTGGTGGTGTGGGTGAGCCCCTTTCTATGTGGCAGCCCCTGAACTGCAGAACTCCTTCCACACTAAAGTGTGCCTTAGCACCTACCTTATTTATTTATTTATTTTATTTTATTTTATTTTATTTTATTTTGTACACCACCCTATACCTGCAGGTCTCAGGATAGTTCAAAAGATAAATAGCTTTGCTGCATAGCTTCGTACGTACAAGACGCATGACTTTATCCAGGTCTTTCACGGAGAAGCTATTTTGTTTTATACTATCTACCACTTTTGTTGACTTTGTGCTGTTCCACGCTGTCTTGAACAGTTTTGGATTTTATTGGCATTTATGTCTTAATACGCTTTTGGTGATCTGTGTTATGTTTTACAATCTATTTATGTACCCTACTTTTTACACTGGTTTATGCTTTAGTTGAAATGCATTTTCATTTTATTTTATTTTTTGTATTCTGCAACATTTTTGTATTTTCGTGCCATGAACCTGGTGCTGGTTTTATTTTGTATGGTCTAAGCTGCTTTGTGAAATTATATATTGTTGTTGTTGTTGTTGTTTAGTCGTTTAGTCATGTCCGACTCCTTGTGACCCCCTGGACCAGAGCACGCCAGGCACTCCTGTCTTCCACTGCCTCCCGCAGTTTGGTCAAACTCATGCTGGTAGCTTTGAGAACACTATCCAACCATCTTGTCCTCTGTTGTCCACTTCTCCTTGTGCCCCCCCATCTTTCCCAATTATATATATATATATATATATATAATGTTAAATGAAACTAAGCAATTTCATTTATAACCACCACAAAACTGCACACATGCAGTCACATGTTCCTAACAGATACAGTTCAAACGAGCACATCAGACAACCGCTTAACACAAATCCTTAACAATGGGACAGACAGAGAAACAGAAACACTCATGACACAAACAATGAATCAGGCAACCACAAAGCGCTCTCTCTCTCTCTCTCTCTCTGTGTGTGTGTGTGTGTGTGTGTGTGTGAGAGAGAGAGAGAGAGAGAGAGAGAGAGAGAGAGAGAGAGAGAGAGAGAGAGTATTCGTGGAAAGAGTGGAAAGTAAACTCTCATATTCTGAGCATCTCTCCTCCCTGCCGTTCTGCCACTTCCTTCTGCTGTGGCCTGGTTGCAACCGCAACAGAAAACAAACTGGGTTGATGGTTTCCAAAGAGCCAGAAAGTGCAGATAAATGCGTCGAAAGGTAACCAAGGGAGCCGATTGTTGTGTCCATAGCCTGAGACTCCTAGAAATAAGAACATGGACTCAGATGATGCTTTCTTAGATGAAGAAGTCATGGAGTTACTTCCTGGTTGTCACTGTGACCTCTGTATCCAGCAATGATTTGGGCACAGAATCAGACGCTGTGGGGGCACCAGACAGGGAACTGGGTTTCGGTTAGGGCTAAGAGATGGCAGTGGAAGATAAGGAGACCAGTGTGTCTGAAGTGGTTGGACAAGGATGCCCAGAAGAACCTCCTGGACCACAAGGGCCTGTAGGGCCAGAGCTTAGACCCTCATGGACATCTTTTCCTGCACCAGAAGAAAGCAGATGCCTCCAGCTGCACATCATCAGTCCAGGAGAGCCCCAGGAGGTAGGCTATGGAGTGAAGGGGGAGCTCCCATCTTCAGGCTAGTGGGTTGGCTGCACTGAAGTTCTCACAAGGCAGCAGAGGCATGAAGGCCTCAGTCTCCTCTCCTCTTTTGTTGGAGAAAGGTGCTTGCTCTGAGCTGTCTGTGGTCCTGCAGCCCTTTACTGCTTTTCCTGTGAGTTCTGGAATCGGACTGGTGGTCTTCCTCCTCCTCCTTCCTCCCTCCCATCTGCCCTAGAGGCATCACCAATCATTTTGGTCTTGTAGGTAGATTTTCATCAGTGGGCAGAATACATACATGCTGCAACTGATTATTTGTTTTGGTTCATTTATATTCCGATTCACATTTCAACAGAAACTCTAAGCAGTTTAAGGTTCCCAACGAAAAAGGAATCAATGCAAGCAATACAATTGAAGTCCCACATTCAAAACCAAGTGATGCTCATCATTCCACAATTCAAACAATGCAGTTAAATAAATATCATTAAACCATGTATAACGAAGAACCATGAAAAAAATCATATAGAAAACATCAAGATATAGAAAGATACATCAAAATGCGATGTAACAGCGAAATATTTCATCATTGATTTTAATTATTTTTGAATGTTTCAAACAGCTGTTTTTAAGCTGCTATGACTGATAAATTTATTACTTTTGTTTGTAAACCCACTTTGAGGTTGTTGGGTTTTTTTGCAATTAAGCGGTATATAAATTTTATGAAATTAAATATTTCTGAAATCCATAAATATCACTCCCAAATAAGAACCATGTAATTCAATCACTGAACCCGTTCACACTAAACAAAACTAGTCTCAGCACACAGCCCCCCACTATTCACAACCATTTTGTGTTACAATAGAATAGAAATAAAGTACTTCTTAGAAGCCTAATTTCAGGGTGGAGGGCTTTTGGACATCTGTGCACCCACAGACACTTGTGTTAACACAAGTACAAAGCACTGCAGTGATGGTGGTGCTGTGAAAATAGTAAGTTATCAGCTGTGAATTTCTGTTTGCGGAGGCTTCTGGGGGACATTGTCCCCACTCTGGGTTCAGGAGACCATTCCTCAAAGGTCTCCATATGCCTCTCCCACTGCTATACCTGTGGGAAGGCAGGAAGTTTATCCTGGGTTCACTTCCACACCCTGACCTCCTTTTTTCAACACTCCCCTAGTTTCTATTTTTACCTTCAGTTGATCATTTCTTAATGTACAGATCCAGCAATGGGCCACATGGTAGCCTGGGTTTAGTTTTCTGGTTTCAGCTAGACTTGGAGGGGTGGCTTGTTGAGCAGCAGTGATCACAAACATCCCAGGGGAAACAATTAAGGGGTGGTGTCCTTGCCTTCAGCCCAACCCAGAAGGGCTGACCCAAAAGGGACAAACCCCTTTGGCGAGTTCTATGTCAGCCCCACAGGACACGACTCCTCACCGCCTCCTCTAAAGAAACAAGCGAGCAGCAAAGGGTTTGTGTGCAGTGGGAGAGTTCTCCACACCCGAGGCCAGAGATGGCTGTGTTGCGTGCTAGCAAAAGTCTCCAGACCCTTCTTCTCTGCTGCACATTAATCTGCTCCTATTCTGGTAAGTTGACCAAGGCTTGCTAAACCCTTAACACATCAGAATTTTGATGGGGAGTGGGTGTTGAAGGAGGAAACCAGAAATGTACGTTTTCATGCTTTGCAAAGAGGAGATAGACACTTATCAGCTCCATAGCCGCAAGGAGTAACCACGACTTCAGCTTCTGTTCTTTGATCACTTGTAAACCTTTGACAATGGAGCTGTGAAGATGGAGACCTTTGGTGAATCAAACATCTATTGCTGGAGAAAAAAAGCGAATAGGATGAGGAAAGGTAAGTTGAATGGGCTAGAAATCAGGGGTGAGCTTAGCTGTAGAGTCAGTAGTCTATCGTAAAGCTTGTGTTTCTTTAATTACGCAATATATAAAGCTGCATGACTGATAGTTCCCAACCTTTATCTCTAATTGCGGGGAAATAAAGATGACACAGAGTCATAGAATCTTGTTAGACAGAAACATCTTCAATGTGGCTGAAAAGAATCTCACTAATCTGTCTTTTTAGTTCATTTTCAAAAACAGAACTATAGTTGGGTTTCTTTCTAACCTTCAAGTCTATAACAATAAAAATATCTTACTGGGTTGAATGAATGAATGAATGAATGACAATAAAAATATATAATTTGCATTACAAAACATAATATTATTGAAATACTTTGACTTTTCCAAAATAGTAGACCCAGCTTTCATTCCTACCCATCCATGACCTCTGAGAAAAACAAAAATCTTCTCTTGTCCCTATACCATTCCATTGTCATCTCATAACTTTATTACATTTTCCCCCCACTGTAATCCAATTAGCAACTGAAAACAAGGTGAGGAACTGGCCGCTGGTGATATTTTTTGAGAAAATCCTCTTGAATTTGACTAGACAAAAGGGGTCCCTTTTCCAAAATTCTACTTAGCAAATTTTGCAATCTGGTTCTTAAAATTGAAAGGTTCTCAAATAGCCCCACAACATATAAAATAAAAATCACAATTAAATAGAACTCTGATCAGCAAAAATGAAATAAACAGCTGCATCAATAAAAGCAGTATTTCTAGTTTTTTCATGAAATATATTTGAGTGGAAACATGGCAGTTAGAGGTGGAGGAAGAACCCTCCTTTGCTAGCAAATTGTGACTAAAGTTTTACTTCTACTTCCATGGTTCACAGGGATCAAATTCCTCACATGTAAATAGCAGGATCTAATCAGATTTGTTTTCCTCTCAAGCACTGAAATTAAGAGCTGTCCTCTAGGATGTCATTTGTGAGTTTTATTCGCTTTACTGACTCTCCCTGTTTGTAGCGCGCTTTGTTTTCATAATTGCAGAATTGACATGCTTTGTCCTGAGTCCTGGCTACAGTTCAGTCTCGATATTAGGAAATCACATGGGAGCTAAATCTTTCTGGATGTAGAGAGGCTAATGATTCAGCTATCACATAGAGCTGAGCTGGAGGACTCTTTTGGAAGGTACAACTGGCTCGAAAACATAACAGCATTGCTATAAATGCCCTGCAATTTTTAACTCACTGCGCTGACTTCTAGTTCATTTCTGTGCTGTTGAAAGAGTTCTAGCTATGTCACTGATGGCATCAACTTCAAAAGACAAAGTTTTTAATTCAGATAAGTACTTCCCAAAGTCTTTTGGGCCACCGCCGCTTCGTTCCAAAAATTCAACTGCAGTGCCCTTTACACTATAAAAAGCATTATTCAGAATAACGATTTGCATGATGTAGAAAATAAGGAAGATAAGAACACTACAACATTCAAAGCAGTAACAATTAATTACACCTTTATTCAAAATCCAATTAAAACTACTTCATCAATTCAACTGATTTAAAATCCTAGAACTGTAGAGTTGGGAATAGTTGTTTACAGAACTTCGGAATCTAGCAAAGAACTTAGGTAAATACCAAGATTTACTAAGAATACAGAAGATTAAGGCTTGAATCTGGGCTTCCTGTAGGCATCTATCCAGTAGACATTTGATTGATTTGCCACCTTTCCCATTCTTTCTCTCCACTCCTTAAAAAAAGGTGCTGTAAGCAACTCATCACAGACTCAGACCCTGCATCAGGTGAGCGGGATCCTGGGACGATCCGTCTTGCTTCCTGCCAATGTCTCATCAGCAGAACAATTGGCCTTCATTGAGTGGAACTTTCAGTGGAACGGCATAAGGGTGCAGATTGCTAAATTCAGGAATGAGAAGCTGGAGCGGCCGGATCCAAACGACAGGTTTGGGCAGAGGATAGAAATTGCCAATGAATCCACACTGAGGATCAAAGATCTGGAGATGGAGGACAGTGGAATATATGGAGTTCGTGTGACATTCAGTACAGGAACGTTGAAAGATCATAAACTCTGCCTCACTGTATATGGTAAGTAATTATTTTGCCATCCTCATCTGTTTCTTGTGGAATTGGCCGTAGGAAAGGACCCAGCAATGCTGGTTCTAAAAAGTTACTGGCATTCTTGGGGAAAGGGGCACAGAGGATGTGTCTTTTTTCATATGTTTTTCAACAGAGCCCATCCCAGAGCCAAAGATTCTCCACAAAGATGTCTCCAAGACTCCAGGTGGTTGCAATGTGACCCTACAGTGTCGGGTGCCTGGAAAGAGGGGATTTGATGTATCCTGGAAAAGAGGGGACCCCCTCAGGGACTTAGAAGATGGGTCAGACAGGTACCACCTCACAGAGAACGGCACGGATCTCCACCTGTTCTGGAAGCTCAACTCTTCAGGGCCCACCTACACCTGCCTGGTCACCAATCCAGCCGAACAGAGGAGCAACTCCTTCAACTTGCTCGACATCTGCAAAACCCACAGTGAGCAAGTCTCCATGTATTTTATCCAGTTTAAACAAAATAGAGATTTCTAAGCAGAGTACATACAATAATATAAAATAATTACTAATAATGCACGGATAAAATAAGCATTAGTGGAAAAAACTACTCAAAGTATACGCAGCTAAATATGTGGCTGGGCACATCTGCAGAAATTTTAAAAAGATTTTAGTGGGCATCTAAGACAGCAAGGGCTCTGACACTGATGTTTCCACAATCAAGCAACATATATATTATGAAATAAGTTTAACAATGGTTTGTTTGTTAATTGCGTTTATGTCCCACCTTTTTCTCCAAGGAGCTCCAGGTGGCGTCCATTGATCTGTCCTTCCTTATTTAACTACTTCACCCCCATAAGCCTGAGGAGTAGATTAGGCTACGGGGCAGCGGCAGGCACCCAAAGTCACCCATTGAGTCCCCCCCTTTTGTAAACCACTTTGAGGTTCCCAACAATTAAGCAGTATATATTAAATATACTTGGAGTCGAGAGTGGATTTCATGCTCTTTATTCAGCTCATAGTGGTGAGGAGGAATGGAAGCTCCCCCAGAATGTCTGCTTTATATACATTATTTACACAATGGGCCCCACGTGATTGGCTAATTCTGGGATTCTCCTGTAGGCCAATCAGGTTGGGGATTCACTTCCACCTGGAGCTGGATTGGGTGGCTCCTGTGGACCAACCAGACTGCTGCATTCTGGACCCTATTGTTCTAGGACCAATCAGACTGCTGCATTCTGAATCCTATTCAACTCAGTACATAACAATATACATTCATTAAGTGAAATAAAATAAAGCCCATAATCTGTGTGTGCTGCCTGGATTGGTTTATAATGATGGAGCAGAACCCAAATATTTACTTAAGAAGAAGCAGCAGCTCATAAAGGCAGGTATTTTTAACCATGTTTATCCTGGGATGGGGCACAGAGGCAGTTGCTGTCAATTATCTCTTGATGGACAATTGTGGCCCCCTGCAGGTAGCTCTGGATCATCCATCTCAGGTCCTCCGCTCTGGTTTGTTGCCGTTGTGCCTCTCCTCGTGATGGTAGCAGGTTTGGGGTTCTGGCTATGGAAGAAAAGCAGGACGACTCTATCTGAAAGAGGTAGGGAATGTCTTCCTTTCCTTGCCCATCTTTGGCCAGCCAGTATAGCCACAAACACCTTTTCCTTCCTTTGGTTTCTCCTGCAAGGCAGGCCTTTTCAGTGCAACCAAATAAACTTGTCTAATGTCTCACCCCTATAGCCGTGGCCTCTGTGAGAGGAGAGGAGGGGCATGTCAGTCCTGGGCTTCACTACGCAGAGTTCCGCAAAAGATGGATCCCTTCAGAAGGGGGTGAGAGCCAGGTGAGAGTGAGATGGTCTTGCATGGTGGGACTAAAACAGAGACACTCAGCATTTGGGGAGCTCTTTAGGTTACAGAAAAGGTGAGAAAGAAGCGTTTAAAATTATACATGGTTTGGAGAAAGTGGATTGGGATAAATCTGCCCTCAAAACAATAGACCTTGTGGGAAATGAAGGTGGATTTTAGGAGATTCAGGACAGGCAAAACAAAAGACTTCTTCAGTGCCAATGGAACTCACCCTGGCAAAAGGCAGTGATATGGCCACCATCATGGATGGTTTTAAAAGACGATTAGAAAAATTCCATGGAAAAGGAAGATAAGGCTATTGATAGCTACTAGCCACAATAGCCAGATTTATCTACTCACCCCGGGAGTTTACGATAAAGGCCAGGTAAAAATCTTATGAATGAATGAAGAAAAGAAGTTGCTACCTTTTGCCTGATCCCTACTCCTGTTTTACACACACACAGCTAATTTCCCCTGGCTGAAGAGTGGGTCTCCTTCCCTTCTAACTCTTCCATGTAAACAAACAAAAGATACCCTGTCTATCATCATTTTTCCTTTTCCTTTTCATTTCAGGAAGTTGATAATCTCTCTGCAACCCCAGATCAGAATCCTGAAACAAATTCTCCAATTATCTACAGCCAGATCCAAACAGATCACTGAAACAAGGTCAAGCTTCAATTATTGGGAGCGAAGGTTGACTGGGCCTTCTTCCATTGCCTCAGCCCTGGAACAGAGAGCTTTTGTGGGGTAGATCTGAACGGAGAGCTGGTGGTCTAGTGGGCAAAAGGGATCTACGGGGATCTGCTGGTGGATATCTGAGTGAAGAGCAATGGATCAAAAAGGATTTCTCTGACTCCTAGTTGTGTGATGACAACAACAACTATCCCAGTGGATAGCCTGATGGAGTAGAGGCCCACAGAGATCAGGATTTCTATAGCTTCTCAGCCAGAGCATTGGACAACCAACTGTCATTCAACCTGACCTACCTCACAGTACTGTTGCAAGAAGAGATGTTGTTGGCGTTCAACTGTCTTGAGAGACAATGGAGTGCACCTCCGGGGGTGAAGTCACATCACTGTGTTAGCAGCACCAAAGTGATCTCTCTGGGGTGCAAGCCTGGGCAGTGCATATTGAGGTCCTGGGCTGCCCAGGTGAATAGACACCCCTCTCAGGTCCAAAGAAGAGCATAGCAATAATCTCCTTAAAACTGCAGTCCCAGGAAAAAAAGGTTGCGAGAACATAATTGGTACTGATCCCTTCTTTCTTATAAATGTCAAAATAAACCTTTCCAATGGCTCAGTTTGCCTTGTCTGCTTCTTAAGAAAATGTCAATATAGAGACATTAGCACAGGCAGCTTTCTGAGTTCCTGCAAAAGAGGACAGACTTGGATCTTATCCACACCTCTCCTTAATATGGATTGTGAACCCCTTGTGCATCTTCTAATTCCACCTTCATCCATATAGCCTTCTCCTCCAACTCCTGCTTCCCTATGCTTTCTTCTCCATAAGCCAGAGATCCCCTATGCTTTAGAAATCTCAATAGAAGAGCTGCGTTGATTGCATGGGACATGTGCAGATTTAGGGATGAGAAAGTCTGGGGCAACAGGAGTGGAAGGAGAAGGCCGAATGGACAAGGGAGGGAATTAGAAGATGCACGAGGGGTTTGTAATCCACACTGAGCCAAGGTATGGATGGGCCCTGAGAGATGGATGTTGAGGTCGCTGACTGTTTCCTGGGGCCATAAGTCCACCCTTGTCTTTCTCCTCCCACGTCTCAGATATAGAAGATATCAGCCGTTGTTGTAGCTGTGTTATAAATATCAACCTGTGAGAACAAACCCTCTTCCTGCAGTTTAAATGTCAGAGAGCCTAGGTGCAAAACAGCAGGCCAGCAAATACTAGTTAAGGTTGCATCTATTTCTGAAGTTTATCTGACCACATCTTCTCGCCTCTGACACGTCTCTTGTGCATGTGCTGCATCGGTGAAGTTTGCTTGTGGTGCACCTTCTGGGATGTCCATTTCAGTCATTATTCCGGGGGGGGGGGGGCTGAACTGATTTCCCCCCTTCCTGACCATGTTTGGTTATACTCAGATATCGTTTTATAAATTTCCCGAAAGAGATCCTATGTTATGTTTCACAACTAGTAGACCCAAACAGTGAAATTTTTACTTACCATATACATAAAGGAGGAAGGTGTGATCTTGAAACACTTTTGTAACAAATCTCATACAAACTTTACATGCTCCACTGTCCTCTGTCTCCAAATCTTTGATCCGCAGAGTGGTCTTGCTGGCTACTTTCAGCCTCTGCCCAAATCTGTCTGTTGGATTAGACTCCTCCGGTTTTTCATCCCTGAATTCAGCAAGCTGAAATGCCAAACCAGCTTTCCCCATTTGATTCTTTCCATGGCTTCTACCGAGGGAATGTTTACAGCAAGCAAGACCGATCCTCCCAGGATCCCATCCACCCGACACAAGTAAGGATTCTGCACTGCATTACTTGGAAAGCCTATTTATAAAAGAGAAAGGAGAGAGGGAAGACTTATGTCCCAATAAAAAATGACAAAGGCACACTGTCCATGACACTTGAGGCTTCCTCCTTGCAAACGAGGCTGCAGGTTTTGCAAGGTTCCACCTGCATCCAGTCATTGCGTTTGCATTTGGCAAAATGTCCATCACCCATTCTTTCTTTTTTTAAAGTGAATTTTTATTGTTTTCCTTACATATTCTTTTCCAACAAATTGTAATAGCACCATACATTCCCTTTGACTCTGCCGAGTCACGACCCCCCTCCCTCCCCACAACTGGTATATTTATCCTCTTTCCATCACACACATCATTCTCAAATTAGTACTATTATACATTGGAGGTATTATGTCAATCCTGCTAGTGTCTTGACCTCTTTACAATTCTTCTTTAAATATTCAATAAATTTACTCCAGTTATTTTGGTATCTTTGATCTCCCTGGTCCCGGATCCTCCCTGACAGTTTGGCAAGTTCTGCATATTCTGTCAACTTCGCCTGCCACTCCTGTATAGTTGGTATATCTTGTACTTTCCATCTTTGGGCCATCACCCATTCAAATAGTCAATGCTGCTGGTAATCCTTACAATCTGGGATCCACATTCTGTCTTGTAAGCATGTCAGGGGGTTACTCGAGAGAAATCAGGCAAATGCCTCCCTGGTCAGCTGTAAAGCCTCATTATTGGTGCCCAAAACCCTTCACCATGCAAAGCGCCACTATTCCGTGGCTCGCTCATTCACTGGCAGAATCTGTGAGTGGGCGGTCCTTAAACCTTCCCCAGCAAAGTAGTTTCTTGAAACCCAGTCTGTGCCTCCCCTCTTGGCACAGAAGCTTACTGCGCAGGGAGGGCGTGGGCAACAGAGGACCTCTCTCCTCCCCGCTTTGCTCAGGCAAGGTGTCCTGGCACCGCCTCGCCTCCTCTGAGCCCTGAAGTTCCTCTCCACTGGAGGCGTGGTTACTCTCCTCTGCTGAGGAGGAGCTGCTTCCCACGATCTTTGGGGGATCTCTGTAATCCATCCGGCTTTTCCCCTCTCACGCCTGAGCCAATGGCAGTTCCCTGACATGTATACACTAGGGAGCATCCCCCACACACCACAAAGGAATCAGTCTAGAGGACACATGGAAGGAGGCCCCTGGGTCGGCTTCAGGTGTCCTGCTGTGATGGCCTGGGACTCGGGCTCAGACTAGGAACCAGAGGAGTCTCAGTCTGCACCGGATCCTGTCCCTCAGGCATCATCTGGACCGAGTCTGGGGCCTGAACCTGAAGAGTCCCAGTCTGCACAGGTTCCCCTACAACAAGCACCAGCTGGGCCGAGTCAGGGGCCTGAGCCTGCCCTGGCTCCAGATGCGGGGATGACCTCGTTGCCTCCAGCTGGGCCATCACTTACAGCTGCTCCACTACCGGTTGGGTCAGGGGAGGCTGAGGTGGCCCCTGGGTCTAGTAACCCACTGACATCTCCCGAGCTGCAGAGACTGAGGTCTGAGAGAAGGAGAGACCTGAGTACTTGCAGGAGGAGTGCTCGCCTTTGGGAGAAACAGGGAGGTGAGTTGCTGGGGGATCAGGACTGGCCGTTACCCTGACAAAGATAAAAGGCTGTCGGACCCCGCCCCAGGTTGCGGGAGCAACATTGCTGTATGCCAGAACCTGCCTGAGATCCTGTGCCTGACTTAGCCTGCCTTGACCCAGTTGGACTGACTCCTCGCGGAACCCTTGGATTTGGGACTAGACCTGGACTGCATGGCTCAGGCTACCCCCGGGCCCAGCACACCTGCCAGATTCCTGCCTTACCTGTGGTTTAGACAGTCAAAAGCAGGAGAGTTAGCCAAGCTTTTTGACTCTATCCTCCTCACAAATGTCCTTTGTCAGATGAGATGGGTTCCACTTTGCTTGGTTCAGCCCCTCCTGCTTTGATCACAGCCCCCCAGCACCCCCCCCAACCACAGCAGTTTCCATTGTTTGGCCCACCAGCTTCACTCGTGCCATTTCTTTCTTTCTTTTTCCTCCAGCAAGCATTATTTTCTGCAGCAGCCTCATGTCACTGATGGTGAATGTTCTGCCTACAGCCCCAAGAAACCAGGCCCACAGCCAGTCGCTGTCAGAAAGAGATGGACCCCTAGGGTCTGACTTGGTGTAAGGTAGCTTTCAAGTGATATAACTCTGTCAGCATGGAAAACCCAGTCACAACGTCCCTGCCAGGTGGACCATCCAGCCCCCACTTCAGAATGTCCCATGAAGAGTCCACCCCATTGCAAGGCATGATGTATGTGGATGTATTGATTTGTGGGGGGCCAAGGCATATTTTGCAGGAGGCACACCCAAGTTAAATGCTAGTTATCTCAGTTGGTTAGAATATGGTGCTAACCATGGGTTTGATCCCAATATGGGCCAAGGACTGTAGCTCAGTGGCAGAGTTCTTGCAAGCAGAACTTCCTGGGTTCAATTCCCAGCTCCTCCAGATAAGGTTGGGAGAGACTCCTGTCTGAAATCCCAGACAGCTGCTGATAGTCAGTGTTAGACATTAGTGAGCTAGATGGACCAATGGTCTGATTTGGTATAAGGCAGCTTCCTGTGCTCCTAAGTTCCTTATTTTGCAGGACCTACAGTCATACCTCGGGTTAAATATGCTTCAGGTTGAGCATTTTCAGGATACACTCTGCAGCAACCCGGAAGTAATGGAACACATTACTTCCGGGTTTCGCTGCTTGCGCATGCGCAGACGCTCAAAATGACATCACATGCTGTGGTGTTTGCTTCCTAGGTGGAAGTCATAAGGAAAGGGTTAAATGAGTGTGATGTGATTGGCCAGTGGAAATGCAAGGGGTGGAGTAAAAGTTAGAGTGGGAGGTTTTGAAAGTCAGTTGAGGTTTGGGAGTTGAAGAAGGAAGAGGGAGGATTAGGTGTGGGTTGGTCGAGTTGTATTGTGAGAGAGTGAGAGGAATTGTTAGGTGGAGTCAGATAGATAGTTGGGAATAATCAGTTTGAAGCTGTTAGGAACTAAGATTAAGAAACTGCCAAGAAAAATTAACTGTACCCATAAGCTTGTTCCTGCATTTAAAAATAAACTTGATTATTTGTTTATGTTAACAACTGTCTGGACTCCGTGTGTCCCCATGAGAAGCGGGGTGGTGGCAGTGGAAAAAGCAATCACAGTGGTGGCAGAGGGTCAATAGACTGTCAAACGTCCTGGGGCCCTGTGTGATCGCCACACATACATGCACGGAAGTGGCGAAACGTGACCCGCGCACGTGCAGACACACAAGTTGCATGTTACGTTCTACTCAGGATGCGAATGGGGCTCCGGAACGGATCCCGTTCGTATCCAGAGGTACCACTGTATTATGTCATCATCACACATAGAGATGCGTGTTGCGGAAGCAGGATAATTTCGATAGAAGGAAAGGATTGTTGGGCTTGGTGTAAGGTAGCTTTCAAGTGATATAACTCTGTCAGCATGGAAAACCCACTGATTGTTGGGCTTGAAGGGTAAAGTCTCCTGATCATGGAGATGTAGGATATGGGGCAGGGCCCCCCCCCAAAAAAATTGGGGTTCAGGGGCATATGAACATTCCTTTTAGGTTCTGGAATCTGTGAATTTTGCTTCTTCTCTTTTGTGAACTTTCCCCCAAGCATCTGGCTAATGAGAATGCTTTTTGTTGTTGCTAAACTTGCAACACTACCACATCCTGCCCGTGTGGGCTGTGCTCTTTTCCTCTCAGCAATTTGGTTTCACTCTTGAGACAACTGGGAACGACAGAAGCCCTTTGTTAACTTCCAGTCCTTGCCAACGAATCATGGCTCACTACACTTCAGCAGAGACACAATGTTGGATTTTTCTCAGAGACCACCTCTTCAGAATATTCTTGTGTTCTTCCTTTGGTATGTCCCTGACTACTTGCAAACCCCACTACTACCCCTCAGTGCACGGGGGAGAGAGATTGTGAGTTTGGTCTGATGTTGGTTACTCACACTCAGTTAGGGCTTCTTCTCTTGAGCTTGAAGCACCTTCCAGTGCGCCCTCGATGGAACTAGGTTTTAAGGATGCTTCGGCAGAAGGCTTTCAACAGCTTAATTGCATGTGTGTGATCTTTGTTACTGTGCTGAATTTGGGGGATAATCTGTATGTCTGATGAGGGTGGTCATCATCCCTGAAGGTGTAGACGAAATGGGAGAAAAACATGGGTCAGGGTAAGTGACGTCAAGCTGAATGCCTCTCAGGGCAGAAAGGTTTTCCTGCAGGGTTTTGTCCTGGAACCTGTCAGCCACTGAACAATACAAAACAATGAAATGAGCAGAGTGGTATTTTAAAAAGTGAGCAAGAAAAGGGTTTTAACGATGTTAGTGGAACAGAGTCAATTTCTTCTCTGAACTTGGTATTAGCTTCATATCTATTTCATACATACATACATACATACATACATACAAAAATACTTTGCTTTTAGATTCCATCCTTGCTGCTTAGAATAACTTTGTGCTGGGTTAGAGCTTTCTCTGCTGAATTTTCCATAAAAGTTTTGTACTGCTCTGATTTTGCAAAGGCCTTTGAGGATTAGTTACAATAAAATGGAATATAAAACACGTAAAATAAATCAAATTATTTTGTGTTGCTTGTTTGCTTCCCTGAGATTTGACCTTGGGGCAGCTTTGAATAGATTTAAAAGATCATTTTATTCATGAATGAGGTTCAGACATCACTTTGCTACATCAGGATAAGGAATGGAGATATTCTTTCAGAGTGATGCCTGGGTCAGAAACATACAAATCTTGGAGCCAGTCTAGTGTTTAATTCTAATTCTGGCTTGTGGAGAAAACTGAATGCATACCAGCAATAGTGTTTGCCCTTAAACATTTATGCTAGATATAACACTCTCTGGACTACATCAAGTAGACTTTAGTATTTTATTTTTAAACATTTTACTTTTAATGTTGACCTGGATCAATTTTCTTTCTGGGTTTTTCAAGTTTCAATATCCTTTGCAAATGATGCAGCCCGTTGAGACACTGCCGGAAAGAAGCAAACAGGATGCTTTTTCTTGCAGAAGTTCCATCTTCAGACTGTTTTAAGCCCCTGAAGACTGCCAAGAAATTCCAGCTGGTCCAAAATGCAGCAGCCGACTTCTGGCTGGGATTCCGTTTGTTGTTGTTATTTAGTCGTTTAGTCATGTCCAACTCTTCGTGACCCCATGGACCAGAGCATGCCAGGCACTCCTGTCTTCAGGATTCAATTTAGAACTTGCATAACATAGGACCCTCCCTATTAACTTAATTCCAATCTGCTTTAACTGTTTATAATATTTTATATTTGAATTTTTGTAATCTGCCCTGGGATCTCTTGGTGAAGAATGGATATGGATGCAATAATCATACTTATTTGCACCTCTCTTTATATCCCCCCCCCCAAGGCACGTTAAGCCAAGCAGTGGAGAATCCAGCCTATCAGGTGAATGGGATCATGGAAGGATTTCTCTCATTTCCTGCCAATGTATCCCAAGGAATAACAGTAGAGAAAATTGAATGGGACTTCAGCCCAAAAACTGGTGGCCTTGGCCTTAGGTTTAGTGAATACAGACATGGGAAACCAGAGCACCCAAATCCCACTGACCAGCTTGGACCATGGCTAGACATGGCAAACCGGACAATGCTGAGGATTAAAGACTTGGAATTGAACAACAGTGGGATACACAGGACTCATCTTTGGTTTACAAAAGTGCAGTTTCAAGCACACTCTTTCAACCTCTCCAGCAGCAGCAGCCACACCTGAGGCTCCCTATATTCCTGGCAAGAAATTTTCATGAATTTTGTGAGCAGGAGCCTGGTGAAACTTCTCTTCTTTTAAGAAAGCTCCCCCTCCCCAATCTCAGGGTCAGTGTGGTTTGGCACTTACTGGGGGCTCACATGCCACAAGAGCCCTCACCCCACCAGACCTTCTCCTCTTTCCACCACTGCTTTCTCATTTTGGCCCAAACAATAATGGTGGTTGTCATGGGCCCAGGGGGTGGGGGCGCTGGCCAGAGGAGGCTGGGGATAGTAAGGAGTTGCCCATGCATGATGCCCCAGAGGGGGACCTTGAAGGGCTTGAGTGTTCATTTTGTGCCTTGGTTTCCTTCCTTGAAGCCTGCATTGATGTATATATATATATATATTTATAAGATATTTATTGAGATTTTTAAAATGTTACAAAATAAAAATAAAGAAAGAAGAAAATACAAAATAAAAATGGTTAACAAAGTAAACAGAGAAACAAACCACTTCCAACAATACGAATACAAATTCAAAATAAGAAAACCCCCCCGAAAAAAACAAAAATACACCACAAACATTTAAAAACATTTAAAAACAAATTCATTATTCTCAAATCCTCAACTGTCATTACCTTCTTTCTTTGACCTCCTCCTCCTCCCTTTCTTTGTATCCTAGTTATTAATTATCCCAGCAAATCCTTTCCATATTTCATAATATTCTGTCGTTACATTACCTTAAACTGTTTTAATCTTATCTTTTTATAAAAAAAACCTTGAAATTTAAAGCTTAAATCTTATCCTTACCAACTTCTCATAACCATAATATTCTTTCATAATTCTTTAAGCATCTTTACTAAAGCCGAGTCATTTCATTCCAACATTTTTCTAACATTCATCAATTTTATAAAACAGTCCTAATAGTAAAAAAGAAAAAGAAATACAAACAGATCCAATCTTCATCCAGCGTCCCTTCCTCCTGGTTCCGGGTTTTGTCAGTCCTTATTATCCCATCGATCTAGCCCATTAACCTGGCAACCTTATATCCGAGGCCCTCAAGTCTCTTCCATGTCCCTTCCGCAACTCTTCTTCATATTTGTAACTGTATTTTCCCTTGTCTCCTGCTCGTGGTAACTCCAGCTTGGCAATATTTTTGACCATTCTCGACAGATCAGCCCCTTTTCCATATTCAACACTAAATTCCATGTGATATTTAAAAACATGTTTGAAAAACCCTCCAAAATTAAGAGCCCCCACAATCCCAAACATCTCACGGCCCATTGCCAGATTTGAAAAGTCCAAACATCCCAGTATAGGGGGGTCAATCCAGCCCCCCATTTCCAAGCCAAACCAAACTTTTTCTTTCCAAATCTGGCTTTTTCCAAGTTCATTTGTCAGATCCGAAAGCTCATATTCCTGTTGGGCCTGTTCTGTCAGGACGCACTCCTGATTTAATTCCTGGGTGGGCTCCACATATTTTCCCACTGTCTGTTCAAAATTTCCCACTGCCTGTTCAAAATTTCTAGTCGAAGTCGCCATCAAATTCATCTTCTCATGTAACTGTTCCAGTAGGGAATTTGTTTTATAGAAAGCTCACAACAGAGCTTCTGAATACATTGTCCTGCAAGGTCAAATGTCTATTCCCACGATTGTAATCTGTAACAGCTGCCGGCTCCCTGGAATTGGTTACAGTTTCACAGTCTCCCTCTAGGGGGAAAACTTCTATTTGTTCTTGCAACAAAGTTTTCCTTTTTGAGATATTTTGTCAATATTTGTTCCTTTAAAATGCGAAAGGAAACAGTGGAATCACTATGTTTCTCTTCTTTTAGCTATCTATCAAAAACGTTTGTCTCTGGTCAATGAGCTTCAAACGTCAGTCCTGACACCCCGCTCCAGGATTAGGACGGTGGAAAGTTACTTTACTTTAAACTCACTTTAAACAGTCTGAAAAAGATCCCCCTTCTTCTCCTGCTGTCGAAGGGGGGTTCCACAATTTTAAATGATGAAATCCAATCCTTTAAAGGAGATTTTCTAAGCTCTAGTTTACGTTGTCTTTGCTTTATTCTGTCTACAAAAGAATGGAAGGCTGACTTCCTGTTTAGACCTTCCCGTTCAGTACCAAATTGAAAATAAATTTTTAAATCCAATTCCTTTCTGCTCGCAAGTCCTTATTTAAGGTCCAGTTGTTCAAAGTTTAAGTACTCACGGGTGCTTATTTTAGAGTCCAAATTGTCCCAGGAAAGAGGCAGCGCTCTCCGGCAACGGCTATGCGGCTTCACTCCACGGAAATAGCAGATGACTCACAGCACCGCGCCACTTCCCCCTCTTCACTTCGGAGCCCGTTAATGGGTTCCTTTGCGAGTTGGGGGGGCGCTAAAGGTGCCCGCCGAGTCCCATGGTCACAGGCTTCATCCGCCTGTGATTTTTAAAAGGGTCCCCGCTTTGCCGTAGCGGAGAAGACCCGTTTCACGCGGAGCTAGTCCCTCCAGTTCAGAGGGAGTCCGCCATTGCCCATGGCGCCACCCCGGAAGTCCGAGGTATAATCTTTTTTTATCCACCAGGTGTTCTTTAGTTCTCTGGTTCTTCTTTGAACCTCAGCCTTAGCGTTGACATAGGTTTTTTTTCTTAGTGCCGCAGTTTCTATCTCTTTGCCAGATCTGAAAGGCCTTCCTTTTCTCGTCAATGAGCAGCATCCACAACCCTCGTTCACCCCATGGTTCATTACATACCCAACTATATTCTTAACTACCACGATCCCACCACCCACAGGAGAGGCATCTTCCCACAAGACGCAGTGATGACCACCATCCTGGACAGCTTGAAAAGAGGGTGAGGTACATTTGTGGAGGAGAAGACTGTTGATGGATTCTAGGCAGGATGGCTCTCCTCTGCCTCCTCCACTGAAGGCAGCAATGCTTCTGAATGCTGGAAACCACACAAGGAGAGAGCATTCTGGTCCTCAGGTCCTGCTTGCCAGTTTCCCACAGGCATCCGGCTGGCTACTGTGAGAAGAACAGAATTCCAGGCTAGATGAGCCACTGACAGGATCTTCTTAGGTTCTGATTTCCCTGATTTCCCCTCAGGAGTTAATTTTGGGGTTTGAGGGCATATGAACATTCCTTTGGGGTTTAGTGACACGTGAGTTTTTCTTCTTTGAACCTCTTTCAAGCAAATAAAAATATGGGCAAGAAGAATGCTTTTGTTGTTGTTAAATTTGTAACAGCCTCCTCAGTCTGCAAAAGCTGCTTGCATTTTTCATTGCTTTGGCTCTGCCCAAATCTGTCAGAAGACCTTTTTTTTTTTTTTTTTAGGTAGCCGGTCTTTGCAAACAGCTCCTCCCCCACATTCCACACCCAGAAACACACTTCCGCAGAGAAGCAAACATGGCTTTTTATTGCAGACGTTTCCTGTTCAGAATGTTGCTGTACTTTCTTCTGGGTAAGTCGCGCACTGCTTTGTTCTGAAGAGCAATAAGATCTGCGCCAGCAGCTTGTGTTTCCAGAGGCTGGGGAAGAGACTGACCATTGTTATCCTCCCCGACATTTTGCCTCTTGCAGCTGCCGGACTCCTCTGGAGAAGGATTTGGGAGCCATCTTGCCCTCCCCTCTGAATTGCATTAAACCAGGCTGCCTGGAGAGTAGCGAGACCAGGGCCAGAAACTTCATTCTCCGTTAACTTTTGTGTTGCTTTGTATCGATGTACTTAAGTTTCAAATGTTTTTTTTTGGGGGGGGGCAATTTTGAATTTATTCTGTGTTTGCCAAATTGTTTATTTCTGTCATTTTTAAATTTACTGTCATATTCTGTATTTCGTACATTTGTATTTTTGATGCTCTGTATTTTGATGTTTTGAAACAGACACATATCAATCAATCCCAGTCAAGAGAGAAGTAACTGAGAAAGCTGCTTACTGGTTACTAGCACTTTTTTTCTGTGGGGACGCAGGGTTACACATACCCCTAAACATTTTGTGAATCTAGGTTTGGCTTCATTGGGGGCCATATTTCAATATGAGCAGGAAAAGGAGAGTACCTCTAAAGATTTTTTACCAAAAAAGCAGTGTTGGTCACTGGAACCCAGTTCCCCGTGAGGGTGGGGCAATGCCACAGTGATCTTTGTTACTGAGCTCAGTTTCTAAGAGAATCTGCACATATGACAAAGGTGGACATTAGAGAGCCCAACCATAGGTGGTGCCAGAGTCAATGAGAGGTAGAGCCAACTAATTTTCAGAGGTCTGTATTTTGATGTTTTGAAAGTTTGCTGTGAGCCTCTTTGCGCAAAGCTCGTTGCGGAACAACGGCATATAAATAAACTCAATCAATCCTAATCAAGAGTGACGTCACTGAGACAGCTCATAAAGGTTTCTCCTCCTCCACTGATCCTTCCTGGTTTATGAGTGGAGGAACAAAGAGCTGTGAAAGGAGGAGTCAGAAACAAAGAAGGGAAAACAGGGTTTTGCTTGGATGAGAAGGGGAGGGAAAGCAAGCACAGACAGTCTTGCTGGTACGAAGGGGAGGATCTGATCTGCTGGGATGTGAGAGGACGGAAGGAGATGACCATTGTGTCTGAAAGTTCACAACGCTTGCAAATAAACCCTGGACTCAGCTTATAAAATGAATAAACAGGCTTATTTAAGAGCACCTATACTGTGCAGAAAAATGAAGCTGATTTCCTCACGGTAGTGAAACAGATGCCACAATGGGAAGTCCACAGGCAGGACCTGAGCAGCAAATTTCTCCATCATTGATTCTAAGAAACAAGCATTCTGGTGCGTGACTGCCACTCAGGGCTCTTTAGCAATCCACAATTGTGGATTTTTCTTGCAGAAGGCCTCTTCTTCAGACTTTTGCTGTACTCCTCCTTGGGTAAGGACGTCACTGCTTTTTCCTCAAAAATAAAACAAAAGCCCCACTTAAATGCATGCACTCTGAGTTTGATTTGTCACAAAGAGGAAAATCATTGGCAATATTGGTTACTAGCACTCAGGGTCTCCTCTCCCCAGCTGGAACCCTCTCCCAGAACACGCTTGCTGCCTTCAAATGAAGCTCCAACAGGAGGCTTGTGAAAGTTTAATCCTTTTTTGTGATATTTGTTGCTGAGCTGAACTTGGAGGGACAATGTGCATGTATGATGAGGGGGCTCATCACCCCTGAAGGTGTGGTGTTCAATGGGATAAAAATGCTGGACATGGTGACTGCAAGTCACCATGTCATATAGAGGAGGGAGAAAGGTTGTTTTCTGCTGCTCCAGAGAAGCGGACACGGAGCAATGGATTCAAACTACAAGAAAGAAGATTCCACCTAAACATTAGGAAGAACTTCCTGACAGTAAGAGCTGTTTGACAGTGGAATTTGCTGCCAAGGAGTGTGGTGGAGTCTCCTTCTTTGGAGGTCTTTAAGCAGAGGCTTGACAACCATATGTCAGGAGTGCTCTGATGGTGTTTCCTGCTTGGCAGGGGGTTGGACTCAATGGCCCTTGTGGTCTCTTCCAACTCTATGATTCTATGATTCTATGACTTCATTTCTAAGGCAGAAATGTTTTCCTGCAGGATTTTTTCCTATGATGTGTCAGTCATTAACTAATACAAAATAAATGTCAGTAAAAAGGAAACAGTGAATTAGAGGAGCCAACAAATGAGCAGGAAAAGGCAACTGGGGATCCTGGTGGAACAGAGTCAGTTTCTACTCTGAACTCTGTGTTAACTTATCTCGGTTTCACAAAAATTAGTGCATAATCGTTATTTCCTGAAACACACAAGCAGATTGTTTTTAGATTGCTTCTTAGAAGAATTTTTCACTTGGTAAGATCTTTCTGTGTTGAATTTTCAACAGACATTTTGCAAAGTTCTGATTTTGTAAGCTGCTTTGAGGTTTTAGGACAACCAAGAAGTATTAATCTTGTGAACTGAAATAAATGAACTTTTGTTCCTTGTGAGAGGAAATTCTACTTTTTTGGGGGGGGGGGATTTTTCCTTGGGACAATTACACAAAGCCAGATATTCCAAAAATTTCAGCACTGCAAAGCTTTAAAAAGATTTAAGTGTTTAATCAATTGCTTTTTCAGACTTCACGAAACAGGATAATGATACTAATTTTGTTTCTATCTCCTCCCCCACCACCCTCCCCTCACTAGAAACTTTAAGCCATGCAGTGGGGAATCCAACCCATCAGCTGAAGGGAATCCTGGGAGGATCAGTCTTGTTTCCTGTCAACGTATCTCAAGGAATAACAGTGCAGAAAATGGAATAGGACTTTTACCCCCAAAGCGGGGGCCTGGGCTTTTGGCTGGGGGAATTCAGTCATGGGAAACTGGAGCACCAAAGTCCCACTGACCAGTTTCGACAACGGCTAGACATGATGGACGAGACAACACTGAGGATCAAAGACCTGGAGTTGGATGACAGTGGGATCTACAGTGCTCGCATCTGGCTTACTAAGACACTGTTTCAAGAACAGCGTTTCAGCCTCACCGTTTATGGTAAGTTATTGCTTTCACTCTTTGACTCATGGAATAGGATGAATAGGACCCAAACCTTATGCTGTTTTCATTTGTGTTCCCCAGAGCCAGTGCCAACACCACAGATAGACCACCAAGTGGAATCCAAGACTCCAGGTGGATGTAATGTGACCTTGCAATGCCACACACCTGGAAGGAAAGATCTCAGTATCTCCTGGGAAACAGGGGGTCCACACAGGGCCTTAGGAAAGAGTGTGAATCAGTACCAGGTTTCTGACAATGGCCGGGAGCTCCGTGTCTCCTTCTGGAACAGTTCTTTGGACTCCAACTTCACCTGCCTGGTCAGCAATCCTGTTGACCAAAAGAGAGCCTCGTTTGACTTGCTCAACATCTGCCAGAGTGATGAAGGTGAGCAATATAGCTTTTCCTTCATTATGCAAAGGAGGTCCTTGTGGTTGCGAAAAGGCAGGCTAGCCCTTAACATGAGGGATTAGCAACACTTGCTTATCTATTGTTATTTATTCTACTGCTCTCAGCTGAGTGTGAGCATGAGAATCTGAATCGCGGGGTCATGAGTTTAAGCCCTGCATTGAACAAAAGATTCCTGCAATGCAGGGGGTTGGACTAGATTACTCTACTTGTCCCTTCCAACTCTACAATTCTATGATTCCGTGAGAGTCACTCTGACGATTGTTATTAGAGTATGTTTTGAGAGACTCTTATTGTTCTTTGTGTGGGATATAAAGCTGTCAGTCAAGGCCAATATTCCGAGAGGACTAACTGCCTCTATGAGGCAGGCAGTTTTGTCAGCTGGTTGGTCGGTTGCTGCAAGGAGTGTTAACTGGTAACTGCTCGGATGCAGTCTTCTCATGACTCACTACTATCTAGTATATCTGTTATGTAACCTAAGCCTGCCTTCAGGAACAACTCTGTAAACCTGAATGAATCTGATAGTAAAGTAGTCTATGTTAATATGATTCAGATTCATGTGTGTTTTCTTTAAGAGGGACAGAAAGGGATTAGCAACCAGGAAGGTATAATTATTGATAGGACTCAAACAAGTTAGCAACCTGCTTGTCACTACATAAACTCCGACAGGGGATCGTTTAAACTCTGCTAAATTATATAAACATTCCCACACATTGTAGGTGGACAGTTTGAACCCTCGAGTTGGAGTCCATGGCTTCTCCCTTCCCTCATATTTCTTATGGTGATAATGTTGATGCTGATGGTGATGGTGACGGTGAATTGGATGCGCTGGAAGATCAGATTAGAAAGGCATAGAAGAGGTAGGACCATCTCTATTGATCTTCCCATCTCTACTGAGATGGGGACTTCCTGCCAAATATACCTCTACCTTTCTTTTGCTTATCCTGAGAGGCAGAGACTGGTCAGTGCCATGGACTCAATAATGTGTCTCATTTTGCCCTCCACAGCTGTTTGTTTTGTGATATTAGAGGAAGGGGAGAGTATCCGGAGCTCAGGAGCCACCCAGAAGATGGTGGTGACGAGGTGAGATGATCGGTGCACAAAGTAATGATGGGGTGATTATTTTTATCTACCAATAAAATCATCTGATACATTTGGGAGGCGTTTATTACTTCAGTTATTATTATTAATGTTGCAATCTGTTATTCTTAAAGAAACAACAGCAACAGCAGGAACAAGTGGATTTCAAACAGGCCACTGACCTGATAATAAAAATGAATGGCCATCAGTTTGGCACAACCCATCCCTACGAACCATTTCTGCTCATCTGCAGGAGGCTTCTCTTAAAATTACCGTATTTTGCGCTCTATAAGACGCACCAGACCACAAGACGCACCTAGTTTTTGGAAGAGGAAAACAAGAAAAAAAATATTCTGAATCTCAGAAGCCAGAACAGCGAGAGGGATCGCTGCGCAGTGAAAGCAGCAATCCCTCTTGCTGTTCTGGCTTCTGGGATAGCTGCGCAGCCTGCATTCGCTCCATAAGACGCACACACATTTCCCCTTACTTTTTAGGAGGGAAAAAGTGAGTCTTATAGAGCAAAAAATACAATACCTTTCGCTGGCACTGGACTCCATCCCATCCAGCCAAAATAAGTACTAGCTTCTCTCTCTTATGCTGGAAAGGAGAGAGGTGCTCATTTTCATGCATGGTGGAGCTCCACGTTGGTCTGCTCCTTTTGGGAAAAGGTGTTTCACACTTTTTTCCAAAATTATGCAGCAATCCCCTCCACCCACATGAGCTCTTGCCTTGTTATCATTAGACTCAAATTTAAACAACAACCTTAAATGCAGAGATGGCCCTGAAGCAGCATGCCAGAGCAAGAGAGGCTTATCTCCCTCTCACTGTGTGTAAGACTCCCGTTTCTACTCCCCTCAGCTTGTCCTCCCTCCTCTTCGGATTCCTCGCTGTCTCTCAGAACGTCCCTGACATTTTCATGGAGAGAAGAAACGGTATTTGGATTGAAAAAAACAAAAACAGGCCAGTGACCCAAAAAGACTTAACCAATTGATTATGGCACAAGGGGAGGCAGGCAGCTTGTGCCAAGATCCTGTTCCCATCAGGGGAACATGCACGCCCTGTTATAGTGAGCAGAATTGAACCCTCCCTCTCCAGCTAGTGAATGGAGGATTCAGGCCTCTGGCCGCAGGGCTCTGCTTCCCACATCCTTCCCCCAGTGAACCCAACAGGATTGCGCTCTCCACTTACCAGCTGTTCTGGACTCTTCCCAAAATACTAATTTTATCATTGATAATAACTGAGTGCTGGAGAATGGAAATGACATACTTTGGTCAATTCAAAATGGGCCATTCCACCTGCTCTCTTATGGTCATAGTTATGGCAAGTTCTCCAGTGGAACTAGAAAGCTAGCCCTAAAGGCTGGGACTGAGGTGTAGGGAAGATGCCTGCTTTTAGGCAAATTGGTATCCTTTCTTGGAGAACACTGGACTTGGACAGGACTTTAATTTTCTCCAGGGTTCAGTTGGGCCCAAATGCCCAGAAATTCTTTTAGGAGTTGCATCTCCAGAGTCCCTCCTGTCATATTTTTCTCTTCCCTTCCAGGTTGACTCAGACATAGAGGATTTCGCAAGCAGTTCCAGGTCACCTTTTCCTTCTCTCAGTTCTTATGTGGTCTCAGACACAGAGCCCTCAGAGATTGAACACTGCATCCCACAGACCAGCATGGAAGATCAGGAACATCTCCTGGAGCCACTGCCAAGGAATTCACTGAGGGTCCCTCTGTTGAAAGACCCATTGCAGATCTCTCAAAGCTGCCAGTTGAGCCAGAGGTACAGCCTACCTAGCACCCTTAAACACTGGCCCCAAAAGTCCTGTTACCAGGCCAAAGAGCAAGATACGAAGACTTATCCAGTGATTATGGAATGGGTCTCCTTGAGAGCAAAGAGTTCCAGAAATGCATTCATCACCAGCACCAGCCATGAGCATCTAAGGCACTCCTCTTCAGCCTCCCTGTTGATGGAAACAGCACAGGAAAGATTGGGTTAGTGAAGATACACATCAGGAACAGGGGAGGCGGAGAGATAAAAATCTGTCATGGATCAAGAAATGCATAAAGACCTACACCAGAAAGAAGCATGGGAGCAGCACCTCCTATTTGCCAAGAGGTCCCTGCAGAGGCAACATTGCAGGCCAACATTGCCAAGGAGATGGAAGAGCTGGCCTCAATGCTGATTGAACTCTGCATCCCATACACCAACCTTGCAGGTTGACTCGGACAAAGAGGAATTCTCAAGCTGCTCCATACAACCCAGGGAAACCTTTCCTTCTCTCGGTTCTAATGCACTCTCAGACACAGAGCCCTCAGAGATTGAACACTGCATCCCACAGACCAGCATGGAAGATCAGGCACATCTCCTGTATCCACTGTGAAGGAATTCATTGAGCTACAGCCTACCCAGCAGCCTTCAACACTGGCCCCAAAGGTCTTGTGAGCAGGCCAAAGAGCAACATACCAAGTGATTATGGAAGGGGTCTCCTTAAGAGCAAGGAGTCCCAGAAATGCCTTCATCACCAGCACCAGCCAAGAGCATCTAAGGCACTCCTCTTCAGCCTCCCTGTTGATGGAAACAGCACAGGAAAGATTGGGTGAGTGAAGATACACATCAGGAACAGGGGAGGCGGAGAGATAAAAATCTGTCATGGATCAAGAAATGCATAAAGACCTACATCAGAAAGAAGCATGGGAGCAGCACCTCCTATTTGCCAAGATGTCCCTGCAGAGGCAACATTGCAGGCCAACATTGCCAAGGAGATGGAAGAGCTGGCCTCAATGCTGATTGAACTCTGCATCACCTACACCAACCTTGCAGGTTGACTCAGACAAAGAGGAATTCTCAAGCTGCCCCATACAACCCAGGGAAACCTTTCCTTCTCTCGGTTCTTATGCACTCTCAGAAACGGAGCCCTCGGAGCCTGATTGAACACTGAATACCACAGACCAATATGGGAGATCAGTAACATCTCCGGGAGCCACTGCCAATGAAATGAATTGAAAGACCCATTGAAGATCTCTCAATGCTGCCATTTGAGCCGGAGCTACAGGCTACCCAGCAGCCTTCAACACTGGCCCCAAAAGTCCTGTGACTGGGACAGAGATCAACATACCCAGACTTACCCAGTGACTGTGGATGGGGTCTCCTTGAGTGCAAGAAGTTTCAGGAATGGCTTCATCACCAGCAGCAGTATATAAGGCACTCCTCTTGAGCCTCCCTGTTGCTGGAAACAATACAAGCCTGTTATAAGAAAAAGAAAAACTGCTCCTTTTCCCTTATGGGAAACCCAAGAGCCCATATAGAGTCCTTTTGTAGGTTTCCTATCGGTAGGAGAAAATAACAGAGGCCAACCAGAGAATATAGAGAAACAAAGCAGCTAGTAAGCCTGATCTTTATTCACTGTTGCAACAGGGTTCTCCCCTCACACGCAGGAAGCAGGTGGGACCCCGAACCATGAGCACAAGCCCTTATATAGACATTTTCAAATTGCCCACCCTGGAGCCCAAGACCACCCCCCAATACATCATACATACATCAGAGAAGGGAAGGTCTACAACAGAATCCTGTCTGACACAAAACCTGGCATGGGTCACAGTCTCACCCTATTCATACACAGACACACTCTTAAGACAGGATTTGTGAATAAAGATCTCTCAAGAAAGTAAATCAATGCTGAACTATAAAATATCTGAACAGGAAGTAGAAGGTGCCATACAAAATATGCAATTGGGCAAATCTCCAGGACCGGATGGGCTGACTTCCAGATACTATAGATCTTTGAAAGAGTGGTTATTGCAACCTTTGAAGGAAGTCTGCAATGAAATATTGGAGGGGAAAAGGGCACCAGAATCGTGGAAAGAGGCGTATATCACACTTATACCGAAAACAGAGACTGAAAAGACTCAGCTTAAGAACTATCGCCCTATATCGTTACTTAATGTGGATTACAAAATTTTTGCAGACATTTTGGCCAAGAGATTGAAAAAAGTATTGATGAAAGAGATTCATAAAGACCAAGCGGGCTTTCTCCCGGGAAGACACTTGTCTGATAATTTGAGGAATATAATTGATATTTTGGAAAAATTAGAAGTGAATATAAACACCAAAGCAGTATTGATATTTGTTGACGCGGAGAAAGCTTTTGATAATATCTCTTGGAGTTTTATGAAGAAGAATCTGCATGGGATGGGGGTAGGCCAAGGTTTTGAAAATGGTATAGGTGCAATATACTCTGAACAAAAGGCTAAATTAATTGTAAATAATGTGGTTACGGAAGAATTTAAGATAGAAAAGGGACACGACAGGGGTGCCCAATTTCCCCACTGCTTTTTATATCGGTCCTGGAGGTTTTGCTAAATATGATTAGAAAGGACCGGTTGGTTAAGGGCATACAGGTCGGAGTTAAACAGTACAAACTGAGAGCATTTGCAGATGACCTAGTATTGACGTTACAGGAGCCAGAATCTAGTACTAAAAGAGTTTTAGAATTAATTCAGGAATTTGGTCAGGTGGCAGGTTTTAAATTGAACAAGTTAAAAACTAAGGTTTTGGAGAAAAACTTAACACCGATTGAAAGAGAGAGGTTTCAGAATGAGACAGGATTGAATGTGGTAAAGAAAGTGAAATACTTGGGGATTAATATGACAGCCAAAAATGGGAATTTATTTAAAGATAATTACGAAAAATGTTGGACGGAAGTGAAAAAAGATTTAGAAATTTGGTCAAATTTGAAACTCTCGTTGCTGGGCCGTATTGCTGTGATAAAGACGAATGTATTGCCTAGAATGTTGTTTTTGTTTCAGACATTACAAATTGTAGATAAGATGGACTGTTTCAAGAAGTGGCAGAGAGATATTTCTAGATTTGTCTGGCAGGGCAAGAAGCCCAGAATAAAATTCAAGATATTAACTGATGCCAAGGAAAGAGGTGGATTTGCCCTGCCAGACCTTAAACTTTATTATGAATCAGCAGCTTTTTGCTGGCTGAAAGAATGGCTACTTCTTGAAAACACAGACATTTTGGATTTAGAAGGTTTTAACAATGTATTTGGATGGCATGCATATTTATGGTATGATAAGGTCAAAGCACACAAAGCATTCAAAAACCATATTGTTAGGAAAGCATTGTTTAATGTTTGGATAAGATACAAAGACTTATTGGAAAATAAAACCCCAAGGTGGCTGTCACCAATGGAAGCAAAAGCTCTGAAAAGGCTCAATATGGAGGCCAAATGGCCGACATATTGGGAAATTTTGGAGCAAGAAGGAGATAAATTGAGACTGCAGAGTTTTGAAAAATAAAGTGAGAGATTGGCTCCACTACTATCAGATAATGGAGGCATATAATTTGGATAAGAAAATAGGCTTCCAAGTGGAAAAGTCAAAATTAGAAACAGAATTGTTAGAACCCAAAACTAAAAATTTGTCAAGAATGTATAACTTGCTGTTGAAATGGAATACTCAGGATGAAACGGTGAAATCTGTTATGATTAAATGGGCACAAGATGTTGGACATAATATTATGTTCGCTGACTGGGAACAGTTATGGACCACAGGTATGAAGTTTACGGCATGTAATGCCTTAAGAGAGAATATTATGAAAATGATATACAGGTGGTACATGACCCCAGTCAAGCTTGCAAAAATTTATCATTTGCCCGATAATAAATGTTGGAAATGTAAAGAAACTGAAGGTACATTCTTTCACCTTTGGTGGACGTGCCCAAAGATTAAGGCTTTCTGGGAAATGATATATAATGAACTGAAAAAGGTATTTAAATATACCTTTCTGAAGAAACCAGAGGCCTTTCTCTTGGGCATTGTCGGCCAACTGGTGCCAAAGAAGGACAGAACCTTCTTTATGTATGCCACAACAGCAGCAAGAATACTTATCGCAAAGTATTGGAAGACACAAGATCTACCCACTTTGGAAGAATGGCAGATGAAGGTGACTGACTACATGGAATTGGCGGAAATGACTGGCAGAATCCGAGACCAGGGAGAAGAGTCGGTGAAAGAAGACTGGAAAAAATTTAAGGACTATTTACAGAAATATTGTAAAATTAAGGAACTTTAGAAGGATGTTGGATAGAAACTAAGAGGTTTTTAGCTGTAATGCTTTAAGAGACATGGGAAAACAAGGTTCACAATTGGGTAAAAGATTAATGGTAAGGATTTGCTGAACCAACAAACTGAATTGGAATACAAAGAAGGGAGGTATGAGGAGGTCTGGGGAAATAAGAGTAAGGAAGATAGGTTATGGAACATTACTGTGTTTTTAACTGTTTTATTTTGAATGTTTTTTTTTCTTACTTTTTACTTTTTTGCTGTAATTTATACTTTTTTCTTTGTTTTCTGTATTTTTGTGAAACTTTAATAAATATCATTTTTTTTAAAAAAAAAAGGATTTGTGAACAAAGAGACAATGGGGAGGCTTTTCCATTTTCTTCCTCAGTGCAGAGAAATATTTGAGGTGACTGAAAGAGTCAAAATGGCTTTAGGACTGTTTTCCTGTACTGTTTCCAGACATGCGGTTTATATATTTATGTATGGGTTTGCCTTGTACA